CAGCAGGGGTGCACAGCACAGGCCCCTAGTTGAGCCAACCCGACAGGGTGCCAGCAGGGGCGCACAGCACAGGCCCCTGGGCGAGCCAGCCCTCACAGAGCCAGGCAGACTACGCGCAGGCGCGCCAGCCCGCACAGCATGGGTGCGTGGCACGCCGACCCACACGGCATGGGTATGCGGCACGCAGGCCCAGGGCCCCTTGCCCAACAGGGGTGCGCTGCACGCGGGGGCGCACAGCATGGACGCACGGTACGCAGGCTCGGGGCCCGCCGGCCCAGCAGGGGTGCGCGGCACGAAGGATGGCACTGCAGGGGTGCAGCACGCAAGCCCGCACAGCGCCCAGACAAACTGCCTGCGCGCGGCCCATGCGCACCAGCCCGCCAGCGCCCAGGCACACAGCCTGTGCGCGGCCCAGACCCACCAGGGGGCCCAAGATGGTGCCCGCCCACCAAACCCACTTTTTTGATGTATTGAGCTGCTGAAAATTTTAGCTTCCCTCCTAAATATTTTGGAGGGAAATATTTGAAAAGATTTGGCTATAAATAACCCCTTGTGCTTTGTGTAATTCATTCAATTCATTCAATAGAAGTTCAGCTTTTCTTTTTCCAACATTCTCTTCTCTTTTCTTCCTTTTCCTTTTATGCAAGTTTGCTTGCCGGCTTAAAGCCATTGTGTGCGAGTGCAGGTGTCGGAAGGCAGTGTGCTGTGTGTGGGAGTGTTGGGTGCTTGCTGGGCAATTGCTGAAGCACTAAGGCTGACTTGGGTTCCAATACCGGGATAAGGGTTGAACCCAAGGCCGCACTGAGGGAGATCTGCAGAACCGCCCTGTGACAATTGCACAATCATAAAAGCAAAAAGTATCTATTGGATGTACCAAACAAATATATATATATATATATATATATTCTGGAAGATCCCCTTTTTCAATCTTGGACTGTCTGTTTTTGTCCAATATGAACAAAAGCTCCCAAAGACATGCATGCATGAGCACACATAAACATGCTCACTTAACATACGAACAAACAAGCATTATCCTCACAATCAACTTCATACAAGGTTCATCAATTTTATTGCACTGATACTACATTTATCATTTACCAATCCTATGGCTCTTTACACTTACGCATGATCTCATGGCCTCTTTAGCTCCCACTATTTCATCTATATTTGCTTTAAAAAGCAGATAATTCAAGCTTAGGCAGCTTAGCTTGAAACAGCATATATCATACATTCTATGAATATAAGATACCAAATTTTCATGGTGTCACGGAAGAACCAAGAAGCACTAACTGGAGAAGAAAAGGAAAACGTGCAAACAAGGCTCAGTGATACAAAATGACTGCATGCTCAACCACAGGAGCATTCGAAAGCCACCACAACTCAACATAATTAATCAACACACTAAATGCTCATAGCTTTACTTGAAATTACCTGAAGTGCTTCAAAGCATATTGTCGGGTTGCTTAGCCGCTCAGAATGTTGAAGTAATGTAAAAAGAACTCCTGATTTCTTCTCAGCCTCCAAAGAACCTGGAATATAGCTTCAAATAGATTTCCAAGGTCAAATTAGCAAATATTTTGTAGCAGAGAGACAAAAAACAGTAGTTTCTCCAAACAGTATTTTGATTATATGATACATGCATACAACTCTAAACTTAGGACAAAATTGGATACGCAAAACTGGACATGGAACCCATACACCCTGAATAATTTATTTACATTAAAGAAACTCTCAACAGTAAATAAAAGAACTCAAGTGTTTATTATCCTTGTTCACCAAATAAAAACCAAAATAGTTACTACATATGAATGAGACATGTTCTCATTCAGGTCTCTACGCAATGCAATAACATAAAAAACTCCAATCACAAATGAGATAGTGCATCAATTTGTCCACAAGGAAACATTTTCACGAACTACATGTGAAATGTTCGGCAGGGTTTTGCTTCCCAAAATTGGGGAGAAGCAGGGCATGACCAGCTTTTATCCTCAAACGTCTCTGATATGGTGTCCAAACACTTAGGAGTGACATATATGTATGGAAGTTTCAACATTTTGAATTAGTGAAACCCTTATTCTAAGACACAAGAGTATGAATGCATGCACAAGACGGATAAATGAGGAAAGCAACAAAGTCAAAAGCATAATTTTTTTATGAAAGATATAGTGACAATATAAAAAATTTGAAGAAAAAAAAAAGTTAAGCACTAAGAACAGAAGTGAAGAGTAGAGTTGATCCCTATGCCTCCCCCTTAGTGACTCTTTCACTCCAGTGTTCAGTCACTCTAATTTCTCACTCCTCACCACAGCATGAGATGATGTTATAAAAGTGTATTACCGGCTCCATGCTTTAATTCTATTACCAAAGGTATAAGCAATCAGTATAATGCTCTTTAGTAACCTCTTTGATATGAAATCAATCTCAACAATAAGCATATATGATTGGTTTCACAAGCTGAAATCCATCTCCTCCTCTTTCCCCCCCTCCCCCTCCTGCCTCCAAAAAAAAAAGAAAGAAACAGGGAAAGACTACCTGAAATGAAAAAATAATTTTGCCAAACAGAAGTGAGCTAACCTGTTGACACTTCCTCTAAAATCATTTCTTTGACTTGGATCGAAGGTGAAACTGATAAAGCAGCTGTTAAACAACTGATAGCAGCAACCTAACAAAAGCGGTAAGATCTGATATAGTTATATGCACAACCAAAATTACTAAATGCTACCTATCCACACCAGTGAAAGAGATGTGGGTTTGGAGAAGAGTGAAGCAAAATATAATAAAAAATGACTAAAAACCCCCAACCTGCAGACCAGTCTGATCACTTTTGAACGGAAAACCTGCTTCAATCCTTGCTTGCAAAGACATAATTACTTTTGGCAACAACTCTACAGGCATTCTTGAATATCTGTGGAATTATGAGCAAAAAAATGCAATAAATCCAATATACATGTGCAAAGCTTTTCTCAAAAGATAAAGGAGGCAACACATGAAGTTAATGAAGGCATGAGTACCAGCAAATCAGTTCATATTCAAGCATCTAAAAGCATCCAATAAGAACCCGACTGGATTTTTGTAAACGATAGAAACTCAGATTCTTATTCACCATTCAAAAATTTTTGCAAATCAAATTGGTAATAAAGTCCAAGTAGACCTCTGAAAATGAAATGATTGAAGTAATTGTTTGTCCTTATCAGTTTAGTTAATCGCAAACCTGTACTAAAGTGGATTACAAATGAGCGCATTTATGTACATCACTTTCCATGCACACAATGAAAGCATAACCTACCTTAGTCTCCAAGATAATTAGCAGAAAATCATGATATTAATAGTATACAAAATAAAATTAGAAAAAGAAAAGAGAGACAGAGAGGGTGGGAGGAGGGGAAAATAGAGACAAGAAAGGAAAGGAAATAAGTGGAGGAAAGATTCACTCACCAAACTCATAAGTTACAAAATTGACTTTCGAATAGTCCTATAATCTCTCTTCACTATCTGTCTTTTTGTTCTGTATTGGTTTGGTCTCTCCTTTTATCTCTCGAAGTATAGATTACCTAGCTTACAAGGTTCCCCAAGGTTCTATTGCTCTTAAACACCACCTATGTCTTATTTTGCCACTTAAAAAGATTCAACATATCAGTGTTCTTATAGTGATAAAAAACTCTTAATAAATGCAAATGATCAGTCTGAAAACAAGGTACAGTGTCATAAGAATATAAATGCAATAGAAAGCATTAATTGCAATACAACAAATTGTCCATTAAAAAAGGAGGGAAAAAACTAAGCATTTTAACAAACATGAGGATGCATGATAAGGAAGATTCATACGGTGTGCACGATATCAAGAGCATGAGAATCTTGAATACCAACATCAGCAACCGACAATTACTTTCGTGCTGAATTAAGTATAGAATACCTACATCACAAAGAAGAGAGACAAAGATAGCACAATAGATAATTATATAAGATAATAGCAAGAAACACAGACAGGAAAAAACATAAGCACGCACAGTCTGCATAAAATTAATTATACTGCACAAAACAATAATTTCTAGTACCAGTATGAAGTTGCATTAGTATCTGGCCAAGTGAACTAGAAAGTGCCATAAAAGATCCACATTTAGTAGATTCTTTGTATTCTGCTACCTGCAGAAAAACAGTAGCAGGCCCATCCATCATGACAGCCAGAGCTGAGGCCGATGCCATCCGTGCCTAGGTATCACAAAATTGCAGAGTAAGCAAGAAGCATTGCTGAGGTTTAAGGTAAATGTCTGCCAAATACATGATGTAAAGTCATATATAACCAGGAAAATATCCATGCCATCATAATCCAATGATTGTCAACTAAAATTAAGCACAAGGCCTGGATGATAAATAATTGGTCAAGAAAAATAGATGTTAAAAAAAAAATTACCTACAAACAACAAAAGCTGTACCTTTAAGTAAGGATCAAATAGCAAGGATGCCATCAGAGTGGCTTCAAATTTCCTGCAATTGGCAATGTGAAATAAATGGAAAACGAAGATAATTTGCTAAAGGCAAAGAAAAAGGAGCATAAATCTATGGAAACATTAGCTCAATAAGATGAAGAGTGGACTGCATCACCTTGGTTGTAGTACATCATTGGTTGGCAAAAGCATTGTCCATTGAGCTGTAAAGGATTTAGGATCAGCTTGACAAAGATCCTTCACCAGAAAAACACACAATCAAAGAAGCCCCAATTAGAAGTATTCAGTGTCAGTGATCATTCACGAGTACCTTTCCGCATTAATGACCAAAACGAAGCCAGGAAATGACACCCAGCAACGCAAAAAACTAACAAAGACAAGCAGCTTCCATGGTTTGATGGCATCAAGCTCACACTAAGTTAATCCCAGAGTAGCAGAAAGCAATATCGCAACAACAAAAATACATAGTAACTCAAAGCTATTTCCATACAAATCATAGAGTAGAATCTAGATCATAGTGTTGAATTACAAAATTTGAAACAGCTGGATACTTAAAAAAATTCCAGTACCAACAAAATGATAGTTGTTTACGGAAATACTAAAGACCCCACAAATAATTAGAAAGGACTTAAAACTGTAGGGTGGATAAATTAGTTTTTCATTTATTTTTGAAAACCATGTACCACAACTAACTGTAAAAAGTTATTTAAGCTGACTTCAAGGTAAATGCCCTTCCCAACCTAACTCTATTCTGACATAAGAAATCTTAAATGCACAGAATATCAAATCAAACAAAGAAAAGCTGTATCAGTTCAGAATTCATAGTCACTACTAATGTCAATTCATATAACTAATCAGTCAATTTAACAATTTAGAATACAAAAATTATGTGCAAAAAGACTCAATTTACACTGCAAGATCAAGGTTTAGGTATCATCCTCATGGTGCTGAGAGTATTCCCACTAATTCCTAAATCATAAGCAAGACTTGCCACATTTCAAAGTTTTTCCACATACTTAATAGGGAATAGTCAAAAACCACCTAGAACTAGGCTATAAAGCTGCAGAAACCTTGGTTTACCCAAACATCAAAAGTGAGTCACAAATAAGAAAGAAATATGTTCTAAATTTACCTGTACACAAACAATAGCAGATACTCTAACCTTCGAGCATCGAGAACTGTTAATGTCTTTAAGTAATCCATCATTGTCACTGTAATCAGAATCTGACGATGTAACATCAACCATAGAAGAATCGTGATCAGAAGAACTCTGAGCATCCTGAGCTTTAGCCTGCCTCATATTAAAGCCCTCCTTTTTACGCAAGTGTGGAGGCCTATACGGAGTATTATTTGTCGTTTTAGGCTCTTCTGAAGTCAACTTAAGACTCAGTGAACCAGGTTCATTCTCCTTGCTACCAACAGCAGCACACATGAGTTGGGGTCCACCAGTAAGGCCATAAACAAAAAGCATTCGCAAGGATGCCACAAAACCAGAAACCTGCAAGTACATTTTACATTCATGAAGTAGCAAAGACAAAAAAACAATTAAATATTTATGAATTAATATTATGGCCGTAAAGTATAATGATTTACTTACATGTTCAGAAATAGAACCTTTAGGATCCATTAGAACCAAATGAAGGCAATGCAGAAGAGATACATAAAACCTGCACACAACGTGAAATATTGTTTACCAATACATGAAAGACAAATATCAGTTTTTATTTTCTCAATTTCTCTTCATTGGTTATGGGAGGAAAGAGTCATACCTGGACATGACAATGTCTTCAACAACCAAATTCTTGGATGCTAATGAGTCCATCATCTTCCTAAGAATCTAATTCCGAAAACTCAATCTTAGTGACTCATTCATAGATGCCATTAAAGCCAAGTAGAGAACTTACCTGAATAGTTGATTGCCAAGTACTGACTGGAAAAGATGAACCAGTCCTTGAATATACTTCACCAAGCATAGTAAAGGTTGTAGCTTGAACATCCCATAAACTACCATACCGTGGTGATTTCTTTCCCATTTCAATAGCACTCTTTTGATTGCCACTTGGACGATACAAGGAGATTAAATCCACGTGTGAACGTGCAATGATGTGAAGAAGAAAATTTACCAACTGAATATCATCTGACAGACAGCATTTCCGTTGGTTTGCACTCACAAGATATCTGGGAATAAAAAACTTCAGAATTTACGCAAGCATGAAAAAAAAAAGTGCACAAGGGAAAATAAAAGCGTAGGAAGTTGAATAAACCTGAGAGTTTCTAAGCATTCCAAAACTGGTTTATACAAAGCAGCATTGGAGGTTGCTTTGGCAAGAAAAAAATCCATCATTTTGGTAAATGAGTCGAGAAGGAGAGTCCACGATGAGGAATTCATGTCGAGAGAAACTCGACGACTGACGTCATGGATCTAGGGCAAACAAGAAAACAATAGGTAATTTTATACCAAACAAATAAAATAAATGAAGAGCAAGAGTAATTGACACTGAGATACCAAGTGGCAAGTGTTGGAAAAGGTGGGGATCAAATCTTGTTGAAATTGGGAGGCACTGGCAACCAGTTGGATGAGAAATAATAGATCCGAAGTCACCTGAAATTAAAAATTTGGGAAGCTTTTATCATCAAATGAAAAGGAATAGCAATATAAGTGAAATTTTGGACATAGATAGATACCTCGTGGGCAGGGAGGTCGGAGGCGGCAGAGATGAAAGAACAGTGAGAGTGAGAGAAGAGTAGGGATTGGACAAGTTGAGGGATGGAAGGAGGGTTCGATAGGGTTTCGTCTCTCAGAGTGAGAAATGCCGTTCTCCATGACCTAGCCCCCACCGCCGACGCCGCCAATGACGATGATGATGCCGCCATAGACGGCGTATCCGTTAGCGAATTAAAGTCGCAAAATCGTTCAATGATCAAAATCCCCCGAGCGCAAACTCCTCCATGATCAATTGCAGCGCTCTTGTTTTCTCTCGCTCCTGATTTGATTCATTCTTTACCTTTTGGGAGTAGGATTTAGGCGGTGGGCGCCCGGCGCTTGATATTGAAAGAGAACAAAAATGAGCAGAAAATTACCGTTAACTAGCCGCGGGGCCGACTAGCCTAAAGTGAGGGAAAGCCCAAAGCTGCTAAATCAGCTTTAGAACAGTGAAGATTCAAGAAAAAGCCCAAAATCAGCCCGAAACTCTCCCATCAATATCAAGTAGGACACGTGTATATATATATGTGTGATAGACCATTACTTGTTTATTTAATGCATTTTTAGATTTTAGATTTAATTATCTCTTTTTAACTTTAATTTTTATCAATCAAAATACGTACCAAATTTTTATATTTATATATTTAATTTAATTTAGTTTATGTATTTAAAATTAAAGTAATTAAATTTTTTAATTTTAAAAATTATTTTAATTTAGTACTTTTCACTAACGGTATCTAATTTTGTCGTTAAAAAGATGACATCAGCATTAACGTAGCATATATTGATAACGTGACATCCACACGATCATGTAGCATGTCACGTGCAACCAATTTGATGATGTGACAGTGCCATGTGATCTTAATATGATGATGTGGTAACGTTGACGTTGCATTAATATGCTGACATGTCAATATCAAGTAGTAAATAAATAAATTTTTTTTAAAAAAATTTGTATCCAGTCGTAGGGATTAAATTGAATAAAAATATATAGTACAAAGATTAAATTGAACAAAATTGAGATATTGAGATATTAAATTAAAAAAATTAAAAAATATAAATATTTAAGTAAATGATAAGTATACTTATTAATAAGTCAAGTATTTAAGTGAAAAAGATTTATGGTATTAAAAAATATATAAAAATATTTTCGTAGTTGATTATTTGATTCTAAAATATACACATAAATTTATTTTCTCCATAAAAATTAAGTTTAAAATCTCTTTCCCCAAAAAAAATTTAAAAAAAATTCATACTTAAAGTCAAATTTAGATAAATAACTTATATTATATTAAAATAATATAATATAAAAAAGACTAAATAATTTTTTTATTTATAATAGTATAAAAATTTAAAATTTATTTGACTTAGTTTTTAACTTGAAATGAACTCAAATAAATAAAATGGGTTACAACTTTCACAATTTACAAATATCCATTCTTTTGGAATTATTTAACTTTTACTCAATTTGCCTTTTATTTAAATTTACTCAAAGTTTCTTATGAAACAATTTTATTTAAGTTCAAATATCACAATTAAATTATGTTAAATTTAAATTTACATTATTAATTTAAATCTACAAAAACTTTATAAATACAAAATAAAATTGTATAAATATTTACAATTATATTTAACTTTATCAACCATAAATCTAATCTTTAATCCAATAAATTTTAACCTAATGAATATAACTTAAAATATTAAACAAAATAAAAACATAAAAAATAAATAAAAATTGAAAGAGTGGAGTAACTCATATTTTATAGTTGTAATAAGAGATTTGTCATGCTCAAATTTAGTAAGTCAAAACGAGAAATTTTTTTTATAATTATTTTTAACTTCATATCTCCATTCTTCATTTAAGATAATACAAGTTATTCATCTAAATTTAACTTTAAGTATGAAAATTTAAATTTTTTTTAATAAAAGGAGAATTTAAACTTAATTTATATAAAATAAATAAATTAATGTACATATTCTACAATCAAATATTAAAATATTTATCTATATTTGTTGATACCATAAATCTTTTACACTTAAATATTTAACTTATTAAGAAGTATATCTACCATCTACTTAAATATTTTTTTTATTTTTTTTAATTTAATTCCTCAATATTTTAATTTTGTTCAATGTAGTTACTGTATTATATAATTTTGTTCAATTTAATCCCTATGATGTGACTCAAAAAAAATTTTTAAAAATATTTTATCTGTCACGTGGTACTAATAAATCAGCATGACAATACCATGTTAGCATTGCCACATCATCATATTATGACCATGTTGCACTACCATGTCATCAAGTTTGTGTCATATGGAAAATTAGATATCATTAATGAAAATAATTAAATTAAAGTAAATTTTAAAATTAAAAAACTAAATTATTTTGATTTTAAGTACATGGATTAAATTGAACAAAACGCATGAATACAAGGACTTGATAGATATTTTGATCAATTTTTATCTCTTCACGTAAAAGGAAAATAAATTTTTTTAAAACTTACTAATAAAGTATTATTTCAATGGCAAGGACAAAATCTTAATAACTTAATCTAATTTTATGTTAGACAAACTATATGCTAATTTATTGATTTGTTTTATTGGTTTTTTAACATATTAATTATGTCTGAGGCAAGGAAAATATTTTAATTATAAATATAATCTAAATATTAGCCCAATTCTAGAGGTCCAAAAAATTCGTTCACCAAGTGTTGAAAGAACATTTTCAAGTTCATGTTACCAGGATTTTAAACTGGATAAAAATCTTTCTTGCTTAATTAAGTCAAAACTCAAAAGTCAATTCGTATCATTGTATTTACTACAGTTATCCAAAATCCAAATACATTCCATCAGCTTTATTTAGCATTTAGCAGTATACATATAACTTAGCCTCATACTCTAATTCCGGTTTCCAACTACAGAGTGGAAGGAAGGAACATCAAAGACAAGCTACAATGTTAATATGCTTAGCCCTTACGGATAGGTTTACTCAAAGCCAAAACTAACTGAAATTTTCAGCCAACTGTATATTAAATGGGACCTTCGACGGGTACCCATCAACTCCAATAAATCGACATGATCTCTAGTGCCGAGCATGCATGGTGCAGCTACGGCCATTCAGACAATCGAAGAAGAAGGAGAAAAGATCGAACCATCCAATGTATCAAATATAATCAACTAACCATCCAAATCTTGTTCTTTTACCTTTTAGCTTTCTCGTAAACTTCAGATAGCTTTTTATCTACAGCTCCAAATGGAATCCCATTACAGTTAACGCGAAAAGAAATGTACATTCACAAGGTTTTTCTCCGTCTTGCAATCAATGAATATCTTCGGCAGCTTGAGTCCCTTTTCCAATATAATTAACTAACCATATTGGAAATTCGAGTATCCTGATTCCTGCATCTGCAGCAGGCAACGAAGCAACTTTTGTTTAAGGCTTCTGTATGCTTGAGACCTTCAACAATACCGGCTTGATATCAGCTGCTACATGGTATACCATGTTTAAAGCTATCCAGAGAAGAAGAGAGATAATTAATTGGTTGAGAAGTAAATTGCCTGATTGCCCGTAGAAGATGGGATATAGTTCTGTGGGCACCATCTATTCTTTTCCTTTTGCTATATTAATGGGAACACTGAGTCAAGATCAACTAGACAACTAGTACCATATGTGTATATCTTTTTTCATTTTTAGATAGGCAGGAAATTAAGGAAATGACTGGACAGTCTAAATTATTGTGATCTGCAGGAAGCAACCTCCAACTAACGCATTAGATGTGAGCATGGAGGGAAGGTAAAAGGATTTGTCAGTACTCATTAGAGTTAGATGCGCTCCTGTGCAATTGCCTGGAGGCAAAGGCAAATAGGGCAAATGCACCCTTTGTTGTTTTCCTGATTTAATTTCTTGTTTGATGTTATGCATTATGCACGCACCTTGATTTCAGAAGAGGTTTCTGCTAGTACCGGTGATGGTGGGCCTAGAGGCTACCGTCCACAATGACAACCTGTGGATTGTATTTGTCTAAAAGCCAGCGTCCTGCCATAATACCATTGCCATGTTTGATGTTCATTTACTCCATGTGGACCTTAGCTTATTTTTCCCAGACTCTTCAGTCTCTCTCCCCCCTTCTGTGCCACAAAACCACAACTCTGTTTTATTGGAACACCTTACAAGGAAGTATGCTACTGTGTCTACGTGGTCTTAAGAAGGGTCTACGTCTCTCTCTGGCATCTTTGAGACACCCGATTCTCTCCCTCTCCTCTAATACGACCAAAAGTTACCAATCAGCATCTCCGTTCACTTCGGGTTTGAAAACCTTATCAACTTATCCTGTCCAGTCCTTTGTAAAAGCTCGTAGGCCTTCCCTGGGGTCTACCTGTGTAAAGTTGATGCCCACTTATCGTAACAAGTTTTACCCTTAACTCAAACACTGTCGTCATCAGGCCAAGAAGGCAAAAAAAGAGACAATAATGTCTTCCACTGCCTAACCAACGTGTCATTAACAAGTTGCCCAAACCATTGTTATCCTTAGCGGCAGCATTTTTCTTTTGCCCTTTGGCGGAGGATAAGCCTCTGCATTTCATTTCAGACTATCATTTCTGACATTATATAGCATTTAAGTCTCTCATAACTTAGATTGTGACCCTTTGTCAAGGCTGTCCAAAAATATGTGGAACTTGCATAAGCGACCTTTTTGTTCGAAGTGTTGCTCTATGATTAAGAGAGAGATACAAGCAATATATATTATTATATATATGAAGCCGATCGCCACATTAATACTGCATACATTCTCGAAAATTATCGAATCATCTAGGTATTTAGTTTAAAAATTTCGGAATGGGTATCGAAAGCAAGACTGCAAGAGTGCAGAATATACTCTTTAAAAAATATTAAATAGAAGGGAGAAGGGGCCGGACATGATTTAATTTTACAGGAAAAAGCTTTCGGAACCTAGCATTGTGAAAAAGTTTGCGTAACGAACATTATTGCTTACTTTAGCTGATGAAGAATAGAAAAAAGCCCGGAGAATAGTAACGTGATTAGGGGAGAAAGGACATTGAAAAACAAGCAAGAAAAGAACACGAAGTAAAGCCTTTTTTCACATTTGTAAGGAGAAAAGTAGAGGTGAAAAAGGATCTATTGGGCCCAAGAATAAGACCCCACTAGGTTACTAGCATTTAATAACTGCGACAAGGAATTGTTAAGCCTCAAGTGCACGTATGCATTTCTTGATGCCTACTAATATATGCCTATAAAACATCTTCGTTTCTACTCACACGCAATCCCCCTCTCCCTCTCCCTCTCCCTCTCAGAAACCAAAACCCGGAAATTCCTAAAACATTCCGCCCTTTCTTCAGAAGTCATAACCCCGTACAACCCCCAAACCTGGAACTTTGCAGAAGAAGCAGAAAGGAAACACAATACTAAAAAACCAAATGCGACCACCGCCAGCAGCAACCGCGCAGCACCTCATCCACATGTCTCCACCGCTTTCCTCCGGGGAGCCACAATTGTCCTCCACTTCAACCTCATCGTGCAACCCCCATACTTGCAGGTGGCGGCCTTACTCCAGCTCCAATGACTTTGAAGCTAACGCAGCCATGGTCTTAATCATTCTCTTCTGTGCTCTAATATGCTCGCTGGCTCTTAACGCAGCCATCCGCTGCTTTCTGCGTGGCGGTGGTGGCCGTCCGCGCCAATTTCGCCACAACAACATTCCCCAAACCCAGCAAGAACTTGAACAGAGAAAGCCTATCCCAGAGGCAGCTGTAGCAAGCATGGTGGCAGCACCGACGCTGGTTTACACAACCGGGTTGAAGCTGGCAGGAGCAGAGGCTGAATGTGCAATTTGCTTGTCTGAATTCGTGGAGGGAGAGGGGATTCAAGTGTTGGCGAAGTGTAAGCATGGATTCCATGTACAATGTATCCAGCAGTGGTTGTCTTCCCACTTCTCTTGTCCCACTTGCCGTTCTAGTTGTCTTTCACCATCTCCATCCTCAGAAGAAACTACCCACCAATGCGTCGATAACAGTTCGCAAACAGTGATGCCCGAGCGGGAACGGGAACCGTAGCAGCTTTGCTTGCTCTTCTCCATAGCGTATGTATGCAATTGGCTTTAACATATTTCTTTTGTTAAGTTTTTTTTTTTTTTCATTTAACGAGTACAACACTGTATTTAACATTCAGTACAATTCTTACGTACGAATTGGAGAACTTCAAATGATATCAAGAACTGTACCCATAATTATGACAAAAGAAACTGAATTTTAAGGATGTAGGAAAATTATAGTAATTAAGAGGACCTGGAGAGATCGAAAGCAGAGATCTATGAAAATTAGAAAGGCCTCTGTTATGTAGGGACCGTAAGCGTGAGACATTTATGCAACCATTCAATGATACGGTAACATTATGAAGCAGCTTCCAGTTGCTTTTCTGGTAAATGATCGCAGATTTAGGCTTGGGCTTCTAATGATGATTAGTGTTTTGAGGGAAGATCGGCAATGATTTAGCAAGTTCTCTACCTCTGGCACTATTTTTTTTTTTTTGTTTTTCTTTGCCTCCGGTATTTAACCTCCAACAAAAAGCGTCTTTCTCTAAAGACATTTGGGCTTCATGCACTAGCTGTCCCTGCACAGTGTGCATGGTTCGAGTTGAGTCCTAAATTTCCAGATCCATCTGCTTCACATTTCTTTCTGATCCTAACTGCAGCCCAATTCTTCCTCGAGTGGATCAGTTAAGCCTTCGTTTTTTAATTGGACTCTTTCATTTCCCTTTTAAATTTTTAAGATCCTCAAATTGTCTCTCCCACTCGGGAATTTTCTGGTACTGACCAAATCAAAATTCTCATGCAATCTACAAATAGATCGCAAGCCAGAAATCCGTTCTCAAAATCATTCTTTGATTAAAATCTCTTTTCCTTACTTTATTAACAAGTTCAAACCATAATCTCAACACTGCCCCACCACTGTTTCGGCAATGTCACGCTACTTACTTTTAGACTTTCTGGGACAAATATAAAAAGATGATGAAGATAAGAGGACTGAAGTATCTACCGACACACTGCACAAGAGTAACCATCATTCTTGAAAAGCATCGACCAATGGTTGCCTGATATATAATGGAACTCACCAGCCTTTTACTTAGATTAATCCAATTGATAAAAGGAAGAGAGTCCTTTTCTTTATCAACCAAGATTTTATCCTTGTGAAAGCACTCTGAAAGTAAAATCATGAATGCATCAATATTTAACCTGAACATATCCCTTACTGCAATACCAAAACAAAAACATTTAACTTTCGGCTTGCTTAGGATACAATGTAGTCAAAATCACGTTACATATATAATTGTTGATCCAAGCAACATTGCTATCATTATGGAATACAATAATTATCTGTTAACACTACAAAATGATCTAGCATATAATCATACATATCGACTAAGTTATCTCATACATCCATAAAGGATGAAAACGAAAGATCAAACCAAAAACAAAAATGAAAACCAAGCCAAACTAACCATCACCCAATCTGAAAATCCAAACCACAAAATGCAGATGGAAACAGCAAAAAACCACAAGCACATATCTAGAAGCACTTCCTGTGAACAATGGAAGGCCCTGATTCGTCATACTCTGCCTTTGATATCCACATCTACATTCAACACAAAAAAAAAAAAAACAAAAGCACAACATTAGAATTAAGCATTGTCTGAACCCTGAATAGAATTCCAAGTATAAATAAGCAGAACTTCATTTATGAAAAATGCTATATCATCAGAAGCATTCAACGTAAGATAGAAGCACATTAATCTGTTCTTTCTAGCACAGGCACTTTTTTTTTGGTGGGGGGAGAGAAAGCATGAATTGAACAGGCATTGTCTGCTTTCTTCTAAGTTTCAGGCAAGTCTCTTTGTTCAATAGTGTAAGGTGATGCTCTTTTTTCAGCACCAACTCTTGAGCCTTTTACATTAATCAAGAATTAGATTTACTCTTCTCATAAAGCAAACAAAAGATAAATTAAAACAAAAACACAGTTGTGAAGCAATATACTCCATACCTGCTGGAATGTACTAAGGGAAGCCAAAATAGATCCACCAATCCAGACACTGTATTTTCTCTCTGGGGGTGCTACCACCTTAATTTTCATGCTGCTTGGTGCAAGAGCTGTGATTTCCTTGCTCATACGATCAGCAATACCAGGAAACATGGTGGACCCACCACTAAGCACTATGTTACCATACAAGTCCTTTCTAATATCGACATCACATTTCATGATTGAGTTATAGGTGGTCTCGTGAATTCCAGGAGCTTCCATTCCAATGAGTGATGGTTGAAATAAGACCTCAGGACAACGGAAACGCTCTGCTCCAATGGTTATTACCTGACCATCAGGGAGCTCATAGCTTTTCTCAATTGAAGAGCTGCTTTTAGCAGTTTCAAGCTCCTGCTCAAAGTCAAGTGCCACATAAGCAAGTTTTTCCTTGATGTCACGTACAATTTCTCGTTCAGCAGTTGTGGTGAATGAGTAACCCCTCTCTGTCAGGATCTTCATCAAGGCATCTGTTAGATCTCGTCCAGCAAGGTCAAGCCGGAGGATGGCATGGGGAAGTGCATAACCTTCATAGATAGGAACTGTGTGACTGACCCCATCACCAGAATCCAGCACGATACCTGAAAATAATAGCATTATAACAACTTAGCATTCAACTTTGAGGAGCATCATGTTGTCTCAAGTGAATCATACTACTGCTACAAACCTGTAGTACGGCCACTAGCATAAAGGGATAGAACTGCCTGGATTGCAACATACATGGCAGGAACATTAAATGTTTCAAACATTATCTGTGTCATTTTCTCCCTGTTGGCCTTAGGATTGAGAGGTGCCTCTGTAAGGAGCACAGGATGTTCTTCAGGAGCAACACGAAGCTCATTGTAGAAAGTGTGATGCCAAATCTTTTCCATATCATCCCAGTTGCTAACAATACCATGCTCAATAGGGTATTTCAATGTGAGTATACCCCTTTTGGACTGAGCCTCATCCCCCACATAGGCATCTTTCTGTCCCATCCCCACCATGACACCTGTGTGCCTAGGCCGTCCAACAATACTAGGGAAGACAGCCCTAGGAGCATCATCTCCAGCAAATCCAGCCTGTTTGAGGAAACAAGTGAGGGTTATTAAATCTTACAGCCTTAAAGTGAAAAGCTAAGGCACCAGAAACTGACTAACTGATTGTTCTCACCTTAACCATTCCAGTCCCATTATCAACAACAAGAGGCTGAATATCTTCAGTGTCTGCCATACTTTAGACTGACCTAACAATGGAAAACAACCAAATTATCCATTTGAATATATTGCAGTCCCTCAATTATTCAAGAAAAGAGTGCACGACCATCATGCAGGACACTAAAAACTTTGGACTTTGGAAAGAAATAAACTTTCTAAAACTCGGACATCTTGAGTAACCACGTGTACGTGAGTAAGCACATCTAAAGAGCAGGTGTTAAAAAGTGAATATCAATCCCAGAAAAATTATTTGACACCCCCAAAATCCATATGTCAACACTTTTTTTTTTTTTTCTAAAAATAAAGCATATAATCAAGGAAACTGTAAATGGGAGTATATCCAGAAGGTGGTGTTTTGAAGAACTTCATCGCAATTCTCAATTCGAACACCATCTAGTCACAGATCTAATGAATTGTATTTAGTCACTAAAAGTTACTGTTACCAGAAAATTAAAGACCCCGATCATCAAAATCCATAAACAAGTTTTCAAGCAGATTGATATCCAATATAATACTCAACAGACGGTGAAGAACAAAACGGTTTCAGTAGTAACTCCTATACACAATAACTTGACATAATACTAGTAAAATTTTGCACATGCGATTGAGTTTTAACCACATCAACAAGTGCGCGCTTCAACCCCTCGAGCTACCAGAATTGAACATGGAAGTTGATAGAAGCAGAATCGCAACTCAAAAACATGGAATTTTCAGAAAATAAAAAATGAAGTTGATGGAACCGGAATGAGAAAGAGCAAAAAATTATCCATAATCTAAAGAAATTGAAACAGACCACACGGCTGGGAGCTAAAGAAGAAGAAGTTCACCTGAAAAACCAAAACTATTACAATTGAATTATTAATAACAACCTCGGAAGAATTTAAATCCTCAACAAACGTGATGGTAAAGATAGCAGATGGATCGAATATAAAAATAAAAGACTTTAAAAGGTAATGAGAAAACCTGAGAGTGGAAATGAAGTAGAGATGAAGGCAAAATTCAGACGAAATGCGAAGAGTAAGGACGGGAATCTAGGACAGTGGGCTGGACAGTGCTCTCTTTTTCTTCAATCCCACGGGAAGTACCAAAAAAAAAAAAACAAAACAAAGAAAGTAAAGACAGGTCACAGCTGCCAGGTGGATACTGCGGGATGGGCTTACGGCAAAGGCAAGTGGACCGCTGCCTTTTTTTTTTTTGCTTTTCTTTCCTATCTTAATTCTGTTAAACTGCTCATCTTTTTGGTTTTCTTCCAAAATTCTTCATGTTATTTCAATTTAATTTTAGCATCTTCAACCCTAAGGCCCCAAGTATCAATACAGCTGTAATACATTTTTGAAGCAACGTGCACATTGTTTAGCCCCTTAGTTGTATGGAGAAAGGAGAGATATACTTTTTTCCCCAGCATGTGCATGTCTTTTATGTGTGCTTTTTTTTGTTTTGGCAACCAACATGCCCTCTTTACTTATAATTAAAACTTCTTTTTGCCTTTACATATTTCTTTTATATGCCCAAATGGCCAATTTCCCCTTTCATATGAAAGAAGTCATGATGGTGTCTTACCTTTACATGATTGTCTACCATAAAATTATAAAACACCAATTACCCAATAAAGTGAGTGAATTACATTATTTGGTGGCTAAGACATTGCTGAAGGCACAAAAGAGGGAAAAAAGAATAAAGAGACTTTCCCATTTTGTGTTTGATTCTTAATTAAGGGTGTCTTTGATACATAAGCAATAAAGGTAATTATAACTCTAAAATTTATTTATTATTTACTTGAAACTAACAATAAAATAAGAAATATAATGTCTCATTGTTTTATTTTTTTTAAATGATTGAATTACAAGTATCGAGTAAAATTTACTTTAATCTTGTAATATAAGATTGTCGGTTTTATAAACTTTATTATTATGTTTTTTCATTTCTATTTTCTAAAGTTGAGTATACATTTCTTTGAAATTTTGTATGTAGTGTTCTGTGGAGAGTAGAATGGTAGTTTTAGTCAATGATTACACAAAAATTTCCTATCACACATTTAATCATTTGTACAAAAAGTAAGAAATATATAAGTTAAAAGCTATACTCTCCTACTAATGGTTATGCATAAATCACCCATAATAGAATAATCCTATCTAAAGTTATGCCCTTTACAACACAATAATGCCTACACCCATAATAGAAAAGTCTATGAGGAGCATTACATTGCCTGGCCCAAATAAAAAGAAGGAAGGAACTGGCTGCAAGGGAGGCCCATATTGATTAACTAAAAGCTAAGAAAGGCACAAAAGCTGGCCCAATAGTCCACGTGAAAAACACGTCCTACTCCAACTCATGCTTGGGTTTCCTAAAACCCTGAAATCGGAGTAATCCCAAAATCGGGAAGAATCATCAAGCAAATAAGCAGGGAAAAATTGGGGAAGAAAACCAGTAATCAGAAACAAAAGGAAGATGTGGTTAGCAGGGGTGGTGAAGAACAGCATTAAGGGAGAGAATGGTAGCATTGGGAGTTTGTTGGTTCGGTATATGTCGAGGAGTAGGGCAGTGAATGTGAGAAAGATCAACCCAAAGGTACCCATTCCAGAAGCTCGTTCCATCGCCACTTCCCTCTACGACATCATCAAGGACCACGGCCCTCTCACCGTCTCCAACACTTGGATCCACGCCAAGGTTCCTCTTTCTTTTTATCCCTTCTTCTATTTTTTTTTAAATTTATTATTTACTTTATTTATGTGATATATCATTTCAAAAATTGCCCAGCGCCTCCCCCAACTTGCATCATTTCGCCTTGCTTTTGATTGACTTCTCGATACTCAAGTTTATAGCTGCAGAAGGTTTTACTTTTCCCTTCCATTTAACATGCATTTCTTGCCTGGTGGATACAAAATTGAACTTAAGGACTGATTTTTAACATGGTTTTATTTTCTTGATATGTCAAAAGGTTTCCATGAATTGTATACGTATAATTCCAGAGCATTCTGAACTGAAAGAGGCGAATTCACTAGTATTAATTAGTTGATATCGTGTATCATCGTTTGATACAATCTTTGTTTACATTTTCTCAATGTCTTTTTGCTACTTAATTGCATTGAGTTTGCTAACGAATTAGTTGCCTATTTGGCTCAGTATTTTCGTACCAACTACTCTGATAACGCTGTAATTCTTTTTCTCTATTTTGTATTCTATCCTTTTTAATGTTGTGAATTTCTGATGATGTATTGAGTTCTTCCTTTCCTTTTGATCACATGGATTATGTCTACACCTTTACGCATAAGGGGTGTAAGCAGGGGGACATGATAGGGTCGATAAATTCTAGTAAACACAGTGGGAGTCCTTTGCCTAGTCAGTTTCCGTTATTCACTTTTATATGTGGAAAAGGGTTACTATATGTTCTTTGCAAGGCCAAGCAAGGCAGTCGAATTTTCACCACCTTGGTGATTAGATCTATAGCATAATGTGATACTGCATATTAGAAACATTTACTTGTGTACTTGCGTTAAGTTGGATATCATGCACTCTTTTAGATCTCTACTTCAGACATGCATTGTGCAGGTTACCATCTTTCTGCTTTGCATTTATTGTGTTATCATGGGGTCTCGACTTTGTAGTGAAAGAAGGGAAAACATTATAATAAAGATAGAATGCTATTTAATTTTATATATTTATACAAGCTTCTTGTTTCTAATTTAGATGCTTTTTATTCTAATGACAGGAAGCTGGTATTGGTGGATTAAATAGCAAAACACACATGAAGATAATGCTCAAATGGATGCGGGGGAGAAGAATGTTGAAGTTGTTCTGTAACCAAGTTGGGTCCAGCAAGAAATTTTTGCACTGTACCCTGCCTGAAGAACCTCAAACTAATCAATTAGAAAGCCCTTCAGAGCTTAAACTGCAAACCAAGAAGCCTTCCCTAAAAAGAAAGAAGAAATCTAAATAAAATGTATCTTGGGTCTTGCCTGCAATCAATTTTGTTGCTATGCAAGATCGATTTTGATTTGAATCTTCCTTTTTGGTCGAATGCTTCTACCATGTTTTGTTTGTTGTTTTCCTATTTTAATCTTTTAGTTGCAAGCCCCTTCTTACTTTCTCAATAGAATTTTTTGAATACGAATTTGATGAGTTTTAATCTGGTCTGATGGACTGAACATGATAAGCATGTTTACCTGGTTAATGGTTATGCATTCAGCGTTTGAACTGGCCACTAAGATTGCTTTTCCTCTTGTGAAGATTTTATACTACTTATCTTAACAGCCACTATAGCATATTTCATGTGTCTGCTGACTGTTATTGGATATTGGGATGGAAAAAGTGTGGTTGTTCTTTCAAATTGGGTGGCCTACATTGTTTTATAGTTGAACCGGTTTCGATGTCAGACTTGTAGGGTGGAGACTTCAATATGATCATGAAATATGTTGAAAATTATGTTGTTTTTCCTCCTGTTTCTGTTAGTCATAAGAACGGCGAGGAGAGATGGTTGTCTATATTGAGGCAGAAGTTCCCCTCAAACTCAGAGTCTCTACCAGGAAGCTGCTGGAAGTTTGGTTTTTTTGGGCAAGATAGTGTAGCACTCCTGTATGTCGACACTCTTATCTCCCCAATGCTTGCTGGCAGTGATATACGAATGATGTCGGAGTAGATTGGTAAGGTAATGTAGCTTGAAGTCCTTGATGATGCATATGGTGTGGAAAACCAAATGTCTATTGCTGATTCAACCATGCATATGCTATGACGTAAGAGTGGAGCAATGTGATTGCGTGGCTAAGTAAAAAAAAAAATGGGTTGGCTGGGCAGCTGAAAATTTCTTTCCAAGTTATACAAATTGAAGCAAACAAAGTTTTGATGTCACTGCATACGTGTGTGCATCACCTGGGAGGCTTCTGGTTGGTTTGCACTTAAGCAGTCCAAACACTAATAACTGTTCACATATACTGGTAATTATTGAGCTCTTAGGTGCTAAAGTAAAGAAAACATGATAAGCGATTGAAGATGAAATCATTCAGATATAGGAAACAAAAAAATTACTATTAGTGAACGATAGTTGAAATATGAAATATGAATTTTCATACTGTAAGTTATAAGACAATCATTACTACAAATATAAAATTTACCCAATCATTAGAGAGCTGTAATAATAACTATAATATCACAAACCAATACTAAATATCAACATCTTATAAAAAGAATTATAATAATTGATTAGGTAACTACTCATTTAATTTACAATTATATAATGTCTTATATCAGTAAGAGAGGAATGATTATTGAGTATATAAACATGAGTTTTTTCATCATCTATTAAATATAATTTTTAGATTGAAAAAATAGATCCGTGATTTATAAATTTATTTAAATTATATTTTTAGAATTTAAAATCGCATGATGTTATATTTAAATTTTAATTAGTGATATTTGATATTAGTAAAAAATAAAGTGAACCTTGAAGATACAAATATGAGACTTCAATCATCTATCATATATATTTTTTAGATTAAAAATGTGTTATAAGCTTAGTTAAATTCTTACTCCTAAAATACATATATATAATGCCGCTAGAGGAAATGTTCAATATATACGTATATACTAGAAAAACGCTCGATCAGGCCCCGCCCTGCATTCAAGGGAAGGAGGTGACGTTAGTGATTGCGTGGGACAAGAAGAGTCGTAGGATTTTCAAGCGTTGAAAGGGCTACGGGTTTGGAGATCAGAAAACATACTACAGATAGGAGGAGATTCTCTTTGTGTTGTTCCTCAGATTAATCTCAGGTAAGGGTAAGTTTCTTCTTGTTCTTTAGGATAGAACATTGGTCTCGCTTCATGTATGTCAAACTTTAGGATAGAGCACTGGGAAAGCAGAACTAAGGAAACAGCTTTTGTTTGACTTTTCGGAGTACAACGCAGAATCCCACACGAGGCATAAATTGTTCGCTTAGTTGTAACCAAACCAAATCTCATCCCACAGTCTACATAGTTAAAATTCGTGTTCTCAATACGATCAACAAAAACTTTCTGATTGTCCCAAAAAAACTACAATACTGACAGATGGATGCCAGGGTCTGAATTCTAGGATTTGGATGCTGAATCTTTTCTCTGTTTTTCCCTTGTCAAACAAAACGAATCCTGAGATGTTGATACACACTATATACTGTACTGTTTTTTGGTTTTCTTATTCGATTTTTGTTAAGAAAGCTGACTCTCAAATGTTCTATTATGGATTAGTTAATCATGGATTCTCAGACCAAAACCGAGGACTGCCTTGGCTGGGCCGCCAGAGATCCATCTGGAGTTCTATCACCCTACAAATTCAGTCGCAGGTGTGTTTTTTTTTTTGAGAGGTGGATTTTATTAGCCATACAACCGATATGCCATTGTTAGTCTCAAGTGCAAGAGACTCCCATTGGCATGAAAGCCGGTTTGGCTGAAAAATAAACTATACTAAGATGGGCACACTGCTCACAAAAATTGGCAGTTGTCCCACACAGAACCAACCCAACAGAAGGGGTTCAAAGCTGCCTAAAACTAGAGCTGGCAGCAAGCAAACAAAAGCAGCAAACTAAGTGACGGTACATCCTAGTCAAAAACCAAGAATGCTCCCAACAAAAGGAAAAAACTCAAGATTCTTTGAAATCCTGAGATCATCCTAGTTGAATCAATATTTTTCCTTTCAACTGAACATTTTTAGTTATTGCCATTTTGGCTGAACAGAGTATTGTAAGGCTTGTTTCTTGTAGCACCTTTCATTCATTTGATTATTAAAAATTATTAAACTTTATGCCAAGTTCATGTTCTTGGCCTCATTATTGTGTGTTTAGGACAGCAAGTTTAAGTAACTTTCATTGACATTGGCCAAGAAGGTGAACACCTGACAAAGATGATTCAGTTCACACATTACTTGATGATCTTTCAATTACATTACTTTGATCATGTTTTTGTCCTGTAAACTTTATTTAGGCCTCTTGGAAGTGATGATGTCTCCATAAAAATTACTCACTGTGGAGTTTGTTATGCTGATGTCATATGGACTAGGAATAAACATGGAGATTCAATGTACCCCTTGGTGCCCGGGTATGTTTCCTGATTGTGAATTGTGAATAGTTCCTAAACTTTCTTAAGCTGATATTGCTATTATAATTGCTTCTATATCAGGCATGAGATTGCTGGTGTTGTGAAGGAGGTCGGTTCAAATGTTTGCCGCTTCAAGGTTGGTGATCCTGTTGGGGTGGGAACTTATGTCAACTCATGCAGAGATTGTGAGTATTGCAATGATGGCGTTGAAGTTCATTGTGTTAAAGGGTCTGTTCTCACTTTTAATGGTATTGATGAGGATGGAACAGTCACTAAAGGCGGTTATTCTAGCTATATCGTTGTCCATGAAAGGCAAGCATTTCATCATCGTATCTATATGGCAGTAACTCTTGTTTTGTTCCTTTATTTTCTTTTTGTATTCTAAAGGTTATTAGGTTAAATGATAAGTTAGATCTGCAAATGCAGGATAAGCTGCATTTACCTTTTGTTTCTCTCTTTGATGACTCTTTTTTGTCTGGCTTGAAGCTATTTCTTACCAGTCTTATCTGAGTATCATTTTTGCCTTCTAAAACCTTGCAACACCCTTCTGGAATAAGAATCCTCATTAACAGTTTTATGTGGTTTGACTGTCTACAACTATGGTTCAATCTGGCTTTCTGTGTTTGTTATGCATTGTGATAATTTTTCTTGTTGGACAACATAGGGTTTTTTGGGGTTTATGTTGCCACATAAGACATGTCATAGGATTGCATTCCAATATGTGCACTTCAATTTGGAGCTGTTATACATATAAATCTGGAGTATGATTTAGACCATGATGGAAAAGAATAGGTAATATCTCCTTCTAGATTGAAGAGCAATGAACAGGCCACTTTTTTGTGGTTTTTGCAGCCTTAACATGATAAGAAAGTTGAAACTTAAAATTTGATTATCTAATAATTGCCAACTAATGCTACACAACAAATGCATTGATTTAATAGTGTATAACAATTCGATCTTTCTGTATCTAGAGTTAGTTAACTTTTGCTGTGATTTTATTTACTTGTTTTGTTTAATTCTCGACATCCTTAGCCAACATCAACCAAAGATGAAAATGTTAGCTTTGGTGTTGAATCAACAGATACTGCTTCAGAATACCCGGCAACTATCCTTTGGCTTCAGCAGCACCTTTGCTTTGTGCTGGAATCACTGTTTATGCACCAATGATGCGGCACAACATGAACCACAGTGGAAAATCTTTAGGAGTGATTGGGCTCGGTGGTCTTGGTCACATGGCAGTGAAGTTTGGGAAGGCTTTTGGGTTGCATGTAACAGTTTTTAGCACAAGTATATCTAAGAAAGAAGAAGCTCTGAATCTGCTTGGTGCAGACAAATTTGTTGTCGCCTCTAACCAAGAACAGTTGAAGGTACAGACTAAAGAATGTTAGCATCTTACAAGCTCATCTGTGTAATTATTTGAGTCTTTGCCCTTTCTGGAGCTGATGTTTTGAGTGCAGGGCCTATCAAAATCATTGGACTTCATAGTTGACACTGCATCTGGTGATCATCCGTTTGATCCCTACATGTCACTCCTGAAGATTTCTGGTGTTTATGTCCTCGTTGGGTTTCCAACTGAAGTCAAATTCAGTCCTGCAAGCCTTAATCTGGGTACTTGACGATATTTGTGTTGCATTTTATGTTCTCACTTGAGTTTAAACTAAATGCCTGAATTGACCATTTGGCAGGTATGAGAATAGTCTCAGGAAGCATAACAGGGGGTACAAAAGTGACCCAAGAAATGATAGACTTTTGTGCTGCTCATAATATTTACCCACAGATAGAGGTAATTCCAATTCAATATGCGAATGAAGCTCTTGAGAGGCTAATAAAGAGGGATGTTAAGTACAGGTTTGTGATTGACATTGAGAACACCCTGAAATGACATCATGGCAGCAAAAATGAATTCATCTTATGCAATGCAGACTTATAAATCCACATATTGAAGCACATACAATAATGCACATGTACAATGAGTATTGTCATTTAGATAGATGGTGGGCATTCACTTCTGTGAAGAATCCCTCAGAGCTTATTATGTTGTGTTCGATGTAACTAGATTAATAATTAAGTTGAAATAAGTCAATAGCAGCATCATTTCTGTCAGTGAAGAGAAGTGTGTTATGTAAAATTGGTTCAGTCAAGTTTATGGAAATTTTCATAGTGGACCTTTTCATTTTGTTTCTTTGTTCTTATTCTTGTACGGAAACATTACTTGGCAAAGATCTCTCTCTCTCTCTCTCTCTCTCTCTCAGTAACTCACTCACTCACTCACTCACTCACACACAAACACACACTCCTCGATGCTCTGCCCATTAAGTGGATTTATACGCAAATATATGCCAGCTGTTAATTTAATGCAATTAGCCTTCATAATGTGTTCGTTTTGTTATTGTGGGAAGATCAGGAAGTAGCAATTGATACAATTTAATCCTATATGTGGAGTAGCAGATCTGAAAATTGATGTATTGTTCTAATTTGGACATGAAGGAATGTGGCCACACTGTATGAATCTTTTTTAAGAGGTTCAGGACATAATTAAGCTTGAAAGCTGTTACTCTACGAAAATTTTTCGATCAGATAAACTAATTTGTTATTTTCACAATAAATTTGTTTAACATCTTGCTTGTGCCATGAAAATGTTTGCAGAGTATTTTCTTTCTGGAGAGGGCATTTAAGGTTGTTCATCTGAGTTGACATCTTTAAACTGTCTCAAATAATCTCTCATTGACAACCAAGATCTTCATTTGTAATCTTCATATTCGGAGCATAATCACATTCTTATTTATGCCAATTGGCATAGCATTAACGGTAGCTTATATAATAGAGCAAGTACCAGTTTGGTTACTGTTCCCTGTAACGAAATGAACTGTACCAAAAAGGAAAAAACCATTTAGAAGTTTATGTTATGTCGTATTGAATCGTAATATTAGAAGCCACGTATCTATCTAATCACCTGGAGAATCAGCCATCCACTCCATGCAATGGTGCTAATCAGAATAAGACAAGAACCTTTGAGCCAGTTTTCTTTTCCGTGCCTGAACTCTCCTACAGAACCCTTGGTGCTATGGATGTTTATCAGAGGCCCGTCCACAAAGTCTTTCAACTGACACCCTCCTTTCCAGAAGGTAAAACAGGTGACCCACCAATGGAGATTATTGTTCCCAGTACTTTTGCTTGACCACTAGCGCTTCTAATGTTTACCTTTTCCATCCTGGAAGCAAAAGAAAAGCAACTGTTAGAAATGCTTCTGCTGAACTAATGGTAAAGCTAAAAGGCTGATCTGAATATGAGACGGAAAAGAAAGTACTACCAAGTAAAGATTACCTGAGAAGAACTGCCATGAGAAATGTCAAACTAGGGATAACATTGCTCAAGGCAGAAGTTACGGTTGGTGAAGTATATGTCAAACCGAAATAGAAGACACTGAAGTATATGGTAGTCCGTACTGATGAGAGCAAAAATATTTTTGCAAACAGTGAATATGACAGTGAAGGGCGCTGTTCCCTGCTTTCCAAATGCAGTGTATGTAAGCAAAATAAATGTAAACAAATTCTGCTATGCCAAGGCAATTGGCTGAGAAAGACTATGCTCAATCACCACTCTGCAAGGAAAAATACAGCAAAAATCAATAAAGAAATGGTTGCGGATAGCTCACCTTTCGCGTACATAAGCAAAGGGGCCTAATACAAACATGGCAATTATATGCCGGTAGGCCACAAAAACAAATTGATTGAGGCCCCTCTCAAAGGCAACTTTAACAAGGATAACTGATGCACCATATGACGATTGAAGCAGCACCATTGCAACACATAAACCAAAGTTTTTCATGTTCATACCCTTCCTAAACATAAACTAACAGATAGAATGGCTTGATTTTATATTGGTGGTGGATCAATCTCCACCGCTTCTAGGAAAAATTACATCAAGAATAGGATGCCCCACTGTTGCAGTTTACCAGGTAAAGCTAAAGGCAGTTAATTCTACATGTCTAAGCTCTAATCACCATTAGTGGTAAAGGTTACTGATCTGGAAATCCGTGCTAATAAAGTTAATGAAATATTGGCCTCAGACATATATAGTTGGTGATGATTTACTAATAAAAGACCACATTGTACAGCCCCTGCAATCTTAGTGCTTAGTAGTGAGCTGTTCACCTTTCCATGCATGCTATAATTTGTTTTTGCTTTATTCCTCTTATATTGATGTACACGTAACCCATTATATTGCATGCATATGTGGATGAAACTTTTCTCTAAATCCCAAAACATGGAGAATTTAATCCAGGATATTAATTTTCCTTTGTTTTGAGTTTTCTGTATAGTGGTGCTGAGAGTTCAAATCGTAACTGCTTTTACTTTTCTAAAATTAAACTTCAATATAAGACGTGTGGTGAAGTTGTGCTTTGTACTGCCTAAGCCTTCTGCAATGGGAAACAAGAAAAGCTAAATAAAACTGATTTGTGTTCCTTTTCCTATAATGTAATCGGGCAATTGCTGTTGTCCATTTTATGTTGTAAAAGTTCAAAATAAATATATAAAGTTATCAATAGATGCAGGCCCTGATTGCTAATCTCTGTAGAATCGTTCAGATGCATTATTTTCTATGATGTTTTAATCTGGTCTTTGATGGATTGAATGTTAAAGAGTTCATTTACCATGTTATCCATTCGTGGTTGTAGAGTGACAACTATAGTTGATGTTTCCTTCAGCATTGAGGTGTAATGAAAATAAATATGGATACAATTCCATATTAGAATAAAAGAAAAATTATCACATCTGAGCATTTAAATCATTATTTGTTGTATGATCTTTTATGTCTATTAAATGACTCTCAATTAAAAATAATAAAATAGATTAAAAAAACAATAAAAACAATAATCTCTCTTTTCTTTTTTAAATTTTTCAAGTTTTTTTCTATATCATTTTATTGTAAATTTTTTTTATAAAAGTTCAATAATTTTATCATATTTTGATAAGTGCCTAATAGATAATTTAGTCAGCGCAAAATGTCATCAATTATACCTTCAAAGGTTTTACGTTAATAACTTTTTTGTTTATTATATATAAGATGAATAAAATATTAAAAAAGTGAAATTATTACACGTTTTGAAGCTATTTATTAATTTTTCAATTTCATATTCTAATAATCAAACATGTAATCTTTTTTGGCTTTCACATTCTTAAAATGATGGGAAAATTGAAGCTTGAATTTAATTTAACTGAGACACTGTTTGCTTTCTTAACTGTTGTGTTAAATATATCATGAAACAAACGCGAGGCCTGAACATTTGAAACAGTCTGATCCGTCCCTGCCTAGAGTTAGTTAACCTTTGCTTTGCTTTTGTTACTTGTTCTTTAATGTTCCAGAGGCTCTACCCAACAACACCACAGCTATAGATACTAGCTTTTGCCTCGGGTCAACAGGTACTGCTTCAGATACCCACGGACTATCCTTTGGCCGCACACCTTTGCTGTGTGCTGGAATCACATTTTATGCACCAATGCTGCGACATAACATGAATCACCCTGGCAAGTAATTGGCCTTGGTAGTCTTGGTTACATGGCAGTGAAGTTTGGGAAGGCTTTCGGGTTGCATGTAACAGTCAGCAGCACAAGCACATCTAAGAAAGAGGAAGCTCTGAATCCGCTTGGTGCAGACAAAATTGTTGTCTCCTCTGACCAAGAGCAAATGATGGTAAAGACTGTAGCTTCTTAGGAGCTCGTTTTTCTAATACTCTGATCATCTTTGAACTTTCTGGAGCTGATTCTTCCGGTGCAGGGCTAGAACAATCGTTGGACTTCAGACTTTGGCACTGCATCTGGCGACCATACATTTGATTCGTGCATGTCACTCCTGAAAATTGCCGGTATCTATGTCCTTTATGCGTTTCCAAGTGAAGTCAAATTCAGTCCTGCAAGTCTTTATACAGGTATTTCAACATTGATTGTTTTAACTGGAATTCATGCCTTGACCTTGTCAATGTTATTAAGCACTTAAACTGACTTGTTGGCAGGTATGCAACTGGTTTATAGCAATGAAGCTGTAATAAGTGACTAGCAGTATCTGCTCTTTGAATGAAGCAGAAAGTAAAAAATAAAGTTTATTTCACTATTTTATTAAGAGAAATTTGTGGAATTTTCAGAGTTATCTCTTTATTGATGCCTTTTTTGCGCGTGCCATGATAACATATGCAGACTACTATTTTCCTCAGAAAAACACTAATGCCTGCCTGCACTGCACTGCAGATTATTTATCTTAGATAGCATCAGTGAAAGATGTCCAAAATTCAAACGCATTCACAGTCTTCTTTATTCCTTTACTACAAATAAGCACCATCTAACCAACTGGCTACTTCATAAAAATCACCATGATCCAAAGTCTTGGCACATTAGTCAACATGGCGAAAGCTTTTGGTGGAAAAAGCAAACTGAATTTTTCTCAGTTTATCGCCTCAACTTTGAAAGATTTATCACTGGCTAATGTGCAGTTGTTGATGGAAATCACTGGCTTTTTATCATCAGGGAAGTCATCTCCATCCTTTGTATTTCCAGAGACAAAACTGTCTCTCCTTTTGCCCCAAAGTACAAGGTAAAGTCCCAAGATAATGAGAAATGCTCCCACCAAGCTGGAAAAATTGCCAAACGCAATAACTGATGAGCCAACAAGCTAGGAACACTTAATTTCTTCCACGTCATTTAGTTGGAGATATCTTTTTAACAGAAGTGAGAAGTACTAAATTACAGTGAACTGCCTGAATCAGATTGTAGCCAAATTAGACCCATGTGAACAGGCAATGGAAGGAAGAAATTATTCTTAGCATAACCAACCTGCCTAAGTGAAGACGCTCTGCGAAAACAATTGCAGAGAATATAGCTACAAAGACAAGGAGCAGTGGAGTGAACATTGCTGCGAAAACTGGTCCTTTGTTACTGATACACCATGTTTGTAGATAGTAGACAAATGCTGAGAGCACAACTCCCTGTAGCAAATACCATTGTTAGCAAAATCGTGCAAAAAGTATTTCACGCTACTAGCTTGAACTTTAGGAGTTAGTTGAATTCTGAAAGGAAAAATTACAGAGTAAATGATGGTTAAAAGCTGCACATTCCACTGCAACTTCCACAAGAGAGGATTTCTAGCGAAGAACAGGGCAAGAACAGAAGATTGCAAGGATGCGATGAAGCAAATTAAAACATTCAGTGATAATTGAGCTGGATAGACTTTGGATGCTGTAGCCTGCTAGGGAGAAATTGATACCAAAAGAAGAAAAAGAAAATCATCCATAATATCTATATAAAAAAAATATTTGAAGCCACATACTGAATGGAGAATCTACTCACCTGGAGAATTAGCCATCCACTCCATGCAATGTAACTGACAAGAAAAAGGGCAGAACCTTTGATCCAGCTTTCGTTTCCATGCCTAAACTCACCATGAGAAGCATTTGTGCTGTGGATGTTTATCAATGGCCTGTCTACAAAGCCCTTCGATTGGAACCCTCCTCTCCAGAAGGTAAAAACAAGTGAACCACCAATGCAAATAACGGTACCCAATACCTTTGCTCCCCCGCTGGTACGTTTAATCTTCACCTCCTCCATCCTGAAATGACAACATAAGAAAGCAATTGCTAGAAAAAAAGGTATCAGCTTAGATTGAGATAAAGATCAAGCTAAAAAGTGGATGACCATGATTAATTCAAGAATCTTATATTTACCTGAGCAAAACTGCCATTAGAAACGTCAAACTTGGGATAACGTTGCCCAAGGCAGTTGCTACAGTTGGAGAAGTGTAAGCTAAACCAGCATAGTAAACATTAAGATGAATAGTAGTCCCTAAGGATGACAGCATAAATATTTTTCCGAACACTGACAACGACAGCGAAGGGCGCTTCTTCCTGCATCCCAAATGCAATATAACGGGTCATTGTTACATCCACACAATAACAAGTTATTCATATTCTTGTGAGCTCTTGAAAGAAATGGTAAGGTTCAGCTATATTCAGGCAATTGGCAGAGCAAGATTACACACAGGTTCACTACCATGATATGAAAAACGCAGTAAAACATGTAAGAACTAAGTATTGAAAGAATCAAGGTCGTAAGGTTAGATTACCTTTCAAGTACATAAGCAACGGGGGCTAGCAAAAGCATGGCAATTATGTGCCGGTAAACGATTAAGACAAACTGATTGAGGCCTCTCTCAAGGGCGATTTTAATGAGAATATTAGATCCACCATAAGCAAATTGAACTACGACCATTGCCACGATAAAACCACAGTTTTTCATGATAGGACACTTGCTTATAGTGAACCAGTAACAGCCAGATGGGTCCATTTTATATTGGTCGAGGATCCAACTCTGCCACTCGCGGGTCAAGGGTTTATCGTGTTAAAACTTGAAGATCAAAATTGAAGATTATTTTTTGGCACCTTTTATCTTATTTGGCTTATTTTTTCAAATGAAAAGCAAGTGACAGGCATGAAAGATTTGTAACTGTACCTATAACAGACATAGTATATGAAACATTGCCCTTTTTTGTATAATAGCCTGGCAGCTTCAGTACCCAACGGCAGAGGGAAGGAGATACCGAGGGTCTATGCCTTTTAAATTTTTATAATATATTTATTTTTATAAATATTGAATTTATAATCTAACTGTTTTATAAATATTAATTTTATTCTAAATACGAAATTTTAATTTCATCATTAACTTAGTTCACTTCAGATGATTGATTTGTAATAAATTAAAAAATTTTATATAATATTTTTTATTATTAATCTCTTGATGTATTATAAGTTTATAAAAGACGAAAGTTTAAATTGACGCCTTCACTCTGTTCTGACTTTGCTTCATATTCTATCTCTTTTTTCTTTTTAAAACGAAATTCTAACATACAGCTATATTATAGAATAAGGGAAGACACATTTTAACACTAAACTTAACTCACTCAAGCAGGTAGTGGAATTCACAATCAGGATAGGAATATGATGCCCGCACTTGTCCGAAGTTGGGTTTCTGAAGCCTTGGACACGATTTTCTCATTGATTGTCTCTTCTTTTGTTCTGAAACCATTCTGTTTCAGGAACAAACATCCTTGCAAGAGGATATAGTTCAACATCTTCAAACCAGGCAGAGCTGTTATTCTCCTCAAACACAAGAAAAGCACATTTCTTGGTTTATGTTGCACGGCAAAGGGCATAAGCATCTGCTCATATTCTCTTAAGATACCAAATGCAGACATCACTGAAGAATTGCCTGACATCGCACTCATCAAAGAATATACGGCTATTTTGGAATCTATCACTTAGAGAATTTCAACAATTTGTTCAATCCATACAAATTGTGATACCAACTTTAAAAGTATTTCAATCTCCATAAATGATATTGATGTGACATCAATTCATCTTATTCGTAACAAAATATTGGCCTTCTGTAAAGTTGTGTTTCATCCTACTTGCTTTCGGATCAATAGCTGTTCTTGAATACAACATGGCTTCTCACTCCATTTAAAAAGTGCCCTAAGTTCTAAATAGGACTATTAGTCTATGCACTTGACACATATTTTTGTCATTATCTTATTAATTTATTAATTCTTTTTAAATATATCTTAATGAGATGTAGGGAATGAAAACTCCATTATCTAATAATCCATTCTAGAAGCTGAATAATAGGAATACAGCCTCCCACCTGAATAGAATTCCATCCTTTTCTCTCTAAAGGATTTGAATGAAGCGGACTAGGCCACAAGGAAGGTCTATAGAAAGGACAGATAAAACAAAGTTTCTGAATATGTCTGCAAGCGTACCTTGTAATGTTTTATTACTGAAAAGGTTAGAAAATGGCAGGGACTAGAATCAACCTTAGATCAGGGAGAAAAAACAGTTAAGGAAAACACTCGAGTTAATAAAAGATGTAGCTGGAGGCAATCTCTCCTAACATACCACTAATACACATATTTCACGTATGCATTAGTAAGAGAACCAGCTTCTTCAAGCGGCGGCCACATTTCCATGTGTTTCAACTTGGAATTGGTTACTTAGGCCGCTGTAGCAAAAGTTGATAAATGAAAGACAGCCCCAATCCTTGAATTGGTTACTTAGGCCATTGCCATGCAAATGATGTTGGCTAACCAGATTGGAATTTATTCACTGCTTGTTTCTCCAATAAAAGTGTGTTTGCTTTAATTTTTTTTTAACTTTAAAATTATCATAAAGTTCTTATAAAAATAATATTTTTTAAAATTAAACAAAAATTAATTAATAAGCTGTTTAATCAAATAAATTATATAAACTCTAATTTCTATTAAAATTATCATAAAAAATATTCATGTGATGCTTCCATTTCAGATGTATAATTTTAAATTTTGAATTTTATTTTTTCTTAATCTTTATAAGATAAACAAAATCTTAAATCGAAAAAGAGTGATTTGCATTAGAAAGGAGAGGAAAGAGAGATTAATTGAAAAGAAAAAAATATTTTTCAAAAAAGACAAATAAAAACTTCTCTATGTAACTTTTCTTTAAGCATTTTTTTTTTAATTTTATTGTTTTAAAATTTATTTTTTAAAGAACTTATTTAAAATCTTATTTAACCTTACTACTATTTTTAGGAGATCCAAGCCAAACACGTACCAAGAATCCTCCCAATTGCTCTCCAGTGCCCATCTCAACTCAAAATTCAAGCTAACCATTTTCAAAGCAATCAGAAACCATCATCAGACCCAAAGTTTTTATTATTTTTTTCCTTTGCGAGTTTGAGAAATGAATGCCATGGGTGACAAAGCTACTACCAATATTTAGATTTATTTCTTTTCTCAGGTGAAAGCTCAATAGCTTTGAACTTGGGCCTATCCTCAAGAATAAAAATACTAGTAATTGCTATTCCGTGGGTTCCTGCCTAACGGGAACCCCCCATTATGAGCTTTTCCTACCCGGTTGGAGCCTTTGAACAAATTGAAACTAAGCGAGAGAGAGCTGCAGAGCACTGACCGATAGAGAAAACAAGATATAAGTCTGGCAGCATCGTCAGCCACCAACTACACACAGAAATATGAAAATGAGAATGAACTCACTTAACTGGATCTCAAATAAATTGAGGTCAACAACAATACAAACTCAAGACAAGGAAAGCGGAAGATGAGTTTGCCAGTAAACAATTGATACAATTTGATTCTTGACAAACTCATAAGGTAAGAGTTAGGGAATTCCAAAGCTATTAGACTTGGCACTTAAGCAATTGCAGACAATGAATGCTGAGAATAGCCCTATAAACCAACACAATACTTAAAATGCAATAGCTAATTATGCAATATGACATAATCAGAAAACCAGAGAACAAATAGATATCCAAAATTTTCAAAAAAAACACATAAAGATAACATCCTTGTAATCCTGCAGCAGCCGGAATCCAGTGAAAGACAAAAAAGAAAACAAAAACCAAGGTCCAACATATTACTAAGTAAAACAACACTATAACTATCACTTAAGCAATCATTCCTCTTCAACAATCCTGCCCTTCTCGCTAATATAGATACCATCAAGGAACTTTCTAATATCCTTGTTCTTCACATGGCATTTCTGTTTAAAACAAACATACAACAGTCAGATTATGTAATATGTAATATAAGCATTAAAAAATTCAAAATGGGAGAGTACCTGGTTTATCAAAGCTGCCGAGCGTGAGACAAGTTCGATATCATTACCATCCAAAACGATCTCATCCTTGACCTTCTCAGATCGAACAATAGAAACCCCTTCCAACATATCCACTTTACGCACCTGATGTAACACCAACAGACAAACCCATATTCATATGGAGAAACATCCAAACGGTTAAACATGAAATGCCAAATTTATGAAGACCTATAAATAGAAGAAACGTCTCAAACTCTATAAACAGGTTATAGGATGACAAGTCTAAGAGTAAACATGGTTCACGTTTGGTTACTTAAACCCTCTGTTCTCCTAAGTAGATAATGCAGGTATAATTTGGTTCAAAAGAATTAGCTATCAACAACTACACGTAAGTAAGAGATACTAATTTTTACAATAAAAAGGTTCTATTTAAGTTATTAGGCATTTAAAACAGCATGCTTCTACTGACAAAATTGATAGGCAAACATTCACAGAAGATTATTTGAAATCAAAAGCCATAAACCAACGAATATATACGTATAACCCAACATTATCGAACAAGTATTCACGGAATAGAGATCAAATATGCATTCCTTAAATCAAAAAGAAAAACATGAAATAAAGCAACGGTAACGAAAAGATTCCGGTCCAATATAAACATATGCAGACAGAGAGCAGGAGAGGACCTTTTTCTCGCCAAGGAAGTTACGGATCTCGATGGACTTGCTGCCGTTAGTAATGGAGGCGTTGATGGGAAAGTGAGCATAAACAAATCTCATCTTGTATCGATATCCCTTGGTGACACCGGTGATGAGATTCTCGACATGGCTCAGAGCGGTGCGAATGGCGGCGCTGGTCTTCCTGGAACCGAACCAAGCCTCGATTCTGAGCTTGCGCTTGCCGGTCTCCTCGTCCTTGATCAGATGGAAGTCAAGGTTGAGGTGCTTGAAGTTGCGGGTGAGCTTTCCCCTGGGTCCCTCAACCTCGATCAGCTTCGCCTTCACTTTGATGCTAACCCCATCGGGGATGTCCATCGTCTCTGAAGAAAGAATGGTCTTCATTTCGTTTGGCTTTTGGCTCTCTCTACACTTAGGCGGCTTCGACCAGACAACACGACACACTCACCTTGGAAAAACCCTAAACCTAGATGCCTTTATATATATACATTTTCCACACTCAGAGAAGGCCGACTTATGGGCTGCTTCAGTGTTCAGGAAACCATAATTTGAGGCCCAACCTTTTTAACTTTATTGGGCTTCATGGCCTAATTGTAATCTCTAATCCGCCCAATAAATAATAAATAATTAATATTTTGATGTTTTCTTTTAATTGCCTATGACTAGATTAAGCAACGATTGTTATGAACTAACTAAAAAAAAAAAACCCTTTTTTAAGGTTTTTTTTTCTTCAATTCAGTAAAAACAAATTATTACATGAAAAACTACTTTTCGAAATATCTATGAACGTTTATTAACAGAAACTCTTGTTTTAATATCAAAATTTAATCTAGCCTCCTGTTTTTAACTTTCTAATCTTTTTTTATTTCTCTCAAAGTCATTAAACTATGATTTCGTCCAAAATATATTAACTGTTGAAGTCTCCGCGAGATGCATTTTTCACAACTTCTAAAATCGTTTCCTTCACCTTATCAGTTTTATTAACTATTATAGACTACGAAATAAATTTAGTTGGGAATAATTAATTAATAACAGAATCCAACTGGAAATGAATATATTGACTACAACATGAACGGAGACTCGGTTTCAAAATCGAAAGCGAAGAAACATTTTCATATTAAAACACTAATATCCGACCTTTCTCTTGGCCAACACTTTCCCATTACATTGATACGCCAACTCTGAAGCAACAGGTCGAAGGAATTAAAACCCTAACAAAGCAAAAACAACCAAAACCAAAAAGAAAACCATACTCAGCAAGAAATAAAACAAAGAATCCACGAAACACAAGATTTCATGTGTTACTCTGATGCCACAACTGAAAGTCAAAAACAATATTACCACAATTTGGCAGTTCCTGTACAATTCAAATCAACCCTTCATGGGGACAAAACACTAGGGCCTGGAACAAAAGTCTTCCTTCAACACTTGGCATGAAGCAAACAGTGTCCCCATCATCTTATCAGCAATCTGAAACAGCACACGTTTCTGAGTAATCTTCCTCTTTGTCTTCCAGCTTGTACGCGCTGAAGTGATTGACCCTGAACTTCCATTCTCCTTTGATGGGATCATAGGACAGAAACTCTGCTCCTTGGTCCTCGGCCTTCCTCTTAAGCATTTCCTTGTATTTCTCGACTTTTGGCCCTTCCGTATACTGGCGTCCAGTCTTTTTATCAAAACATTTGATGTTGAGAAGTGTTACCTCTGCCGGCTTATTAAGACCTTGTCCAATAGGAGGTTTCTTGCTGTCATCCATGTAAACAATCACCTCACGGTTGTTGAACTGCACAAGGGACTCCAGATCAAGACGTCTCACATCTGTCTCACCCAGGAACTTGATGCTTCCATAACCATGCCGTCCAACCACAAAGTCCTTAACACGGCGACAATACCCTGGTTCAGCCCTTTCCTTTGCTGCGAGTTCTTGGATTCGAGGTTCTGTATAGTAATCAGACCGCCTGAGCTTTGGCATTAGAGCCTCAATGTCAGCCCCATGCTCATACACAATAGCAGCCTCACCAGCTCTGTGGCCACTGAGCGTCATGTATGAGTCCTCTTTCTGAACAGAATGATCATCATGGACTCCATTAGCTTTCTGGTTACCTCTGACAGGATGAATTCGCTCCTTCGCAATGCCATTTTCAGCTGGATTTTCTACAATGATAATATCAATCAAAAGAAGTTAAACAGTAGCAGAAATGCCAGCAAACCAATTTATAATGGTCCTAAGTTCATCTGAAAGTTATAATCAGATAAGTACCCTCACAATCATTATCACAAATAGGATCACCATGGGCAGAAAAGAGAAAAGATTACTTTTAACACTTAGCTTTCCAAAGGAAAGGAATAGACAACAGGCTACTCCCTGTTTCTGACTGTCAAGCAGAAGAGAGTTATTAAACAGTGTACGGAAAAACTTCAAATAGTTCCTAAATCAAGCCATGCAATGTCATGAAAGGCAGTTATAACCCACGCAATTTTTCACACCATAACACACTAAATTAAAGAAACAATTTTAGTAACATAACATTAATAAAATGGCATGACAAGAAATGAAAGATGATTATAATTTCATGTAAAAGATACTTACTATCTTTATCCTCAGCATTGAAGCCGTCATCAGATATTTTGCCTAAATGAAAAAGAAAGAGTTAAACACAAAATCATGTCTGAAAAAAATCACAGTATTTTCTCAGTGCAATAAGAATATTGTAGCGGGACCAGAAAAGTGCTTTCTCACAACAGAAGGCATTACCAATTTTTCCTTTGGCCAATCGGCATTACTTGGTTAGCTCATTAGTTTGACTATAATCCAAGGATGTTTGTGTGTGTGTCATGCATGTGTTACAGAGATAGAGAGGGAACAGAAACACAAAAGACTACAAAGAGGAACCAATTACATAAAAGTACCCTCACTATTGACTTCTCAAAGATTAAACGCTATTAACAAGGACTTAAGCATCAATAGCATTTTGAGACCATCTCTGAGAACCTCATATTGTCAAATGGTGGTAGGTAACACATGGAAAGAAGAAACAAAGCCTGAAAAAAGTTAAATGCTTCATAGCAATCAAATTTTGCCCCTATCTGTAAGCACTTGATCTCATCCTTACAAATTCAGTTGGTCTCACCAAAGGAATGCAGATGAGCTCCAAAGAATCTTACCATTCTCATGCACTGGAGTGGATGCATCCTTCAATGGTGATGCCTTCTCTGCAGAAGCTCTTGAAGACCAATTTTCTGTGGGACGAATGACCAGAGCTCTTGGATTTTCCCTAGGAATAAAAACAGCATCAGCCTTAGGTGTGCTGGGTGTCTCTTCATCATCACTGAAAAATGGAACCTGCAGATGTCAATTAAAAAATGAAACAAACACATGTTAGAACTGTAACTTCATATGGGTAACAATGTAATAATATCAAAAATTAGAAGATTAGATTAACTACTTTCACAAGAGTCAGTATCCTGACCTTTGGACTATCATTATTAGGACGATATTTCCTTGCAGGCAACCTAATCCGCCTTTGTGAAAGGTATCGAGAAGTCAATAAGGGTGATATTCTAATAGGAGCAGGTTTGTCCACAACCTGATGAATTCATTACCAGTTAACCAATTAACACAACTATAGTTTCATTCAACACAAAATCATTGGCAATACTAGCAGAGAGAGAGAATGATCTTTAACAAGTCAATTGAACAGCAGATCAAACTTGAAGCCTCAGAGTAAATAAAGCAAGGTCAGAAAGTTACAGGCATGCTAGAAATCCCATATTGAACAGATGGTGCAGTCCCAGCCCGACCAATTGACATTTGAGGCATAGCAGGGAGTGTTCCATATGGGTTTGTAATAGTCACGGGTTGCACTACAGCAGCACTCTGTGTAGCAGGCCTGTAAAACAGAAGAGAATGCTGGATCAAGCTCCAAAACATAAATTATAGAACTATTTGGACAACCATAGACTACATGCACATATGCAAAGGTCAAAGAAAAATTATAACAGATATCCATATGCTTGTAGGCAATGTATAAGGATATAAGTTGCAGTGCAAACAGAAGGAAAATCCAAAGGATATAACCCATACGATTGGCCAATATTACTCTGACCAAAAATGCCTGATCCAGCACCTACAAAGCCAGCAACAATGTCATTATAGTCCGCCCCATCAAAGAAAGCTCAATGCTTTAATGATAATATTAACAATAAAAGGTCTACCTGGTTGCGTCTGACCAAAATTGCTAAAGCTGAAAGCACCACTAGTCTGAGCAGGCGGAGCTGGCTGAAAAGGTGAAGCAAAAGAGGGCTGCAAATACAGTGGGTCAAACTCCATAATTAAGGCTCAGAAACAGGTAAGACAAGCATGCATGCTAACACAAAGGCTCATGCATAAACCTAGAGAGGATTATTTCCCAAATTCAAACAAGCAAAACTCCTAAATTCATAAAGTTAGGCATAAATATTTTTTGTAAAATATTTAAAACGCATTACAATCAACAAGTAGTCATAATATTTAGCTAAATCAGTCCCCATGAAACCTGATCTTTAGAAGAGTATCAATTATGACTCTTCATTCAACAAAAAGATAGGCATCTGAATTGGGAAGACAAAAAACTCTTATTTAATTCTTTACTAATTCAACAATACAGAAGCAAATAGCTTACTCCTATCAGCTATCTAATCCTCTTCCCACTCAATCATACACGACAGGGTTCAACTGTGGACAATTAGTTTGAATTCTCAATTCAATAAAAAAAATACATACAAATAATTCTGCATCCCTGCAACAGCATGATGAAAATGAACAGAAATAAAGCACTTAGATCAAAGTTGAAGACTAAAGCAACAAACAGTATAGCTTCATTCTATAACCAAATGACTAAATGAGCAAAGGAGCATAAATATAAAGAAAAGAAGAACGATCATAAAATTCATGAATGACTTACTGTAGTTGGGCCAAAAGCAGCTGGGTTGCTAGAAGAAGCCAGCGACAGAGAGCTTGAAAACAAATTCCCACTAAACCCAGTGGAAGGTGTATTGAAAATGTTTGTTGGACCAAAGTTACTACTATTCTGTCCAAAGGTAGAGGTGACCTGCCCAAAAGCATTGCCAGTTTGTCCAATTGCTGGGGTAGAATTGAACAGAGGGGATGTCTGACTGCTGCTAAAATTCAAACCAGTAGCAAAGGCTGGAGTTGTTGTGGGAGCTGCACCAGTACCAAAAATGGATGGTGAAGTTGAAAATGAAGGAGTGATGGATGAACTAAAAAGAGATGAACCAGTTCCAAACGCAGGAGTCGAAGAAGAACTAAATATTGAAGGTGTTGTTGACGAAGTTGGGCCAAAAAGGCTCGATGATGTGGATTGAAAAGGATTTGATGTGGTAGTTGAGGTTGTAAAACCTGTACTATTAAAGGATGGAGGTTTTATACTAAATGGATTGTTACTCGTGCCGGAAAAAGGATTTGCAGATGTTTGACCAAATGTTGAAGAAGAGCCAAAAGGACTTGTTGGTGCAGTTGACACACCAAAGCCAATCCCTCCAGAAGGCTGAGCAGCTGGCTGCGGTCCACCTGAATTTTCAAATTAATACAGCAAGGTAATCAATGTCAAATCACAGAAAAGAAGAATGATCAACATTCAGATTTTTAGAAATATTTTATAAAGGTACCTTTATCTCCCAATTGATAGTCCTCCCATCGCAGCTCCTCATGACTTTTATCTTTGTATACAGGCATCGCTGATATTGACTCCAACTTTGCAGCTGGCTGTGTACCACTCCCACTATCTGCTTCAGTTGTAGGTGTGTAAGGCGCTACCCTACTTCCCCCACGTTGACCCCCAAAAGGTGACTGGCCAAAGCTGGTGCTTCCAAATGCCGGTGCAGAAGATTGGGCTCCTGCATTAGAACACAATAGAATTTAATTTTATATATATATAAGAGCATCCTCGTACTCAAAAAGTCGAATGCAAATGCAAAGATACATTTTCACCCAAACTGTATAAGTGCTTTTAAAGTTTATAACTAAATATATAAACTTAATTACTCACCGAAAGGAGAACTCTGGGCTCCAAATGCAGCAGTTCCAAAAGGACTGCTACCAAATGCTGATGTTGATTGACCAAAGGCTGGGCTGGACCCAAAGCTGAAGGAAGGAGTAGAAGATGCTCCAAAAGCAGGAGTGCTTGAAGCACCAAAAGCAGGAGTACTGGAAGTGCCAAAAGCAGGAGTGCTTGATGCTCCAAATGTGCCTCCTGATCCAAAGACCGGGGCATTCGATACACCAAAGGCAGTTCCAGTGCTCCCAAATGCTGGACTTCCAGTTGAACCGAAGGCAGGGGTGCTTGAAATACCGAAGGCAGGGGTGCTTGTGGCACCGAAGGCAGGGGTGCTCGTTGCACCGAAGGCAGGGGTGCTCGTTGCTCCAAAGGCAGGGGTGCTCGTTGCACCAAAGGCAGGAGTACTGGAACCAAATGCAGACTGAGTTGAACCAAAAGGCGTGGAGGAACCAAATATACCACTACCAAAAGCAGGCTGTGATTGCTGCGCTGTGCTTCCAAAAGGACTTGATTGAGTGGGAGTAGACCCAAAGCCAAATGCAGGCTTCTGTCCAAAAACAGAAGATCCTATCAAAACGAAAAAACAGTCATCAGCTTAAAACTAAAGAAAAGACACCAAATTACCCAAAGCTAAGACAAAAGAGTCAACACATGCATATAACTAAAAGCAGATTACCAAAAATTGGCAAATTAAATGTTTATCAGAAATAACAACTGCTCCTTATGGAAAAAGATGGCTCTCATTTAAGATCATATTTTGGTGCTCAATGAAAAAGGAAACAACCAAGCAAGTTTTTAATAATGAAACATTAAGCTTCTTCCATCGCCACATAATTAAAACTGCAATTAATTGTAACATGAACATATTTAAATAGGTAGGTACGTATATATGTATGTATATGTATACCAACTCAATGATCTACACCACACGTATTAGAACACTAGGAATAAAGCATCAAAAAGTATCAAAAAACAAAAAGGCATTTCAATCACCTTTATTAATATATTTAACTAGAACAGAAAGAATATGAAAAGAAGGAGAACTAAATTGTAACAATAGAAAATAAAAAACATACAGAAACACTTACCACCAAAAGATGATGATGAACTGCCAAAGGCAGGAGTAGAAGAAGATCCGAAAGCAGGCATGGAACTTCCAAAAGCCGGAGATGATGAGGCACCAAAGGCCGTTGTTGAGGGAAAGGGAGAAGAAGATTGCGCTGCACCAAACACTCCAGTAGACGTGCCCCCAAATATTGAACCCCCTGTTTGGGAGCCAAAAGGGGTTGGACTACCAAAGGAAGGTTTAGGTGCAAATGGATTGGTACTTGCATTATTGGTCTGCCCAAACACAGACTGGGATGCAAATGGGCTACTTGATGATTGCCCAAAAGCTGTATGAAGAATTTCTAACGTTTAATATAACTTTCCAAAAAGATTCACAAGCAATAACAAATGTATTCTCAAAAAGGACGACATCTACATATAGGTTAAAGATAACAACAAAATTTAAACACCGATAACGCAACTAAAACTATATATCACAAACAAAGCACGATTAGTTGACCAATAACAAGTGCAACAACTTTTCTAATTAAAAGATTATAACTAACAGCAAACCTAGAAGCTGTACAACCTACCAAACAGTTACCATGGAAGGTAGTGCTTTCAGAAGAAGACTTTTACTGTAGTATAAATGCAGAAGAGAAAACCGCCCAAAAACGAAAAAAAAAAGATTAACTTAAAAAAAATGAAAATATATTCTTTGTATATCACAGCATACAACATAAGAATGCTCGTTGAAAAATTAAGCTACTCTTCAATATGAAAACAATAAAAAATTTGGAATTACACAATTCCTATATTAAAACTACTAGCCACAAGCTTCAAGTTTTCAAAGAATGACTGGAAGCATTTATACATTCATCGAAACATCAGCTAAACAAATCCAAACATCCAAGTAAAACACAAATTTCCAGCAAACTTTGTACCAGAAATGATAAAATGTAAGAGGAAGACTTACGGTTAGATGAACCAAACATCTTCGCTTAAATAGTTCTCTACTCCACCGGTCCGTAATCCCAAACTGAGAAAAGAAATTGAAGCAGAAAGCAAATGAAACAAACAGAGAAACTAGAATAAGTATGCATATATAAATTCCACCGAATCTATGCGCAAATTATATTAACATTGCAGAAACAAACTAAATGCCGTTAACATGACGGCAAGAACCAAATTTGGATCCCTTTTACCATTTAATTGCGTATCAAACGAATCGATTCTTAAGTGGAACTGCAAAAGGCGATTGAAGTTTAACTTTTCTTTTTTTCCAAACAAAGAGAAAATTACCCAAAGAGAAGAGTAGAAGAATATACCAAGTACAAAAAAAAAAACAAGTGTCGAATGCTTCAATGATTAGCCAATGAAACCCTAGCTATTATATGTACGTACAATTGCGAAACGTACAAAAAAAAAAAAGAACCAGCGGGTGTTATCGATCAGTGAAGCAGTGGAGTGCGAAAGAAAAAACTAAAGATATAAATGAGAAATTAGGAGAATCGAACCTTTTAGGGTCGATCTGAATATGCAAGATGAAGAGATGGAGACAGAGTGGAAGTTTATTGAGTCGGAGAAATCAGAGGAGAAAGAGTGGAGAGAGGGAGATGGACGCCCCCCGAATGACGAAAAGACCCAAACGGAGGACAGCAATTGAGCAAAATAGGGGGTTTTGTAGGGTCGGGTGATCCGCGTAGCGTTGTTTGTAAGTCCTGGCAGGGGCGTAGCGTCATTTTGCAGCCCTCAAAAGTCGATGTTCGAAGACTAAAACATTAAATAAATTTGGTAATAAACTTTTTGTAATTGAAATGTTAAACGATGGGGATAAATTAGTACATTAATTTAAAAAAATGATGATTAAAAAAAATTTTATTCGTATGTTTGGTATTTTTTTTACCTTATTTATCTTTAAAAGTAGAATTCAGATTAAATAAGATTTTAAAAATATCTTTAAAAAAAATTAATAAAATCTAATAAAATAGTTTTAAACAATGTTATTCTCTTTTTCTAAAAACTTACTAGCTTTTAAAAAAAAAATTTCTTATCTCTTAAAAATAATCCTAACATTATCTTATCAAAAAATACCCTTCTTTCTTTTTTATGATTTATTATTAATTATAAACTTTATGATATATAAAAATATTTTTTATATTTTCAAATTTTATTTTAAATAAATAAACAAATAAACTTAATTTTTTTCATTGTAAATAAAAGAATTCGTGATTAATAATAAAATATTTATTAAAAATAGTAATTTTAATCAAAATTAGAGTTTATATAAGATGTTTTGTCATAAAATTTATCTTTAAAAAAACTTTATGAAAGTAAATTTATCAAATAGTTTTACTTTAATTTTAAAAATTATTATTTTTTATAAGAACTTCATAATAATTATTAAGTTAAAAAAAATAAGCCAAACAAGCTCTTAATGAGATTACTATTAACATTAATTAATCACCTTTGTTAACATAATTTAATAAATAAATAAACACCCTATAAAAAAATAAATAACTATAAATAACTTTTGGTATAATATCTAAAAAAATCTCTAAATTATTTTAAAAATTTTAAACAATCAATTACTTTTTTATGTTAAATCAAGCCTTTATACTTTTATTTGAAATTAAATAAACTCTTATGACTTATGATGGATTATAGAAATAAATAACTATAAATAATTAATGTTAATAAAAATGACATCCATCATTTTATACAACGTAACATTGATGTAATATGTTTGACATGACATATTATAATTTTCACTCTTCATGTCAGTATTATGTTAATATTATATAAATATAAAATAATAAATGATATTTTGACTAATGATAATTAATCTAATATCTATTAAGAAAATACTTAAATCAAATTCAATACGACTTTACTTAAAAAATTGTTGAATACTATTATTAGTAGTATTATGTTGTAGTTATCCAAATTCTGAATCATATGAGATAATTTCTTGTATTTTAAACATTTTTTATGATTTATTTATTAAAAAACCTTTTAATGATTACTATTTATTTTTATGAGAATAAACAAAAATATTAAATTAAATAAAATATGATATTGCATAGTAAATTATCAGGTTCAACAACTAACAATTTAACAAATTTTTATTTATTGATCAAAAGCATCTACAAACTACATAAAGTTAAATATAAAAGTCAAATAATTAAAAAATATATCTACAAAATAAATCAAAACAATACTTAAATTTTAAGATATAATTTGACATGCAATACTATTTTTTATTAGTTAAATTTTATTTGGGTCTAAAACTATCAGATTAATTAAAAAATAATTAGACCTGAAGTATTTAAAAACTTAATTTGGACTGAAAATTATTTACAATTAAAACTTAAATGAAAATTTCTTATAATTGAAATTTAAATAAATTGTTTTGAAAGAGTGAAAAATGTAGCCAATGACAAATAGAGAAAACGTTACTGCAGGTCTCAAATGTAGGATTTGAATTTTTTTAATAAAGAGAGTAATTTAGGTTTTTATTTTTTTAATAAAAACATAAATTATAGAATGATTTTTTTATTTTTATGTAATATTTAAATATTAATATATAAATTACTTTTGATAAATTTACTTTAACTTAAATCTTTGACCGCACTACTTACAAAATTGTAAAAAAATTGATAAGTTTGTTAATATATTAACAATATAAAACTCTAAATAAGTAGTATAACAGCTAAATTTTTTTTATAAGTGAGTGGTGTCATATGACACCACTTCCTTTAAGGTAGGTTCGCCTTTTGTTAATTATAAAATTATATTTAATTACAAATAAAAATATTATGACATAGAGTTTTGTTCTTTCATCATAATAATATAGTTTTATTTCATAAAATGCAGTAATGTGGTACGTCAAGATTCTATAGTCCTAATAAATAAAGAGGAGATCACTAGTTGATCAAATCGAATAAATTGATCAAACTAATTGGATTTACTCATTTCAATTTGATTGTTTAGTTTTTTTTTTTTAGATTGGTGAGATTAGTATAATCGAATTGATAATAATATATAATTTTAATTATTGAAATATATTATATATATAATAAATATTGTTATGTTATTTACAATTTTACCATTCTTAATTTTTGCCCCAAACCCCAAATCTTATCTTTATCACCCTCAAACAGACCCTACACCACTGCACAATTTGGTGTCCACCACCGCTAGCGCAAAACCACCATACTAAATATGTACAAATTTTTTAAAGTAAAATACTTTAAAATTTTTAAAAATTATTTTTTATTATAATTGATTAACTCTTGTTAATTAAAACTACACTTATTATTTTTTATATCATATAAAACTAATGTGATATAATTATTGATAACATGACATGTTAATATAACAAAATTACATTATTATATAATAATTTTATTATCAATTATGACAAGTCAATATGTTATGTCAGTATCATATAAATATAAAATAATAAATATTAATATAATTAATACTAATTAGTTAATTAAAGCAAGAAATCACAAATCTATGATTTTTTTTTTTTACATGTGACCAAAGATTTCATTAATTGATTTGGCACATCAAATTTTATTTCATGCACTATCATTAAGGCTTATAATCATGAATTTTTCTTCCCATCATTTTTCCATCATTAACTTTTACGCACACCAATGCATGATGGGTAACTTTCCCCAAGGTGAGTCAATATGAATTCTTTCATCAATACCAAAGGAAAAATAAGAAAACACAACAGCAAATTGGATTTAGTCATAGTTGACAGAATTATTCCATAATTCATTTGACAACAAATTTAAATTACCAATAATTTAATATAACTACTAGGATTACAATTACAATTATTATAATTCTAAGAGCCATATCCCTCTTGAAAACTGATTATGTTTAACTCAATAAATTGTTAATAAGTGAAATTTTGGAACTTTATTCATGGAAATATTATATATATATATGTATATATATGAAATTTTTTTGTCTTTTTAACGGATTAATTAACCAATGGTGATAGATTGATAGATATTAAATTAACAAGTCCAAAGTAAAACCTTGGAACATTTATCAACAACATAGGCTGAAATCAGGAATTATTCTGGGCCAATTGGGCTGAGGCTACTTGTTGCCCAAAATGCTCACAGCAAACCGGCCCAGTAGTTTAAAACAAATTTTCTAAAGTTGCTAGATTATGGGCTTTAACCCATCCATAAAAGTTGCAAGATTGCTAACCACACTTAACAACTCTCAAATGTCATTTTTTTGACATAATGTCCGAAATTTTTTATATAATTTAAGAAAAATTTATTTTCTTATTACATTTAATCAAGTATTTATATTTTTATTTTGAATCAAATAAGTCTTATAATTAATGGTTAATTAATTATCATTAATTAAAATATCACTTGGTATTTTATATTAGATGAATTCCTTTAAAAAAAATTTTTATATTGGATAAAAAATGTTGTATAATAATGTTATTATGTCATGTAATAATCTAATACGACATGTCAGCATGCTACATCAGTATCATGTGATATAAAATAAGAAGTGATATTTAGACTAATAATAGTTAATCAACCATGAGAAATAAGAATTTATTTAAATTAAAATAAAATATAAGGATTTAATTAAATGTAATCAAAAAAATAAAAATTTATTTGAATATTCTTCAATAATTTATGAATTTTTTAAAATATTATATATATTTTGGCATAATATCTAAAAAAGCTATTAAACTATGTAAGAAAATCGAAATAAGCTCTTATACTTTTATTACATTTAATCAAGACCTTCTATTTTTGTTTTAAGTTCAATAAATTTTTATAATTAATGATTGATTTAGGTAAAATGTAATTTATCATTCTATATTATGTGTCATTGACGTGACATGTTAAAATATCATAATTAATGATGACGTAATATGCTAATTTAATATGATAACAAGAATATATGATATTTTTCACCTTTCGCATCAATGGCATGTTATTATGTTAGTGTCATGTAAATATAAAATGATGATATTTTGTCTAACACAATTAATTTAACAATAATAATAAGGGTTTATTTGATTTTTTAAAAATAATTTAAAAGCTTATTTGAACATTGTGACATATTTTTTTCATTTCAAACTTCTTGCAAGAAGAACTTTATATTTTGCGGTGAGAATGGGAAAGGAACAGAGGATGATTGGTATCATCTTCCTTCTTTAAGGAAAATGGTGGTCACTAAGTTACGATGATTCGCAACGAAAGATAGATAGAGAGAATGATGAAAAGTTTTTAATTTAGTAACAATGCTACAAAACAAGGAGAACTTACAACATAGCCATCAAATTAAACAAAGGAATAGAAAAGGTCTCATGATTTTTTTATTTTCCATGTTTCTTAAAAGTCTACACAATGGAGTTATCTGTCTGCTTCTTATTGTTTCAAAATATAATTCATGATAATGTCTAGTTGGTTGCTATTGTAATTTAGTAATTCCGTCGATGTAAACAACTAGGCCTGCAATAGACATCCCAATATTTTTTAAGATTTAAGCAGCAAGGTTTTGCCATTTTCTTTGCTGTCGACTGCTGGTTTACCAAAGATACCGTTTCAATACACACAATTATAAGAAACCTGAACCTCGGCTACTCGAACGTTCGATTAAAGGAAGAAATCAACTGATCAATATGGGGGCTCCAAGTAGTTCTAATGGAGTGCGTGGCAGAAAGAAGTCATCATCCAGAGGACACCATAGATTCGTGGGAGTTAGGCAGAGACCATCAGGGAGATGGGTGGCTGAGATCAAGGACTCCTTGCAGAAGGTCAGGCTTTGGCTTGGAACTTTTGATACTGCCGAGGAGGCTGCTCGAGCCTACGATGATGCTGCTCGGGCCTTGCGTGGGGCTAATGCGCGCACCAACTTCGAGCTACCCCAGTCAGCATCAAGTACGTGCGGCAACCGCGTCTCCTTGGATAACATGGAGCCTTTCTCGTTTGAGGAAGTCTGTGGGTCGGGAAGTGATGCCGATGGGTTTCTTGGAGCACTCAAGGCCAAATTGCTTGATGGCAAAGGGCTCAGAGTCCTATCACCTGCTAGTTGTGCTGGTTTGCAATCTAGCGTTGCTTCCAGCTCTCCTCATAACAACGGTAACGTCAGCAGAGAGTCAGGTGTGACAACAGTTGCACCTCAAGGAATTGGAAACATGAACCCTGTTCAGGGTCCTGTAAATCCCGGTTTTAGCAAGCCCGACCCTGTCGTAAATCTAGATCATGAACATGATGATCAAGTGGCTGCAGGTCATATTGGGGTTCAATGGCATCAACCTGGCCAAAGCCAAACTGCGTCTATTGCAAGCATGATGTGGTCCAATGAACCGTCATACGAAGCGGCATGGGGCGCACAGATGAACCAAGTCCCTCCTAATGGCTTGTTTAATATCACCACTTGCACAACTGCAACATCTACATGGCCACTTTCCGGGACAACTGAATCAACAATGGACTTGTCATATTCGGACCAGTGCCCAATAGAGATGCAAATGAATATGAATGGTAAAACAAACATGCTGAGCATGCCAATTTCTCAAATTGATGGAACGACAGAAGGTGTTTGGCCGTCAGAGCAGCAGTTTGTGCACTCTGACAACAACGGTTGGAGTGGCGCTAATGGCTCTTGGGATCCTTACCTCTATGTTTCCTCTGTGCTTGGTTGATATCAGCCAATCACAGATTCATCATGATTAATGCGATTCTTTCATTTTCTATTTCCATTATTAATTGTACAACAACACCTACTAATCATTCTTTACTTTGTGCCCATTGAATCCTTTAAAGCTGTAATTTGACTATTATTCTCAGGGAGAAAGCACAAAGAATGTACTAGTCATTACATTCAGGATTAAGCGTAACTGCGTAAACTTTTACTTAATCACAGATTTCCGTATTCTATAAAATCCTCTTCATGATTTATCCAATACCGATAAAATCTCTTTCATAGCAGACAAAAGCTTCTTTAACCTTAATATGATAAAATGTATACTTGTGATGTTGTAATCTAAACGAATAATCAAATTATAAGCCAAGGTTTTGCACTTTGTAGCTCTAACGTTTAGTTTACATACAACTAAACGTTGCTATATTAACACTGGAAGAGTAGGATGACTCCATCTTTAGGCTTACATGATTTTACCCATTTGATATTTCGGTAAACTTTATCACAAATATCAACTTGCTTTGATCATCCTAAGTGCATATCTTCAACTAAACCTTAGTTAAATCTGATGAGCTAATACGGCTCTGCTCTGCTGTATGCTGGGATGGAGAAGTGTGTTAAATGGAAATTGATACTACATTAATTCCTAAGATTCCAAGTGGAAAGACAAATATGTCCAAATGCGATGAAGAAGATTCTGATAGGATTGTGGGCTCAGGTTCATGGTACTAAGAAAATTGATAATGACCCCTTTGTATAGTTCGTCCCAACTACTATAATTCTGGGGTGAGACAATACAAGTTTGTCCAAAACCAGAGGCGAAAAGCTGTCTAATAAAACTTGCTCTCAAAATCCATAGAAAATGGTTTTGTTCCTATCTCCATACAAGATGCTATCAATGATTTTTTCTTAGTTCATAGCTTGGCAGTATGCAGTCTCAAAGTGGAAACCAGCGTGTCTTTTGTTATGGATAATTAAAACACAATTTTAATTGGATAGCTGTACGTTTGCAAAAGGAGTCTTACTCGGTGTCTGATGCGAAATGTTGTCCTAATCCGATATGTGGTCGTATTTCTGTCTTTTCTTTGGTGGGAATAGCTAAGTGTGTATGTTTGGAGTGGCTGACTTTAGACTATAAGCTTCTATTGTGGGTCATCATCTGCACACTAGTTACAGCTTACAAGATCTTGGACGGGCAATCCGTAAGATGATAGACAATTGAATTGGATTGCTCGGATGTAGCTTTGAAAACCAAAAGGATCAATATCAGTTAACAGATTCTTTGGTAAATATAGCTGACAGACTGAGTTCCCATTTCCTTCATCTTGTACATCATAGTTGCTTTTGCTGTAACAATTTCCCAATAGCTTAGGAGCAATCCTTACGCTCTTCACTATCTAAGCTTCCTAATTTAATAGGGAATGAATGCCTTAATCAGAGGCATAAACAAGGGGGAAAAGGAAAGGAATTTAAAATGCTTTTGCCAATATTTTAGGAACTAATTAGCCAAAATCGTCCTTCAGATTTCTAAGCTGCATGAGCATGTCTGCGTGAATGAGTGGACCAAGAACTCTTTGCCTATTTCCTACACATCTTAAATGTTATTCCATAGCATAAGAAAGTTAAAGAGATGAGGCGGGACCATTTTAGCTGCCATTGGAAGAAAGGTCGTACGGTGGTTAGTCGTACAAAAGTCTATAACGAATGGTCCTCGTCATTGCAAAGTTGTTTCGTGGCATCTGGAATCAAATCTCAATATCAATGCTTGCATAATTTAAGGCAAGTGGGAGCTGGAGCACGGAGGGAATTTCAGTAGAAAGCTCAAAGATGGCAATATGGTAGTTAAAATCCTAGTTTATGGAATCCCAAGCATCTCCTACATGTTCGTTACCTATGAACCTCCAATCAGCAGAACACAATTTCTAACGTGGGCTCGCGCAGTTTAGCATAGCTGGCAACATGTTATTGTAGATTACATTGGCTACTTTACCTTTCAGTTTTTGATTCGGGGATAACTAAGGCTGCCATGGCATATGAAGAATGCATGCATTTGAAAGCGCAGAATTATTAATACTCAATGCAGTAATGAACACTCCTTTTAGTGCATTTACCGGCTGTCCTTGAATCAAAATGAAGAATAAATGCCAAATATCCGAAGATGGAAAGTAGCTAAGGCTCAATGTGAAGAACATAATAAGATTGGACTATAAGAGCTAGAGATGTTTTGTCGGAAAAATAATGTATTTTATAAGTTTCAAGCATCTCATATTACCAAGGTATATAAAAGTGTAATCGTTTTAAATAATTAAACTCATTATGAGTTCGTTGCATAGAAGAAAAAGGAGTGGGTTCACGTGTACACGAGATCGGGTTAAGCCCTCCCTATGCGTGAGTATACACCTAAGGTAGGCTTAATTTAATTTTTGTACCTTACAGAGTATAATTAGGTTTTTTTTCAACTCCCTTGATTTTGATCCTCTGCTTATAAATATAGTCTTCTTACCTCAACCACAACATACGTTGAGTATAATTAAGTTTTTTCTTAACTTTTTTTATTTTGGTCATCTGTTTATAAATATAGCCTTCTTACCTCAATCACAACATACACTGAGTATAACTAGCCTTTTTCTCAACTCCCTTTATTTTGGTCCTCTACTTATAAATATAGCCTTCTTATTCTTACCTCAATCACAACATATTGAGTATAACTAGGTTTTTTCTCAAATTTTTTTATTTTTTCTTAACATAGAAAATTTATTTTGTTCCTGTTATCTCTTATTAATTTGTGTTTATAAATATAACCTTCTTACCTCAACTACAACGTACAATAAGCAACCACAACACACAACAAGTAAAACTTCTTTGTATACTTTCTTTGTTTTCATTCCTTTCTTACTCGGTTTTATTTTTCAAAAAAATCTTTCTGTTATTCCTGTTATCTCTTATTAGTTTGGCAAATTATAAAGAAGAGTCTATTGAATTTTGAGGATAACCGTTACAATTCTTGTGCATTGAGTCTTGTATTTCGAAGGAACGAAAATTATCTTTAAAGAGAGTAATACCATGCTTTAGGCTTTTTTTTTTAAATTTTCTATGTTTTATTTCATTGTCAACATGTTTAACCTATACCAAGTAAAGAATGTGCAATTTAAGAAGAAGTATATTTCTAAAATTACACCAATGAACTTTAAAAAAAAAAAAATTATACCGATGGCTTGAAATTCAGCACTTGGATTATAGATCTGGAAAGTTCAAAGAGCAAGCAATTAGCTGTTTCTGTTCAATATATAATCATAGGGTGCATCAAGTGAATTTCTCTCACTCTCCCTTCAGGTGCAATGGGGCAAGATTTGACACATTGTTCTTGTTTCCCACCTTGTAGGTGTGAGGATGCTTCCCTTACCTGTTTCAAAGATGTAGTACTAGATGCTATGCGCATCGGAAAGAGATGAGAGTGTCAATTTCTCCTACACCCCTACTCAGAATATGCCTAGATGTAGTAATATTGCTGACCATAAAATCTTGACTAGCATGAGGAACATCATCTAACAGTTGAATAGAGCCTAGAAGAAACCTGGAAATGAAAAGCTCATGGCCATGCATCGATGCTTCAATAATTTGCAAGAGCCTCCAAACTAATCTCCATTTGTTTGAAACTAAGGATCAGTCAAAAGAAAGTGAAAAGATGAGAATAATTATTAAACTATTGCCAAGGGTAGTTGCTTAAAGCATTGATGTGATTTGAAAGAATTTAATCTTGCTTTGTTCCCACTTTTTCCGGGGTCCATCTATTTAGAGCTATAGATGTCTGCCTCACTAGTCTATTAAGAAAATTGTTCACAAACAGAGAAAGGTAGCTCCAACCTTGCCTTGGCTCTTTGACTGCTGGATCTAATGGCAGAGTTCAATAGCTGTGGCGAATGGAAACATTTTATTGTAATGATAGCAATTGATTTTTCTTTTGCTGTGGTGAATATTCTTCTTAAGAAAGTCCTTGATGAAGGGATGAACCACTTCGTCCTCATAACATTCCGGCTGTCATTTGCTACAATCTTCTTGGCCCCTATTGGCTACTTTTGGGAAAGGTAGGAGCTCCCCAGTCTCCATTCCTGTTACTTTTTCTTTTAAATTTTTGACAAAATTCTCGACCTTTGGAGTTTGGCGGTGAGCTAAATTCTGATTTCTTGAGTGTGTTGAGCTCTAGCCTTCCCCTGTCAGGTGTTTCTGTAGCTGCTTAGGACTAAAATGCTCATTGATTTGCGAGCAACTTAGATGGCTCTACATGGTCAAGTAGTCGCTCTCCAAAGTGTATCTTCGTAATTTAAACACAACCTGACCCAGGATTGCTTGCAGGAACAGCAGACCAAAGCTCACACCACGCATTTTATGTTACCTCTTTTGCAGCGCAATCGTGGGGTTAGTTTATATTGAACTAGATTCATGAATTCCTTCTAGCTAGCCGTATTGTTAATAATATGACAGGCACACCTAAATTGTAATTCCTTGTAGGACCTCGCTAACGCAGCACTTCTTTCTCCTTGGAATGCAATACACATCTGCTACATTTGCATGCGCCTTTGTCAACATGGTGCCGGTGCTCACATTTGTAATGGCACTACCATTCAGGTATGGATGCAAATTAGCTCATATATTATAATACTAAGTTCTTCTGCAAAACTAGCAATCAATCCTTGCATGGTTATTTCACGCTCCCTGGTGTCGCTTATTTATACTGCAGGATAGAAACTGTGAACCTCAAAAGCAACAGTGGGAGAGCCAAAATACTCGGTTCAGTGATTTGTGTTGGAGGTGCCCTGCTATTAACCCGTTATAAAGGGATGCCGTTATTCAAACACCCACACTTACAGGCCCTGGCTCCAACCATGGCAAATGCAATCAAGCTGAGATCTTCTAGAAGGGCAGAGAGGTGGACCATTGGTTGCCTAGCTTTGATAGTAGGAACCCTGTTGTGGTCTTCATGGTTTATCATTCAATCACATGTAGGCAAAAGATACCCCTGCCAATACTCCAGCACTGCAATCATGTCCTTCTTTGGTGCAATTCAGTCAGCTCTCTTAAGCTTGTCTACAACCCGGGACCTTTCCATGTGGGTTCTGAAGGGAAAAGTGGAAATCATAACTGTCCTCTATGCTGTAAGTGCGCTCTTCTTACAAGCAGAAGAAAATTTTATCTAGGTTGTGATATTGTCACAAATTGCCTTTTTCGTCTAAATGTCAAAGTAGCAATATCAATCCTACTAAAAAAGATAAAATCTAGGTTGACTGATCCACAGGTTCTGGGTTGAGGAGTAGGGAAGGCTGGACTAGGTTTATGCCGCCTAGTAGGCTAGGCTCGCATTAGAAATTTCTTTTCCTTGTACCTTAGAAGAAAGAAACATCCTTTTCCATGTTGCTAGCCAATTAAAAAGGAAGGGAGGCGCATAGATTCAAACTTCAATTCTACGCATCTTTTGGTAATAGGTATTGTATTTCCTTGTTTCAAAAATAAGTAATCATGCGGACTCTGTCCACATAAATCATCAAAGTAGATTCCATAAACCAAAATGGGAAACACTGCAGACAGCACCAGTGCTTTCCATTCCCTGAATTAACAATCCAAGTAGATTCCATAAGCCAAAATGGAGAACACTGCAGACAGCATTAATATTTTCCATTCCCTCAATTAGTAATTCAGCAAATGACAGATAAAAGATGTCTTTGGTTCTTGGAGTGCCACTCCCGAGCCCAGACTTCTATGGCTTTAAATAGCTTATTGGAAACTTTTGCATAAGGTCATGATATTGGCTGCTAAACAACTCAGTACCAAGTATGCTCAAGTCAGTCTATTGCTATACAATACTCGATCCCTTACTCCTGAGCTTCTTCCTTGATTAACATGCCATTGTTTTGTAAATGCAGGGAATGATAGGATCAGGCTTGTGCTATGTCGGCATGGTGTGGTGTGTCAAGAAGAGGGGTCCTGTCTTCACAGCAGCATTTAGTCCTCTTGTTCAGATAATGGCAGCCATGTTTGATATCCCCATTCTTCATGAACAACTCAATCTTGGAAGGTTAATTATTCTAACTAATTAATATTTCTGCTTAATTATATCCAAGGCTGATAAATACTCATTGCTAATTTCTTCCCTGGCACTCTAACGAACAGTTTGTTGGGTTCGATAGTTGTCATTACTGGGCTGTACATCCTTCTTTGGGGCAAGAACAAAGAAATGCAGAATTATGCATCAAAAATTGCTCAAGAAGCCAAAGAGATCAGGGAGCAAGAGGCTCAGTTACAAGTAATCACAGTTTCTTGTGATTTAAGTTGTCCTGAGGCCAAGTAGCATTTTGCTGCCCACTCTCCACTCCATTCATGAAATATTCAATAACCTACTAATAAATACCACCGAATATGTTTCAACTTCTCTTCAATTGCAGCACAAGTCTGCTTTACCATTTTAGTGATGGATGCATCATTGGTACCAGGATTGAGAGTTTTGATATGCAACAAAGTTGATCAATTAAAATTGAGGAAGAAAATTCAACATTGTAAGTGGAAATTAAACCTGTTACTGTCACCCATATTTCTACTTGCATATATGGAGGGAATAAGGAGAATATATTTTTTTTAAAAAAGAGAATTCCTTTCCTAAAAATTAGCTTCTTTGAAAAATCATTCGACTCCATCTTAAAACTTAGCTCCTTAGGACAATCACTTTACTCAATCCATCTCTTTCAAATTCAATGTGGCAGCATAGACTAACCTATACCATCTGTAGAATGAGGTTTATGATACAACAATTTCATAACGCAGCATAAAAGTGTGATCTCATTAATATTGCTGTTTCACATGGCAAGTCCATGCTTTTGTACTCTACAGCAATCTTGCTCCTGTATACTTCAGAAGTACCTTTTCATCAAATTCAATCTTCAAAACTAGAGCAATGCCTTATTAATCAGTTTAAGACTGATACATGTTGAATTAAGGTATCTATGATGGTAACTTTTCCTTCAAGGCCTACACATGATTGCAAAATGCAGCAATATTTCCCCCTGAACAAAATTCATTAACTTAACTTTGAAATGCGCTCTATACTCAGTCCAAAACATAGTTCTTCCATCTCAACTGAATCCAGATTGCACAGTAGGATTTCACAGACCTTGGGAAGCCATGTTATGACTTAGAATAGGGTAAATATGAAGCAATATCCGATATTGAGCCACAATGTCCACAATGTCAGTTTGAAGGGCTTATAAAAAACAAGTGATAGACCAATAAAATTACAAGAGGCATCCAGATAAAGAGAATTCAGAATAGGTAAGCTTCTTGCAATTCAAGACTCAAGAGGATGATAGCAAACTTTAAGGTTAAACACTTAATTATTATTTGTATAGTTGACACACTAGACTATGGCAAACAATCATGCAGAAACAACCAACAGTATATGTCTATATCGAAGACATAAACAGGGAAAAAACATAGTTCTGCTACGGGAATACTCGGATTCCCTTAGTTTTTACCTTTTACATGCTGCCAAGCAAACATAATCTTGGATAGTAAAGCAATACAAAGATTTATTTTATGCAAGTTTATTGAATTAGACAAGACTTCTGTTCAGCACTTCTGCACCGTGTTATAGCTGCAATTTCTTGTTCATCGACTTAATCGGAATTTTCACTTTTTAAGGAACCCTTTTCTTTTTTCTTTCCCCTGATCCTTCTGGCAATATCTGCTGGCTTGTGGCCCTCACGTTCAATAACATCAGAGACGTCCAAATGGACGCCTGGATCGTTGGTGTTGTAGCTGCTGCCCAGCATGATTGAGTTGTTCACAGCTTGGAAATTGCTGTTCACGTAGGTACTCAATGCATCAGGCTCGCCAAGTGAAATTCCTTGGGGACTGGATTTGTCATCCAACTCACTTCGCATTGTGGCACCAGAGTTGTTTCCTGCAAGTGTGATAATACTCGCGGGATGTTCCTGATCATCTTCATGCTGGCTTGATCCGGGTTTATGAATACCAGATATGCGGTGAGTTATGGCAGAGACCATGTCTTTGAGTTCTTTGTCAAGATATCTACTTTTGTCACCTTCACCAGTGGACTGGCGATCAGGCTTGCTTGTTTCAAGAGGCATTTTTTGTTTTAAAAGAACAAGGTTGGGCTAGGAAGGAAGAAGTTGGCTGTGATGGGCAAATATGATATTGGGTTGGCGCTCAAACCGAAAACATTTAGATATAAGAGTAGCTGCAGGGCGAAAACTGTCTGATGGAATAAAGAAGTGCCTTACATGGCAATTCAAGGATTTTAATTTATTCCCCTCTTAAAAGGAGGGGGATTACTTGACAATTGGTTAACCTCCTATAGATTATACTTTTGTCACACATACGCTCTTTGATTTTTCATTCAAGAGATTGCAGGGAAAGAATTATTCTGGTATACAGGTTGTCTAAGCTGTCATTCCAGCCTTTTGACTTTAGCCGTAGTAACGCTTACACCAGGAGACTTGAGGTTTGGATTCAGGTTATATTAATAACTCTAAAGCCACGATGACAGAATTTTTATGTATGGAAGTGGAATCTTTTGAACTTTGATAGATGATAAATGTTTATTAATCCTGACCATCAATTAAATTTTCAGGTCAAACCTGAATAGCCCCATTGCCCTGTAGAAAAGAACCTCAGCAAACACTCGAACCAATGATTGACAATAAAAAATAGGCTACGTCGACTGTTAACATAGGATAGATACAATAAAATAAGCATCTTTCTCTATTTTTTTTGCAGATCCCAACCAGAGAATGAAATGTTAAATTATTGCAAAATTTTTTGTTGAAATTTATTATTTGTGTTTAGCAAATTAGCAGTTTCCGTTAGGGTCATGGCACCATTGACCAGAAGAACAAGGCCTAGAGTTTGCTCCTTGGGTGGGCTTTTAATTAATCCATGAACATGTCGTGGCACCAGCTATTGCTCTCCTCTTAACACTTCAGAGAAAATATTGAAAAGATGCCATCCTTGTGGTTCCCGTCATTGAACAAGTGTCAGTCTGCTGCATCGAAACCCTAAATTGATTCCATGTCTCGCATGACACGAGTAATGCCTGGACCAGGCCTCACCGTCTTGTGGCCCTTCTGAATTTAGATATAGTCAGTTCTAAAAGCCTGAAATAATTCCAAAGTGGGCTGCTGCACTCTTAAGATCTGTAATCATTCGAAAACCAGAAGCAAGCCCAACTCCTGAATTATTAAACAGCCAACAGTAACCGGAATGTCAACTTAGAATCCTGAGAATCCTCGAGCATGACCCTAAACCTGCTGCTTATTGTTAGGCGGTTCTTTTTCGTCATTTGCTCACTATTTCAACAACTATTTCTTTAATAGGGTGAGCAGTCTTCAATTATTCACAGTTGATATCCAATTTACGGGTCAACCAATGTTGTTCCACCTTAGTCAGATCTTATTGGCTGTCCCGATGATGAATGATTAAAAGAGGGAAATAAAACGAATCCCTGCCGCAGTACCTCAACATACCAATCACCAAACATATAGGCTAACGTTTATACCATACCCATTTTATAGCCAGATGTGATGGGATGATAATTACCCTCAATTCCCTTGTGAACCAAACTTCATTGCCCTTACTTATAGGTTAGAATACTAGCGTTTTCGCTGTCATTTTCTGATTTCCTGCGAAAAAAGCCACGCTTTGTTTCAACCCTCAAACCTTTTCGGAATTTTTTAGCCACCAATAATATCCAGCAAATAAGCGTTGAAAGGTGAGTGAGCGACCCAAAATTGCCAAAAGGGCAAAAGCCTTCACCTTCTATAACTATAGAGATATCAGAAACTAAAAATATTCGCTCAGTACATTAGGACAAGGTTGAATGGAATTTTTATTAACAGCAAAAAACCCAGATAGGAAATTGCATATTTAATTGACAAAAAGAAAAAAAAAGGAGGACAATGCATGTTTAAGAGTGAGACGGAAGGGCGCGGGCCTACATTTCTGCGTGGCGTTGCGTTATTAAACAAAAGATCCTTCTTCGGTTGGTTAGCCAAAGTCGTAATTAATTACACATCAAATTCTGAAAGGTAACTGTCAAATTCTATTCTATTCTATTGTATTTTATTTTTCTCTCTCTCCCCCCACTTTCTTTTATTGTTTCTCGTCCCACTTCCTTCTTATTGGTGCTGTTGCTTCTTCAACTTTCAACCGTCAACAAACTCCATAGTGATTTTAAGGAACAAACATTCTTCAGGTACACGTTCCTCACTTTTTTTTTTGTTTTACAGAAATTTCAACGCCTATCGTTTGTGTTCTTTTTAATGTCACTGCACACAAAAATTTCAGTTGGTCCGAGCTAATTTCAAGGCTGAAATTAAGTTCTCCATCTTGTTAGTGGGTTATCTGTGATGGGTTGTTTTTGGTTTTATAGTATTTTATTTTATTGTTCCTTTAGAATCAAAGAAATGAAAGTGTCTGTTGCATTCTGTTTCGAGAACAATTTGAGGGGTTTAAGTTTGGCGTTTTACGATTTTACTTGTTATAATTAAGTAATCTCTAGGGTTTTGATTGACTGGCAGTCTTGAAGAGTGCATTTTTTTTGGGGAATCGACAGTGAGAGTGCTGGGGAATTTCACGAGAATTAAATATTTTAGAACCAAAAGGGATTGTGGTAAACGCTGTAAATAACAATCAGATGCAGAATGAAGGTTCAAATGGGACTAGCACCACAGCTGGTGACCACTCTGGTAATTTACTAGAACCTGACCTCGAGAAGCAGGAAAACATCCCAGTGTTGCCTCAGGAAGATAGACATCCAGGCTCAGTTGGGGATTCAGCCTGTAAGGCCAATCCTACATTGTTAACCATTGTGGTATCAAATGGCGAGTCTCATGTGACTCAGCAGCCGATAGCTAAATTATCAAAAGATGTGGACTCCATTAAGGAGGAATTGCCTTGTGTGGCTTCTCCGAAAAAGGGTTATTTTTCGAGGACCACTAGTTGTCATGAGCAGTGCAGGTACATTATACTTCTCCTGCCTCTAATCCTCCTATGTGTGCCTTTTGTATTTTATGTTTTCAATATTTGATTGTTTTAGGATAGCTTGATTTCTCATAAGAATGAGGATCATCACATAGTTTGGAGTATTTGTTAGCTATGTGCAGCGGGGTTCCATAGATGAATGTTTTATCTTATAATGTTAATTGTCCTATGCATTTTCATTTGCATATCGTTTAGTCTCGAGAGTACAGCCCTGTTCCCCTGTTTATATTTTCTATAGATATTATATATTAATGGAGTGTGTGTGTACATGTTAACTCCTAGTTTCTGTTTCACTTTAAAGTGTCAAAATCGTGTAGTGCATAAAGTTTTTGGTGACATTAGATTCTAGGATTAGGCTTGGGAAATTGCTTCATTCAGATCATCTTATATATTGTGGCAAGTCAACCATATTAACCATCCATTAGCATGCTGACCTTTTCTGGCCTTCAATTTGTTTTTCAGAGATCAATCTTGATTTGTAGTATCTCATATGCTATGACTCATTGCTATCTTTATTATTCTTCAGAGTTTGTCAACAAGAGAAGGAAGAAGTTCTTATAGATTTGGGGTGCCAATGTAAAGGTGGTCTTGCAAAAGCCCATCGGTCTTGCATTGACACTTGGTTTCATACAAAAGGATCCAACAAATGCGAGATATGCCAGTTAGTTATTCAAAATTTGATTTCCTACATTAAATGGTTTATTCTTCAAGATATCATGATTCAATTTACTGTTGTCATGCAGAGCAGTCGCTGTGAACGTTTCCGCTCCAGAGTCCCAGCCCAGTGTAGGTATTCTGTGCTTAAGAGAAAGGGCTAGCAACAAAAACCCATGGATAGGTTTTCTGTTTCATTTAGTCATAGCCTACTAGATGCAAGAAGTTTAATGTCACCTTTGTGGGGTTTTGTTTGCTGACTAGAGTGTTTCATTGCCCAAAACCAAACTTAAAGCTGGACGATAAAACAAAGTTGAAGATTGAATTTGGCAGTGTTTGAGAGTTATTTTGTTTTTTTGGCTACTATTACGTATGGTATATTGTATAGACAAGTTGTAGAGAGATGAAAGACCCATTATAGGCCCCTCTGATTTTATGTTAGCACTTTAAAAGGTAATTAATTATATTCAGCTTTGGTCCAAAGCTAATGTAGAAAACTGGTGCAGAAGCTTTCCAGTTTTGAATTTTTGTGGTTCATTTGTAGCATCGCATAGTCATGTCTATATTTGGTTGTCAAATGTTTTGCATGGTGCAGGCAAATTCCTGGCTTTGGAGGGTTGATCCAAGCTTTGCACCACAAGAACGTGAAAGGGTAAGTGAATAACTGCAGTTTGTCTACTGGGATCTTACTCATTCTTGAGAAAATTCGTTCCATTTGTGTTAATTCTGCATCAAATTACTCTTTATAACAGGGTTGTTTTAGTCCGCTATGGGTGGCATTCTCAATCCTTATTGGTGGTCTATTGTTGGATGTGTTAATATCCGTTACTCTTGGTGTCTCAGCACTGCCTGTTAACATCATAATTGGTATGTACACCTCACTCTGCCCATACCTGTTTATAGGAAATCCCATTCTTAGCAAGTGCTTTGAGTCTTTGATATGTTGTAACTTGATGAGACATTGTGCAGGTGTTATTGTTGTCCTAGGACTTGGAACTGCCCTTCGACTTGCTTTGGAATTCTGCCATGAGTGGAGTATTAGGAGAGCTGTGCAAAGGGTAGAAACAAATGCAACTCTTGGGTACCATCCTGCTTTGTAGGTAAATCTGTACATAGTAACTTTGAGCCTACAGGCCAATTATTGAGTTCTTTTGTTTTGTATATAATGTTAAGCTTACTATTTATTCTGAGAGGGAACCATTGTTGTTTACTGCTTATATTATGCACCATGATACAGTTTGACATTCTCTGTGAACGGTTTTGAGAATTTATACAGTCAAATTGGATGTGGAACATTTGGTTTGAAATGTATCTTATTGTATCATGAGTAATTTTATTTCTGGTATTGCATAATTTTTATATTAGTTGTCCTCAAAACAAAGTGATATACTATCCCTGACTCCTACATTGGATCTTTTGTGACTTGTACTCTAATGGGAAGGGGAACCAGTCCACAGAAAATGTCAATTCCATTTCCATTGCTTTTGATGAAGTTGCATTCCTTTGACTTGAATGGAGCCTGATAATATTAAACAAGCAGCATACTGCTATGAATTGCCAATTGGCTGGAGTTGCCAGAGTAATGTTTAGATTCTCTTCTTTATTTGAAAAAAAAAAAAAGTTTCCTGATTAGAGTAGTATTATGTTGTGATTTTGGTAGAAGACACGATGAACGATTTAGGCATAGTTGCAGGCATTAAAGACAGGACTCACTTACTTTCTACGGTATGGAGACATGTGCGTGTGCGAATAAAGCTTGTGGCTTTGGAGGCCGGCCAAATTTTTTTTTGACCATCGAAGTTTGCAATCTTTTTCGACCATATTGTTTCAACGGTTTGATTTTGATCTCTCTTGACAGCCTAACAGTTGCAGACCTTTTCCTAAAAATGGCCTGAAAGATTAATTATCGGATGGTTTAGACTATAGATAGATACTCTTTACTTATTGACTCTCCATTATCGGCCGGGGACAGGGCGATGAAAACCCCGGTAAACACCTGCGCAATGATTACCTCTTGGCTCCCTTCAGGTGTGTCATCTCCTGAAACCAATTAATTGAAAACATTAGTGAAAAATGGGCTTTAAGAACAGAAAACTCATGATTTGTGGTACTTGAGAATTTGATTCAATATTAAATGGAGTCCCTTCCCAAAGAAACTCATGATTTGTGACATTACGGAGCAAAATACTTGATACCGAAGCACGTGAATGAATCAAGCAAAAGCTTTAGTGGCAAAACTACAAAAAATCATGCGCAGAGCCGGACGCACGAGGAAAGTTAATTTTAGTGTTTAATCAAAACAACAGAAAGCGGCGAAAAGCAAAAAGCGTAGCACTACTGAGATTACTTTTTCCACAGCCATTGCAGTAAGAAGGAATGGCTTGCGGGATAAGGCAGAGCACAGTGCTCCACACGTATGCCCGCACAACCTCAAAATGAAAAAAGCATCCAGGGGGGCATTTCAGTCATTATGCTATCTGGTGCTCCATTTTACGCGGTGTACGAAAAAAGCGCAGCCCAATAAGCTCGAACTCGCTGTCCACACTGGGTATTATACGCTGCGGGGATCTCTTCGTCTTCCCCTGCATTCTCTTAAATGATTAGTCAATCGTACGAATGGAAGAGCGACAGCCAAGCGCATGCAAGGAAAAAGATCACGTGAGAGACACATGGTGTCTTTGACTCTATTGGGGGCCTTGTGGCTTAACCCCAGCGAGGAAAGCGACCAACGGAGCAGGCAAGAAAACCGAAAGAGATACCCCAGTCTAATCCGCGCAACAACAAATTTAGCTGAGCAAGAAATCTAGGAGGAGAGAGAGAGAGAGAAGAAGAAGAACGAAAAAGGAAAAAACAGTCTTGGTTAAGTTATCGAAAGAAGAAGACAATCTTACTTACAGTTTGACGTTGTTTTTCTTTTTACTTTATTTTTTCCCTGAAAACTAAAAAAGGAGTAGTGGTTGTAGAAATTGACTTAGGGTTTAGCAAAGGGAAAGATGGCAGTTTTAACGATGGAAGCCTTACCTTTAGGATTTAGATTCAGGCCGACGGACGAAGAGCTCATCAATCACTACCTTAGATCGAAGGTCAACGGTCGTCATTCCGAGGTCGAGGTCATTCCTGAAATTGATGTCTGCAAATGGGAGCCCTGGGATTTGCCTGGTATTTTTCTCTTGTTCTTTATTTTCTCTAAAGGAAAGAAATTATTGGGTGAAGAATTGTTCTGAATCTTTGATACCTTAGCGTTAGCCAGAGCGTCAGCTTAAATTCCTTTATTCCCCGATAAATGAAATATTATAGTTCATAAATTTGATTCCCGCTTTTCTACAACTGGCAATTTCCCGTAAACCTACTTATATTCCTTTTTGAAATTCCTCTCACTATTATTTTTTATATTCCGAAATTAGTGAAATCTTTTTATTTTTATACTTGGTGATGGTTGAGTTAAATTCAGGACTGTCGGTGATAAAATCGGACGATCCGGAGTGGTTCTTCTTCTGCCCGCGTGATAGGAAGTACCCCAACGGCCACCGTTCCAATAGAGCAACGGATAAAGGGTACTGGAAAGCCACGGGTAAGGATCGAACCATCAAGTCTAAAAAGTCATTCATCGGCATGAAGAAGACCTTGGTTTTTTACAAGGGCCGTGCTCCCAAGGGCCAGCGTACCAACTGGATCATGCACGAATACCGCGCCACTGCCAAGGACCTGGATGGCACCGGCCCTGGCCAGGTTTTCTTTCAACTCTAATTGTTCTCAGTTTAAGTTACTGCAAATAAATACGATCACTGACTTACACTTTTGGTTTGTTTTGTTTTCTTCTTTTTAGTATTGTGGTTAGTTTGAAAAGCAAAGAAGAAAAATTTAGAAGAAAAACGGGAATGATTATGTAACTTGGACCTTTCTCTGGATGCAGGGTGCTTTTGTTCTATGTCGATTGTTTCATAAACTAGAAGAGAAGAATGATATTGTGAAGTACGAGGAAGTAGAACAAACTGGATATTCTCCTACCATGACAAAATCTTCTCCTGATGACACGTCATCAGATCTTCTCCAAGATACTGTGTCATCTGATACACAAGCTCAAAAGCCCGACAATGTAATGCAAAATGGTCAAGTAACTGGTGACAGCAGCTGCAATAGTCATATGACTTCTGATGCAGAAGATCATGCAACAGAAGAAACTGCAGTAGAGGTGAGAAGTGGACAATTTATCTATATTTTTGCGTTGTTACATTCTTTGTCATTTTATCTTGAACTATATCAAGATTGTTGATAAGAGACTGATGTCTTGCTTTTTGTTACAGGAATATCCGCTCCTGGGAGGCAATTCAAATTTGTATGAGCCCAATTTTGGTGAAATTGACCACAAAGTCTTCTCACCAATGAACTCGCATTTTTTTGAAGATCTGCCAGTCTGCATGGATTCTCCTTATGCAAGTGATTTTGGCCATGATCAAAATGGGTTTTATTTCCAGGATGGGACTGGTGAACAAGATGTATCTTTCTCTATGTTGGATGAGGTCTTGAATAACCACGATGGCTCCTGTGCAGCGTCAAACAGTCAGAAGAACTTGGTTGCTGGAACTGAGATGCCCTTGTCTGGTAATGGATTCATCTCAAAGACAATACCACCAGAAGCCTCATATATCAGAGAAAATGGCACATATAGTGAGACTGACACTGAAATGGCACAACTACAGGTAAAGGAATAACTTGCTACTAGCTATCATGTTCCTATATAGGTGAAAATTAGCCATTTTCTCTATAACTTTCTGGAGCTTTACTTTAGGTTTCAGCCATATTTTTTGTATTTGATTTTGCTTTTAAGGCAATTTGATTTAGCGTGCAGTTCAGCTCTAACTTATGTTTGATACTTTCAACTTCTTTACCAGTATGAATCAGAGGTTGGAGCTGCAAGGTGGTTTGGTGGGCATGTTGATAACAAGTATTCAGTGCAAATGCAAACTTCCTTTGATAGTGGCCATACTCAGAGAGCACTTTATGATCAAGCGTTTAGAATTGGAAATAATGATAGTCTTGGGAATTGTTCTGTTGGCCAAGCTACTTCATATACTGATTCTGCAATGGGTAGTATTAATAATTTGCAACAATTAACCAGTCTGAAAAATCATATGAATAATGGTGGTAATCTTGGTGGTGGAACTGGCATGAACACTAGAACCTTTGAGCCTCCGCAGCAACCAAATTCAGACAACTTTGCAACTCTCGGAACTGGTACTGGAATCAAGATTAGAACCCGTGCACCTCAGCAAAGAGCAAATTCAGACAACTTTGTAAATCAGGGCACTGCTCCAAGAAGAATACGCTTGCAAATGAAACTTTCTAATGGGCCAATGAAAGTTTCTGCCGGCTGTGTTGATGATGGCAAAATGAGAAGTACAGGCCTTGGTGAAGAAGAAGAAGTTCAATCTGCTCTAACTGAGGTAGGGTAACCAGGAAAAGCTAATTTCAAGCGATGTTGATATTTTGAAGTGTATTATCCCACCTTCACCTTTTGTCAGGATTTTGTTAAGGTCAAGTATAATATTTGTTAAATAATTAGTACATTTCCCAAACTGACCATTATGTTTCAATGTTTTGAATGCAGATCACAGAAGCAGAAGCTACTGGACAGACTCCTAGCTCTGATGAGTCAGAGAAAGAGAGCCAGTTACTCAAGTTTGATGGCAGCGGGAACATTGCTGAAGAATCTTGTACAAAACTGAGGCAGAGGGTGAAGCAAGATGGTGAGCCTCGTAGTAGCCAAATTGGCCCATCAGTTCATTCCAAGGCAGCTCCTGCGCATCATCGCTTCAGTTCCCTATCAATTCTTGTGTTCACTGTTTTCTTTATTACAATCTTGTTGGCTCTGTTCATGGGAATATGGAGATGCCTTAGATTTTGAATTCCGGATGTTGTTGAAATAGGCTGTAGTAGGTAGTCCGTTTGCCTCCCATTGTATCTTTCTAGGCAATATGATCAGATTCTGTAAATTGTGTCCCATGTGTATTGTTGTGGAGGTAGGGGAGTACGGTGTAAAAATAACTGATACGATGGCCTTCTTTTTTGTTAACAGTTGGCTTAGGGAGTTATCTTCATATGTAGTAGGGAAGGGAGTGTTTTTTGTTATGTATCTTTACCTTCCCCTATCAAAATCTTGTGTAGCCTAGTGGTACAGCAGATCCACTGGGAATATTTAGTTGAAATCCGGATTAGCTCTATGATTGATTAATGTAGCTTTTAATTTCAATTCTTTGTACCTCTTTTTTTTTCCTTTTATAGACAGTCGTATTAAGGTCGAATAATGGAGTTCTTGTTTTAGACGGGGATTTGCGATGACCATCCAGATTTCCATGTCAAACTTCGGCGCTTCTATGCGCTCCATGTTGACCCATATATAGACTCTGTGGCCCCGTTGGATGAGTGTCATCTATATCACCGAAATGGCGGGCTACCTTTACCCTAAGAAAACCCCCTTTTTTTACCGTATTATTAGGTTCCAAATATTCTTTCCCTTTGTTAAAATATTGTTTCTTGATTTAAAAATAAAAAATAGAAGAAGAAGAAGAAGAAGAAGAAGAAGAAATTTAAACTTTCCTTGGACTCGTTATGAGCAAATAGGAGTATGGAGACGTTAGGTAATGTTTTGGTACAGGCTGATTACTTACAAAATTTATGGGTACATTATGCGTTTTACTGTTATGCAGACATTTTTTATACATGAAAAATATTACTAGTTTTTTTTCCTCCAATCAAGGGAGAGAGAAGAGAAAAGAAAAAAATAATTTATACGCTAAAATGTAGAAATTTTAATTCTATTTATGTTTGATGCATACAAATCTTAATTAAAGTTGACTTAATATTTCTCTCTCAAAAAAAGTTGACTTAATATTAATAACTGATTAAAGTTAAACATAGTTTAGCTAATTTCAATGTGGTGAGAACTACAATAACACCAATTCAATATTTAGAACACATGGACCTAATTCATTCGCTGCTGCAAAACCGAAAAAAGGAGCAGATCACAACAAAATAAAAACCTGTGTAAAATTGGGGGTTACATATATGAGAATGATGACATATTATTCTGGGATCATTCTCTAATTTTCTCATAATAATGCTCGTTTCCTTTTTTTTTTTGGTTTGTTTGTTTACTTAGATGCCAAGAATTGTCGATGTAAGCTAGCCACTTTCTTAACAAACTCCAGAAATTGTGTAGAATCGTCTCTATATACTCTCATTAAGTTTTAAAGATTCATACATAAATATTATCATGGTAAGATGATATAATCTTAATTAAATTTAACTATCACAATTGTGAAGATGGACGAATCTCTCCACCTAAACATTTTTCCTATCTTTAACCACTAAATTCATCTCGTGTTTTATGAGAATATTAATAATAAATACCCGGACGTCGCATTATACTTTATCAAATACTATACTAAACACCATATGTAGTAGTAACAAAGGCTATAATAAAATATGATAATGAGTGAATGGGGAGGATAAGGATGAGGCAACCGGTGTCCAGATAAATCTAAACAAACAGCGTACATTTTTGTGGGTGTGAATCTCCACGTGGAAACTCCTAAACCCAGCAGCACACTGGAAACTGCAAATGCTTAAAAGTGCTGGCTGCCGCCTCTTGTAATTTCCTCTACTCTGTTGACTGCTTACGTGCTGTATCTTTATGCCATTACCCCGCGCTTGCAATATATTTACTCTTTTAGAAAAAACCAGAAACCAGAGTCCCCTCCCTCCCCATTGGTTTTTGTATACCCATTCTCCACGCCTTATCAAATCACCTTCTCTCGAACCTGTTCTTTATAAACATCGAAACCCGTTCTTCCCTGACCCACCAAATTTTCAGCTTATTAATATCTTCGAGGCGATCGACTTCGTATTATTTGATTTGAACTTGCTATATTGGTCCCAAGCTTTTAGTCTTTCGTTTTAGGCCGACACAAGGTTGAAAGAGATGATTCTGGTGGCAATAGTGGCGGAGCTACTGGAGGAGTACACGGTGCTGTTGGCTAGAGTGCTTGAGCATTTGTTTCATGAAGCTCCTTTTCCAAGGCGTATTCGTTTCCTTATCCTCCGCAGCCTTCCTTTCGTTTCCTCCACTCCCCCTCTTCTCCGAGCCCCTGCTTAAAAGTTAAAACCACTGTGTTTTTCCCCCTTTTGTTCCTTTTTCTTTTGCTTTTACATTATGGATATAGACATGCGGATTTCAATTATCTGTACAGTCTCCGGAGTTCTCTTTTCTTCATCTATGTAATATAATTTTCATTTGGAAATTGCATAATGCTAGATCTTGATTCTTTTGAGTCTTGTTGATTTGCTTTTCTGGGTAGTTCAATTTGATCAACTGAAACATCATATTGCATCCTCGATTATGATTGGTGCATGATGTCTTACCTAAAAGGTAAGGTTTAAATTCTTTTTTTTAAATTAAAAATAACAAAATCATCGTACTGGATTTTGATCCATTTAACTTTTAATGTTCATGAAGATCAATAATTCAACCATGCCTTATCCATAGCCGGCTTGGGCAAAATTTGCCCATTATCAAAGAAAGAAACTGCATTGATTCGTAAAATATCTGAAGCAAGGATGTTACTTGTTTTTGGGCAATTCCAACATTCGGCCAAAAGGGTTCATTCGATAGGATCAGATGTTGACAGACAAACAACAGGGACAAAGACAAGGTGGGCATGGGCTTTGCATGTGAGCTGTGAAGAAGTGTGTAGAACATCCTGGTTTTTCAGTGTTCATTTTATCCTGGTTTTGTTGATTTGAAGGAATTTGTAATGTCAAACCCATCGAAATTTGTACCAAACCTGATCTTTTAAAAGTGACAGCCCATTGGAGGAGTTTTGTAGCACTTTATTTATGCCTTTTATACTGACTAGCGTCCTTTTTCAGTACCATTACTGGGACCTGACCCGTCCAGGCTTTCCACTTCATGCCATCATCAACGGAATGATTAATTTTTCATTGCGAAAGGATAATGCTTGATGTACTCTTTCCCTAACATCTATGCAATTAGTAACATCATCATAGACTGTTTTTGTTACATACGCACAGATGTACACTTGTGATATTTGTTTACGCTAAGTGCAATTTATTAACCTGTATTTTTGTGATTAAATCTAAGGTGAGAAAGAGGTAAGGTGGGAAAATACCAATCCCTCTCAATTTATTTTCTTGTTGATTCGTGGGTTGGGTTGGGTTGGGCTAAATGAAGACGCAAGACTCCTTCGTAGCAACTCAAACAGGCTTACAGCCTAACCCACAACAAGCGTCACAGTAGTCCACTAGGCCTGGCCCATTGACGCAATGCAGTTGAACAAGTGCGTGTTAAGGATTCCCAGAATTAGAATTCTGAAGGCTAATCCTGTACGGCGCCTCAGAAATCAGAATAATTTGGGGTGGAATTCTTCTGAGTACTCCCAGCTTTCCTAGCACAGCCACTTGTAACGTGGACCCTCAGCATAAGAAGCTCCATTGTCAAGCACTATTAATGATTCTGTGGAATGATTATTGGATTAGTAGATTTGAATTTTGGTGCTCTTGTCTAATCTATGTGTCTGGTCCGTTGGGGTGGGGATCAAATTAAGAATGTGTATGTGAAAACATGTGTGCTTTGTTGGTATAAATTCAAATCCTCCAACCAAGCAAATGCTATCAAGTTTTTCCAGCTAAAGTTTCCTGCACCCCATAAGCAACAGTGCTGCAGAAGTGACCATCAGATAATGTGACATCATCCAGGGTAATTGGGGCCAAGTCCCACGCACGGGAGGCTGCACGCAAGCCGTGAAGGAAATAAATGCTTTTATGACAGGTATGAGAATTCATCATCTCTTCTGATATGATGAAGCAATAGAATGTATTGGTAGTAGCAATGTTTCTTCAGGATGTCACAGAAATGAATGATGGCAAAGAAACTTGGGAATTAAGACAGCTATTTGAGGTTGTCTTGTTTCAGACTATTTTGCAATTCTGATGAGATCAGAGACCCTTCTTCTTCGATAGAATGAAGCACCTGATCTTGCTCGTGTGATCATAAGCAGCAGATTAACAGTATCAAACTTGCCAGGTATAAGCAAATTAATCTCAGAAAACTGAAATTATGGTTCTAAAACTATGCATTCGGTGCTAGATTATCAATGGTAAACAAATATCTGTAGAAAATGAAAATGTTTGCCACTCCCATCTCCTAAATCAAAAAGAAATGGTTGATGACACATCGGCATCAATTTCTCTGCGGAGGGATGGTGGAGCAGGAGCAAATCAGCGGGCTGAGATCCCCTGGCTGATCATTAATAGCCAACTTCGGCCAGGATCAGTAAGTTATTCTCCTGTATATGAAACTAGAATTTGAGGGCGAAGGTAGCCAGGTTCGACCCTTGATTTCTTACCTTACATTTTATTCATCTCTATGAGTATGGAATTTGTAATATCTTAACACTATACATTTTACATCTGTATTGCATATGGTGCAAAGTGTTGGAGAATCCTGAATATGAAGACCATTATGCCTATTGGGTATATTAATAATACCTCGACTCCTGTTTTGGGCGTCAGCTGCCTTTTTCCTTAGTTATGGCCCATGGAATTTATAAACAACAGAACTAAACTGCAGTAAGCTTGCTTTTAATTCAGAGTACAAATAATGATTGGACTAATTAATTACAAATTCGAGGGACATTCTTCAATTAAATCGTTTTTATCTCTGAAATGTTAGTTCATGGCAGGGAGGATAAAAGCAGTTATTCTCTTTCCAATAAACAAATTAGCTTCCAATGGCAATCAACAAATTGTCACTAACTTATAGAAGTACAAAAAAAGCATCGAACCTTGTGAACAATTAGTAACCAAAAGTTGTGCAGAATAAACAACATGGGCATAAATCTAATGGATAACATTCTTTCAAGTTCATAATACAGAGTACATGGGAAAAAGTATACCTTACTAGTAGGGTAGGAGTAGCACTACCCATAAAATACAACTATTAGGTAGCCCTAGACCTGCTTGTATCAGAAGATTTGGTATGTCCAGTTAGAAACCATACTTAAGACTTAAGGGCTACTTCACAAAATTTGAGATCAAAAACGTAGTTTTGTATATTGAGCAAGAAGATACACAGGAAGGAGCAATTCAGTTCTCATATCCTTTTTTGGGCAGTTCTGCAGGACAGTGGTTGGCTGTAATAGCTGGAAGAACTTTACCCTGAGTGGCTTGTATTCCATAGTGTGGAATAACGGTGCATTTGTTCTCTGTCGCAGCTTATTATTAAAATCCTCATTTGATATTTTAATGACTACCGATAGTACTATATAAAGCTCAAAGGTTCTGTTTTCTCTAGGCTTGCATAAAAATGTAAAACATCTATACTTGTAAGGCTTAACTAGAAAACAATGTGCGGGGAATAAAACTTTGTTAGGCTTTCTAGATAGATATTGTTGCATATGTTGTATTGTGATTTTCAAAAGATGGTGGAAAGAAAGATTTTTAGGAATATATGTTCCCTTTGCATCAAAGCCCAGCTTTCCTTACTTAAGCCCATCCATATCCCAAATCAGCTGATATTCCCTTCTCAATGTGTCAGCAGTCATGTTAGCTTGACCCACATCTCAAGCATAGACATGAGAGTTTGATACCATTCCCTCCCAAAAGGGTTTATTATAATTTTCATGTATAATGCGTGTGAAATGTGAAGCCCCGGCCAGAGTCCAGTTGGATATAAGCACAAGAAATGGTTCATTTTTGAATAGTATCTGATTTCTTTGGAATATATTACCAAGAGATTAGAACTCAAGGCAGGCGATGCCAATGCCGTAGAAGAATATCTTCTGGGGCTGGGTTTGTCTTCATCAGTTTCTCTTCTTTCCTTCTCTTTATATACTTGAGAAGTCTTATTTCTATGGCTACCTTACTAGCCAGAGCATTTGGCTCCATTATATCAGTCATCGCATCCTGTTTTTTTGGCTACCGAGACAACAAAAAAAGCGTCAGCAACATCAATTACCACAACATGCCTAACGGTCGACCACTTTCTTTGCAGGTTCCCTTTCATCCCAAGGATATTTTGTTTTTTTCTTTTGGTCCATCTAGGTATCTTAATTTTTTGCCTTCTCCTTTCACCATGCTTCTCCATCTCCAACTTGCTAGGAAACAAATGGAAAAAAAAAAATGAGTCTCTTACATTTATGGGTTATATATTCAGCGTATCTGCCTTTTCTTTCTCCTTCGTACGTCCTTTACGGAAGGTGAAGTGGCAATGTAAAACGCTTGAGGCTTTCCTTCACAAAAAAAGTTATGTGGCTTGTTGAGCATGCTTGCTTTGGTTTAAGCTTAATCCATGTAACAAGGCTTTCCCAATAGTTGCTCATGGAGAAAATCTTTTCACAACCCAATCTTACTTAAACCTTGTTTCAATGTTTCAGGTTAAATGTTTAGGGCACAGTTTAATTTGAACAAACAACTTACTAGCCTTGACACCATTGAGGCATGCACAATCTTGTTGTCTCACTCACGTAACGATTTTACAAAAGCTTTAGTTTTCAGTTAGATATACATGCAGAATAATCTTTTGTTAATTAAATCTTAGTTATTGAAACCAAAAGTATGCGAAGGCATTGTTATTGAAGATATTCAAATTTTAGAAGGAGAACACAAGCTCCTCACAGCTTGTTTGCTGGTCATGCGTTTAGCTTAGAATCATATTTCTTGTACCAACTTTAAGACTATGCTACCCGGTATTAATTAGTGGATTCAAGAATCTGCAAACAAGTTTAATCTAGACCCAACAGGGTATTTCTTAATCCCCTGGGGTTTCCTCTAACTGCATAAAGCGTAAAAGGCATCAGAAGAAAGGAACAAAGGAATAAGAAGAAAGATAAAATTTTTATGAATAAAATCAGCATTTGTGACTGTTAAAATTGATCTCTTTACAGACTGTGGACCTCAAAGTCAGAATGTGCTGCACTGGCTGCGAGAGAGTAGTCAAAAACGCCATTTACAAGCTTCGAGGTATATTCTCCGTTCTTTAGAAATCTTTCCTTGTGAACAATGTTTGGATTGATTCTTGTCTGATCACTGTTTCATAGGATCATTATATGTATGATATATGGGTCATTTAATTGCTTTGCTTCTGTTTCAGATTCTATGTATATGAATAAAACTACCATTTTCTGTCCAGTAGATTCATTAGCTAAAACAACATTTGGATTATTAATGCTTAGAACTATTGTGTCAGGGATTGATTCGGTGGAAGTGGACCTGGAAATGGAAAAGGTAACCGTGATCGGGTACGTTGATCGCAACAAGGTGCTGAAACAGGTGAGGAGGGCTGGAAAGAGGGCCGAGTTCTGGCCCTACCCTGATCCTCCTTTGTACTTCACCTCCACCAACGAATATTTCAAAGACACAACAAACGAGTTCAAAGAGAGTTACAACTATTACAGGCATGGTTACAATCTTGGACACAGGCATGGCAACATCCCAGTGACTCATCGCGGAGATGACAAGGTCAGCAACATGTTCAACGACGACAATGTCAATGCCTGCTGTCTCATGTAAAAATCTTATGAACTATTGTATGTACCATCCATTTCCATCATCATGTAAAATAATACTATATATTTGCAATAACTCTCCAGTGTGAAAAGAATTTATCAGTGAATATAAATTGTTCCGTGAAGTCATGTTAAATCTTAATCTGGTGGTGCTTCAAGGATGGGAATATATTCAATTGGAATCTGCTCCGGTGCATTATTGGTTTCATGAGTCATGCTAGGGATCACCCCTCACACCCTGATTAGTTTTTGTTGGAACCAAGTGACAAGAAAAGCAGATCCAGACCAGGAAAGCAAGTGGGATTAGTGAATTGAGTGCTACCTAACACAGCAGAATCCCTTGATAGAAAATTAAACAACTTTGCGGCTGTCGACAATTTTTTCCTGCCATAAATTTTTTTATCAAACTCAACATGTAGATATATTTCCACACATGAATAGCTTAAGTTGGTATAATTATTGGATATCCCTAAATTTTCATATGCAAACAAGTTTCATTACAAGCTACACATTGGTTGGTTAACCAAGACCTGTTCCGATGACTTGTCCATTTGTAGTTGGATGCCGTTTTCTTTGAAGATAATCATATGGAATTGTTTTTCCGTGTACCTTCCTTTAAAAGTTAAAATTAATAAAAAAAGAAAGAAAATTGAACAGGGGTTTACTTCGTTAAGAAGGGAAGAATGTTAGTCGAATTGTTTGGGACCGTTAGATTGGTCTGGCATTGTGATCACTTTAATTAATTTCATTAATAATAATTGGTTTCTTCTTGCTCTCTTGTTCTTTGGTTCTTATCTTCCCAAGAAAACGAAAGCGTTTCGTAGCAGTGCGATGTACCCCATTTTGTGATAATTACATTTGAATCTTCCATCTCTTCCTAATTTACGAAAAATCCCATTCTACTTGCTGTTTTTGACAAGTTAATTACACATCAATCTCTTTTATTTTATTTCTATTAATTTTCTTTTTGTAGTGAAAACAAATCTCATGTGGGTAAATTTTTCAGCTAAAATATAGTTATATTTCAATATTGTGAAATTAGGACTAAATACTACTAAATCAACATATTTTCTTTTAGAAAATAACCATATTTCATAGCCAAAATAGAATTTAGTACATTACTTGAAAGGATATATGATAATTCTTATTTTTTTAAATAAGGAAAGAAAAACAAAATGTATAGTAATAGATTTTTTCATGTAATAAAGAAAAATGAAAGTGTATAAGAACAAAGAAAGTTATAAAATAAAAAAGTCATAATATTTTAAAAAGTTCAAAATTATTTAAAAAATTTTAAATAATTATATATTTTTATTATATTTATCGAGTTTTAATTTTTTTATTTTAAATTAAATAAATTTTATTGATTAATAGTGAATTAATTGTTATTAATTAAAATATTATTTATTATTTTATATTATATAATATTGATGTAGTATATTAAAATATTAATAAAAATTTAATTAATAAAAATTTAATTAATTTAAGATAAAAATAAAAAATTTTAATTGAATGTAATAAAAAATAATTTTTTTAAATTAATTCAAATGCATTATAGCAAAAAGATTAAAAAAAAAAGAAAAAGGGCAAAGGAACAATCCAACGAGTAAACGTATCGTGGGTCTACGACTTATGACTTGTTAAAGAAGCAGTTCAAAAAGAAAGTCTGTTCGAATAAAAGCAAATAGTAGAAGAGGATGAGCCTGCCAAGGTGCACTCCTGCAGAACAAAGGCAAATAAATGAAAATCAAAACCAAAGAAAAACTCGAATTCTTTCAGCTTCAATCTTCTTTTCAGGTATGAAATGTGATGTAATTTCCATTTATGGTGTTCAATCTGCATTCATCAAATAGTTCTTTTACCTCTCTGAAGTCAAAGTCTTTCCTTTCTTTATCATCACTAATAAATATTTTCTTTTTCATTTTTTAATCAAAGAAAAATTATGTTGGGCTGCGATGATGATCATGTCGAATTCTCCGATTGTTTCTGATTCCTGTTCTTGTTTGCCAATGAATGCAAAAAATATTGACAGGCTTTTTTGTGGGTGGTTTGGTTTGGAGAAATGATGAGTGAGAGTCATAAGGCCATTAATGTCTTTTCAACCTCAACATCATCGTCTCGTTTGTCACCTTTGGCTCGTCCCTTCACTGTCAATAACCCTTACAATCTCCATGAATCCTTTGACCCTTTACTTGACTCTTCTTCTTCTTCTTCTTCTTCATCTTCCAGTCATGATCAACCCTTTCCCTGCCTGAGTTTGGGTAATCAAGGTCATCGTGGCTACCATGCCTATCACTCTGACGCTACTTCTATTACTGCTTTCCCTTGTGTTGATGACCCTGACTTTCAATTTGACTCTCGTTTTGCATACTACCAATTAGAGGAACCTCCACTTCACAGCTATTTCACTTTGTCTACTCATCAATCTTCTCAAACCAATTTCATTCCTAGTTCCTCAAGCTTTGGTAATGTGGGCCTCAAGGGTGGGCTACAAGGAACTGCTGTGCATCAACAAGGGACTGAAATTCTTCGCTGCAACGATCAGGTTGCAAGTGCTGGTTCACTGTCTTGCAATAATCTGCTTGAACAAGGTATCTTCAATTCCTTGGAGGATTTTCGTATCAAATTAAATTTGTTATGATTGGTTCATTATCTTACAATAGCCTGTCTGAGCATTATTACCTTTATGAGACTTGTAATGAAATTTATTATAGACTGCTATGTTGCTGATGGCCTCATTTCATATTAATATTATGATTATAAAACTAAAATCCTTATGATATTAGAGAAGGAGGAAATTCATTTGCTATCAATCATTAAGAACAGACCATGATAAGAGACCAAGAACTTTGATTTGGTCATGTTGCATAATACCATAGATAAACTATGGCAATCTCATTACTGTCATTAGGCATTAACAATTGTGACATTCTAATACTGAAAAATTAGGAACTTCTAGAGTTGCTCTTCTAAAGCGATCAGTAATTTGTAGGTTTTGAATCACAGGGTTTCATTCTACTTGGATTGACTGGAGATTAGTTGAAGGTGCAAAGATGAATAAAAAGTAGAAGCATATTTCAAACAATTTATACTTTTTGTGATGACCATGCCATAAGGGCTGAAACTGTTAATGGTTTTGTTCAGGTACTACTCTTGAAGAATCAAAACTTGTTAGTGAAACATCTTCTGTTTTGCATGGAAAAGGCAGTGTGGTCATAGGAAAAGATAATCAAATTAGGCCAGAAGACAAGGAGAAAATACATACTGAAAGCAGTATTTTTCCACTGGCCAATTCAACTATTTTTCCCTATGAGAGTTGCTTTCCACATCTTGGTTCTTGTCATGCTGAAACTCTGGTTTCACATGCACGAGAATGTTTTTCTTATTCAGCTCAAATTTGCAGACCATCAAGTGCTGGTCCCAATCCTCCAATTGTTAATCCTGTCCCATTAGTGAATGTGGCAACTGGTGGCACTGATGCTGTCAGCAGCAGGGATTCTTATTTTGGCTATGTTCTGCCTAGCATGATGGATACTTCTACAGTGCATAATCCTGTGGACAAGGTGGCTTGCCATGACCAAGTCATAATTGAAAAAGGTGAAAAAGGAAAGATTGTTGAACCCTTCCACGATGAGACTAAAAATCCCTCTATAAGGGCAAAATCCAAGCTTCGAATTGCTTGTCCTAATGTTCCTCAGGACTTAACTCTGGAACAACATGGTGCTAAACCAAGTATACCTGATGATAAATCTTTCACCAACCATGGTGATTCTGATGTGGATTCACCTTGCTGGAAAGGAACCCAGGCTAATAAATCTCCACTCAGAGATTCAGTGCCCATGAATTCAGAAGGTAGTAAGGGTCAATCTCCATCCAGGGTTTCAGTGCCTTTGAAGTCAGAACATTCTAAGAATGAAAAAGTGGCATGTAACAGTTTAAATCCTCAGGTACCTCTGTCTATTCCTGGAAATTCTAAACAAAAAGTGGATCACCATCAGAAGGAAGGTCATGGAGACAGTTCCTTGTCTTCTCAGAAGAGTGCAGCTTTAGATGTTACTTCTTCATCAAGTGAACACAGATTAACAGATTCTGTTAAAGCAGTTAAATTCCCTTCAGAAAGGATCGATGATATAGGAATCCAGAGTTCTAGTGATGTCCATGACTCAAAAAAGGAGTATGGCATTCCCTACAAGTCATTTATAAGTTCGGCAGCCAATTCTTCTTGCAGTTTTCGGCCATATCTCAGAGAAGAGTATGTTACATCTGAAAGTCAGCTTGTGAGAGGCATAAATGTTGCTGGCTCCATGGAGGGTATTGCGGCTGCAACCCATAATGGGTTGGATAGTTTCGAGGACATTGCACATCATGGGCCAAATACAAGCTTCTCTTTCCTTACAACAGAAACTGCCTTGAATTCACATTCCAGTGGAGTTGGTGTTTTTTCTGATTTTACTGAGAGACTTCAAGAGCCATCAAAGTCTACGCCTCCCAAAATTGATGTTAAATTAATGATTAATACAATCCAATATTTGTCAGAGTTGCTTCTACAGAATTCTTCATTTGATTTAGGTTCACTGAGTGAGCATGAGTATAATAAACTCCTGAATATAATGAATAACCTTTATGTTCTTATCAGAAATAAGGCTGGTCAAATGGCTGTAAGGCCTGAATCAATTCATCCATGCACCTTATATTGTCGTAGACAACCAGCTGATCACCATGAGGTACGATACCTAATAACCTTTTGCTGTTGTTGGTCTTATTTTCTTGGTGGAGAATTTGCTTTATGTTTTACGTATAATTCCCATTGGAAACCAAAATGGCGTGTGAAAGCATGCGTTATTCGCACTATGACTGTTATTATGTTTTTATGATAATAATTCTAACCTACATGCCTTTGTTTGCTTGATTTATTTTTCACTGGCATGTTGTTTGTATCAGGGAATAAACTATCCTTTTCCTAAATGCTGAGACTGAGAGCAATTGACCTGCAATCTGCCTTTGTTAATCTGTTTCTCACATAATTGTTTTCTAAAGAATGTTAATGGTCTTGGAAAGAATAAGCTAGTACACCCTTGCTACCCCTCTATGACTTAATGGTTTGCTATTACAGCACAGGGTAAATATTCTTATACTAAAAGCTTTATTAGATTCTGAAAAACCTTAATTAAACAATGCATCTGTCAGCAGCGAATTCAGGTAACAAAGGTGAAGGATAAAGCTGTTTTACATAATCAGGAAATGTACAAGATGTCAGCTCCTATGTTAAGTAGTAGAATGCTGTATTCTTTTTATCAAAGCAATAATGAAGGTTTCAAGAAGGGCAGTGACATCTGTCAGGTATTATTTGCGGCAATACTTTAGTTATTGAATTTGATGCTATTAATCGGAAAGGTGCTGAATCTTTCTATTTATGATACAACAATTAGGTTATCGAGAAGGATCCAAAAGTAGTTTATTCAATAGAGAAAGAAATGCCACCAGAAGCCTTACTTTATAGGGATTTGTGGCTTGAGGCTAAAGCAGCTGGGAGTTTAAAGAAGTATCCAGCGCATGCCTTGCAAATGCAATCAGAGCCAGATAGATACAGATCAGAATAAAAGGTCATTTCTTTACCTCAAACCTTGAAATGTTTTCCCTTTCAAAACTACCTTTCCACTCTTGCACATTTTCACACTGGTGCATTCCAAGCACTAAATTTATGATTGTAGGAAGCTATGGCTAATAGACATCATTTATGGGACTATCGGTATAAATAATTTTCAGTATTTTGGCAGTTGTCAGGGTTCACTTTAGGGCTTGAGCTCGTAATATAACATGTAGGTTTGATGAGTCGAAGTGTGTGGAAGGTGCATAGGTGACAAATATAATAGAGAAAATGTGATACATTTCAGAATGTGGTGAAGCCTTGGATGGAAGCTCCTGTCCTAGACAAGATTCAAGACCTGCAAGCTACCACACTTTGAGTTTAGTGGTAGCTTTAAAGTCATTATCTTAACATGCAAGGATAAAGCCTCAGCCTAAAAGTTCAATCGTGGAAGCCACAAGATTGAGTTTCTTCCTAGTGACAAACGTGCGGCAGAAAAAGTCAGATAACAAAGCATCGAGGAAAGCACTCCACGGTTAGCCATTCCTTTGGATATAATCTTTCAGCCTGCGGCTAAATCCTAGAAGGTTTGTGATACTTTTAAATGTTAAGAATTCAAGACAATAGCCGAATACTAAACTGCGTGGTATAAAGAAAAACATAATTACCATACTGGCTGCAGTACCGCCATTAGGCTCATTGCACGCATGAAAACGTTTTGGGCCGCTTGCTTGGTGGGTTGTTTAGTATCCGATTAATAATGAACCCGCTATGGGACTGCCTAAGCCTTGGTTCTGTTCTTGAGTCTTGACTAAATTTATTACTAGCATTAGCATTCGCATTAAAGGCTGCAGGCCCAGTTTTGCCTTCTCTATGCGAATCAGACATCAAGCTTGTGAGAAAAATGGGCTACACTCTGACTTGTCCAAATTGCACCTGGATAGAGCTTTAAGGCCCTCTTTTTTGTTGGTCAGATGTTTTATATCAAATATGATTGGTATACATTTCAGGATTTCCAGTTAATAATGTGAAAAAAAGTTCAACGCCTATTAAAGTTGTACTAACGTCATTACCCCAACATCTAAATATCGTTAAATGAATCCATTTCTGTGTAGTGGAAGGGAAAACATTTGGCATAAAAATTGTAAATAGAAGTGACTTATTATATGTTATAGTACAGCACAAAGCGCAGAAACAAAATGTTGTTAGAAGTCATTATTCGTGGGGTTAACGATACTGGGCGATGAGCAACTTTCCCTGTCCATTCTGGTCCTGTATTCCGACAAACGTATTTAAGACGTACTACTATTGATTTGTAACCAAGTGCAGCAGTTCCAAATCCATTATTTCTTTTTCCATTTTAAGCATAAGAGCGACTGCCTCTTAATTAACATTCCCATCGCATTAATCTCATGGTACGACTGGTGGAATTCCTCGTTCACTCTTCCATCTTTTGGTTTTTAGGGTCACCCTTGCTTAATTTATGCGCATTTGTTAAGATTATTTAATTTTTTATTTAATACCAAAATAAAAATATATTATTTAATTATAAGAATCTTTTTAATAACTAAAAAAATTTCACTGAGGAAGCCCATAAAAGACGTTTCAGTACTTGCGTGAAACTAGGTGGATCTACTTCTTGTATTCCTGCAGGAGAAAAAGAAAAGAGCATTGGTTTGATTCTAAGTACAAGAATTGTAGGAAAGATAGTGTGTTTTGTATTTTCCCCTTGTGGCTTGGTTGGAGAAGAAAGATCATTTATCTCTCATTTACTACAGTGGTACCACAAGGGCTTAGGTTTTGAACACCCAGTTGGAAGTACAAGGACAACCCATCAAAAAACTTCACACCCATTCGGGCTAAAGTGACTACTCATCCCCAGGTGGGGGACCCCTAACTCGGGCATATCCTATTTACAATGGCAATAGAGATCAGAATTTTATTTTAAAAAATAGAAAATAAAAATAAATCAAAGGAAATCAATGCTGCCAAAACTACCATGTAGTTCAGCTCTGATTGCGCTCTTTGCTCCCCCTCACCCCTCTCCCCCCCCCCCCCCCCCCCCCCCAAAAAAAAAAAAATGGTCCATATATATTTATGCATATGGTCCATCCCATCTCATCATTATTGCATGAAACCAGAATAATGGTGTTGTCATTACAAGAAGAAGATGAAGAGGAAGAAGTTAGAAGATGCACCCAGGTTAAAAGTAAAACACTGAACAAGGAAAAGGAATTATAGAAAAATGAGTACAATTTGAAAGAGAGGTGGGGAGTTGGAGGGGAATATAGGAGAGTGAAGACAAGGAAGAGACCGAAAGGGAAAGCTAACAGGGGAAGATAGAGATGTATATATAGAAGGGAATGGGCATTCACAAATGGTTGCAGTTGGGATACCTTAGCAAAATCTGGGTATCCGGCATTAATTGAGGGAGTGCTAAGTGTAGGACAAAAAATAATCAACCCCATGCCATCCGCAGGTGGGTCAGAATTCTGCAGTCATCCTCCCTCATCCTTGTTTACCCCCTTCTTCTTCTGCAAATATTTAGTATAGCCCGTACGTACAATATTACATTTACTATAAAAAAATATAGAAATATTGCATAATAACACAAACACATTTATATTTGATTATATAAAAGTCTCTCGCTAGTCTTTACGGCTGTTATGGAGGTTGTGCTGTAGGCCAATGAGTTGTTACTGTCACCTCCCTCTACATTTCACTATAATTGTGGTTGTTTTATGGGATCTGCTGCCACCCTTTGCACTGTCATTGTTAATGCTCTGTCCTGATAAACAATATTATTTTAGAATACTAGTATATGAAATGGAAGCAGAAGCTGCGTTATTATCAGTAGCTAGTTTAGTCGCCTTTCACCATCAGGCATCAGCTTTATTTTGTTATCTTTTCTCTGTTTTCCTGATCTTCTCTTCTTCTTTTATTGCAGCTTCTACTTCTTTTCTTCTTTACACATTATTATTATTATTATTGTTTTTAAAAATTTTATGCACTTGTTTCTGCATGGTAGCATCACTGATCATATACATATACCATAACGAAATCAAGAAAAGTAGAGAGGGGGAAATCGATAAAATAGGTAGCTAGGGTAGTTAATCAGAGCCGTCCATGGTTTGACATTTTCGATGCCTTATTAACACTGAGAAGAGGGAGATGCAATCCTTTGTCCACATCCACTTTTAAAAGAGACGGAATGTTGAGTGGTAGAATTGGGAAAGCAAGGGAAGCGTGCCACTTCTTTCTCTTTGAATTCTTCTTTAGTTTTCACCATGGAAAAAGTCTTCCAGAATAGAGCCAAAGCAAGATGATGGATAGTGAAGGGTATCACGGGAATGTGGTGCATTGATTCCAAAGAAATATCAAACCAAAACGTGGTCCATGCAGTCTAGGGGACTGGGAGTCGTTTGCACGCGTCCTCTTTGTTGGCGAAGTTTTGGGATTGAGAGAGAGAGAGAGAGAGAGAGAGAAGAAATAAAACAAGGATAACTACTTTTCTTTTATATTTGCAACTTTATTGTCGTCATTGATTACGCCTCTGTCTTTAACCCTAAATCTCTACAACACTATCTTTCTAGGGTGGGGACTCGGTGTCCCTGTTCAGGTTTGCGGGTAACAATTGCCCTCTCTTCAGTCTTCATCATCGTTCGTCCCTGTCCTTGGGTTGGTGCTTACTATACACACTATGTGCGCCACGCTTGCTTTTTGTTCGTTTATGTGCCACCTTTTTGTTTATAGATAAGACGGTGGGATCACCCAAACTTGAATATTGTTAGCTTAACCATGAACTACATGACAAGCATTTAAATATTCACACTTAGCCTTAGTTAGCCATGCTAGCTAGACGAGGTGATAATATTTGCATCACTAGCAAACAATGTATACTTATAATTTAAGTAACTGAAAAGAAGTTTCCAAACTGACTTGGGCTTTTGCATTTCTGTGCAAACAAGCTTTTGCCAAGCCAAATTTGTAAGTTAATCAAGGAGCAAGCCAAAACGTATTCTACAAATATATCCATAATATTATAATGGTGTTTGAAGTTGGGACTTCCATTTATGATGATCCTATGACGTGAGGCACCCTGCAGGCAAAGGCAATTGAGTGAGTGCAGAAAAGAAAAGTAAGAAATGCCCAAACTCAGAAGGCGAGAAGGGTAAAGGGGCTGTGAGGTCATTTCAGCTAAAGCATGGAGATGGAAAGCACGTCCATGTATGCAGAGGAATACTGGTAAAGATCAGAGTAGATTCTAATTACAGGAAGTTAATGGTATAAGAGAGTTATGGGTATTGCCCGAGATATCTCGTTACGGCTGTCTGTTGTGTGTTTCCCTCAGTCCAAAACGCAGCCCTACACGCCATTCATTGAAGGGTCTCTCTCCCTGCTGCTGCTGCCGCTGCTGTTGGATTGGTACTCGCTAGCTACCACCCTAGATTCTAGATGCTATGTTTTTTTTTTCATTCACAGACTCGAAAGGGGCCCAATCTAACACATATACAGCCATGTGCGTCATGAAGAGAGTCTATCTATCTATCAATCTAATCCATGATTCCATGTACACATAAAAGAGGAGTGAGGTAATTGGCATTAGAACCTTGGCAGTGGCTTGTCCTTGTAAAGGATGACAGCCTAACTACAATTATGCTTTCCCCAGAAAAAGGACACTAACCCAATCCTGCTCGTTTGACACAATCCAAATGGGAATTGGGTCCTTTCCATTGCTTCTGCACTCCTAACCAAAACGGCATATGGTAAGTATTTCTCCAATGGCAGAATTGAACACTTGGCAATTTCCATTTTCTTTTTTTTTTTTCAAATTTTAATTTATCGGGGTTGGTATTTGGCTCCAGTGACAAAGGTCATCAAATTTTGGACAGTGTTGTCCTTGATGAATCGTTATTGTCGTTCTTTTGATCGGTAAGAGAAAAGTGTCTGATCAATTCTCAGACTCTCTGGCAATTGTACTTGCAGTTACATAAGCCTTTTCATACTTTTTCCTTTTTTTTTTTCCTTCAATTTTATATTCATTTCTGGTGTGGCTTATTTCCATCTTTGTGTTGTCTTTTTCTTCCATTTGTATACTGCCTTTTTCATTAGCATTATTTGATTAAATATTGTACTAAGATTTTACTTGTAAATTGCACATGTATTTTCATTAAAAAAACGTTTTAGGTAGCTATGTGAAATAAGGGTAGTTGGGCATGTCTCAATATATATACCTTACCTTGTCTCATTTATTTATTTTTAAGTTATAAAGATTTAATTAATTGAAATCTACTTAAATATTTGTTAGAAGATAGAACACTATTAGTTTAATTAATTCCAACATATCTACATATGCATTTTAATTTAGATGGTTGACTAATATTATTAAATTCTTTTAAACGCAATGATTGAATTTCAAATCAATTGTTGGTTTATTATATGAATGGAAAGTGAGAGTGAGGAGGGGAATGAATGGGAACATTAATTATCCAAATTATTAAAGCAAAAGTTTGACGTCTGTCTTTCACATTCAGCTATGTAAACTTCTACCTGCAATGCTGATGCTTTTGATAAATACTACCTAGCTAATTAAAGTGACAAAGATATAGATCAATACCTTAGCTAGGTTTAAACTAATTAATGCTACAAATGATTAATTCTAGCTGACAAATTAGTTTTCTACTTGACCAAACCAGAGAGGTGGAAAACATTGCATATCCTGACAACTGAATCTAATGCTCAGTACTCTTCTTTTATATTTGTTATGTATAGGTTTATGGTGAAGTTGTTTCATCATGTGTCCATTGAAGTCTATGTCTTTCTCTTTTTAGCTTAATAAAATTTATTAAGAGTTTGTTTAATAATTTGATCGTCACTATTTGATCATTGTATTAATTTTATAATTGTCGAAGAAACCTACCTACCATCTTATTAATACGTAAATTTAATAATTTGAGTTTCTAGATGTCAACTAAATTCTCATATCCATCAAATGAATAAAAAAATGTATTGTTTGTTTAATTAAACTTAAAATGAACAATAAATTTTAAGAACTCATTTTAAAATTTAAAATTTATTTATTATTATTGCGTTATATAGAATCCATGCATACATTAATAAAGCTGATATATATATATATATATATATATATCCTTTCTTTCTAAATCATTAAAAGGAAAATGATATCATTGATGGAGTTCTAGCCAACACCTAGACTCTATTAAGCATGTACTTTTATGAAACGACGTCAGTGTCATGGAAACGAATGACATGCAAAAAGTTAGGCACTCCTCACAACTGAGTGAGCCTCAATTTAAAAACATGAGTAAGAAATAAGGTCAATTTCAGGGGTAGAGCTTCGTTTGAAAGGGAAAAAAAATAAAATACCAGTGCATGAATTTCTGTATGTCTTGCCAAAACAAAAACCCTTCAGTTGTATTAATTATGTCAAGAAACCTCCTGCATATAGGGACTCTTTAATTTCTGTTTTCTGAGTATCAAAAGAGAAAGACGACTCTCTTCCTGTTTTTGTACTCACTGCTTATCCAAACCTATCTCATCAGGGAAACTAACAGCGCCTGCAAACTGAAGGAAAGCACCTCTATGATCAGCTTTTTGTACTTGAAAAATTAGATAAAGAAAAAAAATGACATTCACAATATGTACCATACCAACAATAGCAAAGAAAGCTTAACCCATATGATATTTTAGGTTATCTGTCGAATTTTTGGGGTTGAAATTTAGCTTATTTTCCTAGATTAGCAACTCATAGCGTGAGGGACATTCATGCTAAAACTGGAAGACTTATTTAGTGACTATGCACAGTATAGATACATCTACTGGTTTTAAGGATTTTTAAGATCAAAACCAGATAGAATAGGTGGCAGTGTCCAATGGAAATTAGGCCTTTAGAAATGTTTTTAAGTGGCATATAGAGCTAACTGAAGACCGCAAAATGATATATAGGTTTTTTCATTTCAAGTACTGCTAATTTTCCTTCTCTCCACCTATTATTATTATTATTATTATTATTTTAATTTCCTTGGCGTTTGAGACTCTCCTACTCCTACATTTCATTTCAGCAGAGAGATAACAGCAAAACCACGCATCAGGAAAACCAATAGAATTAACCCACCGCGCATACCAGATAGTAAGTATCTAGTGCCATATGCAAGATGTTTAATTAACTCTTGAATAATACCATAAATAAAAGACTTCCCAAAGCACCATAAGACACGTAATCAGAAGATAGTAACATCCAACATATAGAAAGCATGCATCAAAACAACCGTGCACTTATGGGGGAATATACATAAACACCTAATTAAGGTTAAGATAACCATGTAGAAGCATTTTTTAGTCCTTGTTTACGGGTAAAAATGAAGCTGATCAAATTTTCCTATCCTCTAGGGCAAGTATAGAAGAATCAAATACTTCTACTCATATAAGAGATGAGTTCTAAAAAGTCATTGACAACCAAAAAAGAAAAATAGAATTCCAAGAAGTATGATTCATTTGCCATATAACTGCTTTCCCAGTCTGAAGTTTATGTTCCTTCTTTTAATTTCAGTAACATTGATCTCTTTAAGAGTGTTAACGCTATTAGAGGTTTCTCTCTCTGTGTCTTTTTTTCTTCATATTTTAATTTTATAAATGTCAGAACCGACCACCATTTCCAAGATATCTGAAATCGACATGACACATTCAGATAAAACATTACTCTCTAGCATTTTAACTGTAAGGCATTTCAGAAAACTTTAGAGCACAAGTTCCTCTCATTTCTACATGTATATGATAATAGCCTTGTTTAGTTGATTCATAACCATCAAAAACTATAGAGCTTGACACACTTAATATTTACATATTGTGTGTCCTATGCTAATCATCGTAATATAGCTTGACAGACAGTATGCAATAAAATTTGATCAAAGACTGTTCTCTGGGTGGAAAGGAAACTATAAGGTGACCAATGAACAAAAGATACGGCAATAAAATTGGTACTTCATTCATCCACATGTTTGCGTATGTGTGTGCGTGTCTACATGATCAGAAATAGTTCATATTTCCATCTAGGGTTTTGATGTTGAGAAAAATAAAAGAAGTAAGTCTTGGAAAATCTTAAAAACTATCAGATACATGAATTATGAAGGTGGAGATTGTGCTACAGATCAATAAGCATGCTCTCCTAGAGATCTAAAAATAGTCTGGACAAGTTAAGTTGCTTTGAGAAAGGCCACTACAGAAAGATTGACCCGTTAAAGATCAATCGTGTAATTATTTTTTGTTAGTATAGCACATATATGAGGACTGATGAACTTTGCAAACTATAAAGGATAAACTTTCTTCAGTCCCCTGAAAGTATAGACCAAGTTAAAAAAAATTTTTTTGTTCCCATGCTGCACTGGATTGAATCACAGATCTTGTTTTTGGCCCTGGGTTTACGATTTCAAGCTACAGTGGAAAACCGTGGTGAGGGCACTAACAGTTTCAATCAATTATTACTGCCAAGAAGCAACTTGCAGTGGAGGAATACCTAATTTATTTATTTATTTTTCTTCGAATGAGACTAAACAGACTGTAAATAAGACACCAGGGCATAGTATTGCAAAATTACCATCTATCTTATAACAAGCTTAAAAATGACATTAGAAATAATATTTGGTGGTAGGAAAAAAGGACGAAGCTACATTATCGTCAAAGTTGGAGGCCATTAATTTTTGTTTTGGTAACTTTTGAAGAATATACGTATGAGCTCTAGCAAAAAGGTGAAGAAACATGTGGCTCACCAGAAAGATAAAGGTGCTGGTCTCAACTTCAGCTTAGGCAATCTAATTTCTGTGAACATTGAAATCTAAAAAAAAACAATGATAGCTATCTGAACATACGCGCATGCTGACTCCAAACGATGCTTCATATCTCGACTACTTGGGACTATGCAATTAAAGTAAAAAAGGTGTGCAATGGTACAGATGAAATTAAAAAAAAAAAGGAAAAACAAATTGCTGGTGCAACATATTCGCCTAGAAGAAAAAAAGTGAAACATGCTGCTCCAGCTAACCAGATAACTATTACAAAAGGAATTAAATAAATTCACATTTATGATGGCATATGTATTCTGTTCTTCAAGAGAGTTAATAGTATGTGTCTATTTGGTGAATTGAAATGATCGAAGAAACAAGCAAATTTGAGGAAGGGGAACACTCAAACTTGCAAAGAACAAAAAAGAAACATATTAATGCGGTAAGGGGTTAAACAGATGGCAAAGAATTAATAATATAAACAAAAAGAGTCCAAGAAAATTGAGATAAATCCTACCTTTTAAAAGCCCTGCAAATTTCTCTGCACAACCTGCGGGCGTGCCCAACGAAGCAGCGACAAGAACAACAACCTAGCAAAGGTAAAAAACAAAAGAGAGCAAAAACTTGAATTATATCAGATAGCTAGCACTCTGGTCAGTCACTGAGGAGTCAGGAAAGGTTGTTATTAACTAAACAACAGTGGAGAGAGAGTGAGAGAAAGAGAAAGATAGAGGGAGAGCAGTTACGAGCCAAAGGGAATAAAGATACTTGGGAACTAATTCAGTGGAAACAATGGGATGGGATACATTCAGGAGAGACCAGGCCCTACAAAAAGCAATCATGAAATCTCGGGCTTGATGGATCTATGTCTCATATATGTATCTATCTATGTGTAATACTTATATTTTATACACAAAGTTAAAAACAAAAGACTCCTTGGGTTATGGTTGTGATCATCTCATCTCTAACTAAATCTTCACAGTCACCCAAACCTTGAAGTCCGCTTCTGTACTAATTAACCGCTAAAACAACAACATTGAAATCTGATTTTTTTTCCTCAAATACTCATCAATATTCTTCCGTCTCTTTTTATTCAGTATAGATATGGATATGATCATAAACCAGCATTGGAGATTTCAACTGCTGGGTCTTCTCCTTTATCCGAATCAGGAAGTGATAAATTGGGAACAAAATAAAAGAAGCGGATTAGCAGCTAGCCTCGCAATTCTTCTAGCCTTATCTTCGAGCATTTCTTGTCGTTGTTTGTTGGTGATGACGGTAGTGGCAAGTGTTGATTGTGGCAAAGTTAATTAACTTGGGCGTCGAATATACCGTACCAGATACAATTTCTTGTGGTCACATATCCAAATCCAAGGACATGGAAGCCTTCCCTTTGTTGGCATTACGAAAGTCAGTGGGCAGTGGGGTGCCGTTGTAGAGCCTTAATTGGAGAGGATGCTGTGACGGTGATGAAAGTTGAGGAGGCTGCGATGCCATTGTAGCATTTGCTATGGTAGTTGGAGATAACATCTCACACTCACCCGACGACTCCGATATGGGGCATTCCATGTTCACCCCGAAAAGCCTTAACCTCTTGGCTGCAGCCTTGCCTTGGACCACCGGCACCGAGTCAAACACAATTGGCTCTACAACGCCACCTGTTTGCTGCTGCCACTCCATCATTCCCAGTCCCATTCCCATTCCCATTCCCATTTGTGGGCCTGCTGCAGCCACTGCTGATCTCAAGTAAAATACTGATTCCATTGTCCCTCCAGCTGGATTCATCACATTGCTTCCAGTTGGATAACCACCATAGTAGCTATTTCTGTTTAGAGGGTGTATCTGCGACAAGTGAAAGTGATCTCTTCCTGTTGGTGGTGGCCGCATTAGCAATGGACTCCATGGGATTGAGCGGTGAAAAGAGAAGTGTTGATGAGGATGAAAAGAAGCCGGGTCTGGTGCATCAGGTCTCCGCCTCCAATCAATGAAAAGACGATCTTTACCCAACTCACCTACTCCTCTCTGGAAAGAAACTATATCGCCAGCATCAAGTTTCTTATCCTTGACAAAACGGCTCCAGCCTTTGGTCATAACGTAGCTTTGGCTGCTGTTCCAGTAAGAGTACCTGAATCTCCACGGCTTCCCATTTCTGTCCTCGAAATTCAACAGAAGACCTTTCTCGTTTGTGGAAGAATCAAGCGGGAAATACTTCTCAGCGTGTTGTTTTGGGATAACAAGTCGGTTGAGTTTTCCCACATCGCTTGGGGTGACTACTTTATCGAACATGTGTTCTTTCTCGATGTTGGCACTTGCACTGCTCTTGAGCTCAGGGGTTGAATCTGAGTCTACGCGTTTGGAATCAGCTTCACTTGCAGTTGCTGTGGCAGTTGCTTCGTTATCTTCTTCAGGTTCGTACCTGTTGCCTAACCAGTTGGGACTCATTTGGTGGTGGCTGTCGTAAATCGGATGAGGCTGCTTCTCCCATCGGCAGTTGATAAGAGGAGGAACCAGATGGGTTTTGTGCTGAGAAGAAGAAGATGAAGGAGAAGAAGAGGAAGAATAAGAAAAAGGGAGCTTACCTTTACCCATCTGTTCTTCTTCACTAAACCCTTCTCTCCCTGATGACCCAAAATCCATGAATTTTTTAGCACCAATTGTGACTTTTCCTCGGGGATCTAGACTATAAAAGATGAGGAAGAAAAATCAACCAAACAAACCTAACAAGAAGGGAAGAAAAGTGGGGGCTGATTGGTCTAGTTGAGATTAAACAAAACTAACAAACAGACAAACAAAGAACACTAGAAACTGTGCCATGTTGTTACAACTTTTCTTGGTTTTGCTAGGGTTGAAGACTATTCGGAATTTAGGAAGAGTTTCAGGAGATGCGGGAAGGGGTGTTTTGTGTGTTTTTTGGGTTTAGGCGCTATCTCTCACCTCTCTGTACAATGAGAAAGTCGGTGCTTTCTTCTTCTGACCAACAAGACCCAAACACGAAAACTAGACTTGGACAATAAACCCCCATGGACGTTTCAAAGAATGCAACTTCTTCTAGTTGTTGACCTTGAAAGAAGAGAGTGAAAGAATAAGAAAAAGTGGTTTATTTCATTATTTGCTTTATTTTCTTCCCAGGGCGCGCCTCCCTCGAACCTTCTCACCGTTAGGCGCAATACTAGTATGTTCCCTCTTTTTCCTTTTTTCCTTGAACAAATTCTCACCCTCCCTTAGCCCTTAGCTCTCTGTCTCTCTCCTTTCTATCTTTCTTTGTTAAGAGAGAGAATATCAAGTTAAGTTTACACGTAGGGACCCCATGTATTATCTGGTTGGGCTCATGTGAGCTTGTCACTGTCATCATCCTGGGTGGTATGCATATTATTTTAGTATTTTTGTAGGATATATAACTCCATGAGCCAGCTGTTTGGGAGAGCACGAGCTTGTTACTGTTGCAATATTAATTCTATTCTATCTTTGTTTTTTTAGACTTTTTTTTTTAACAAAAAGAAGAGAAAGAAGAAATCACCAATATTGTAATTCCATTTCTGTCTTAGTTGTGATTTAATTTGTAGTTGATAATGTTTGTCCCCTTGATTCCGTTTTGAACTTTTGCCCCAAAAATCTTAGATTACATAGCACTAATTGTTAGTATTTAGTACAAGCAAATTTGTTTTCTCATTAAATTAACCTTGTTTAAATATTGTGTGGTAACTATCAGCTAGCTGACATCTCCTGTTTAGGGGAGGAAAAGATGAAAAAAAAAAAGTGGGGTAAATATTATCTAACTGGAACTGGGTTAGGGTTTTGACTTGAAAAGCTTTCATTTTAAATCCGTACGGGCCTCTGTGCTATGGTGGCCAACTAGATGGAAAAGGATATTTATAGTCTTCGTCAGTCTCTCAAAGGCATTTACAATTCATAAAGGAAAAATGAAAATTACACTAAAAAAGAAAAAGAAAATTCTTCGTTCATTTTTTTTTTCCAAGGGGAATGCAGCACATGCACTTCCCTATGGACCCATCTATTTTCCACGCTTCCCCTTCAACCTATCTAACCAATCCCTCACAACCTCAAAAGTAATAATTTAACTTAAATCACGTCTCTCACTTTTGTCATTATGTGTCACATTTTCAGGTCATATTTTGGATTATGTTGGCTTTTGGACCCCTGATATTAGCCCAACCTGGACACAGCCATCACTGGTCCAGCACCCTCGATTCCCTGCCTCCCCAACACAGGATACATAAGCAATATTATCTTCTTCTCTGGTAAATATAATATCAAATTAGTTTTCCGGATGACTCAAGTTGGGTTATTAACAGATTTTCTCAATATTAAACTTGCACGTGTTTTAAAATAAATAAAAAAAACTACCAATGTTTTCACCAGGCCATGGTTTTTTATTCTTGTAAGGAAAAACATATCAATAAAGCTGGTGGGAAGTGGAAGATTTACACTGATGCACGTAGGTACCACTTCCATTTTAAGTGTAGCATCTGCATCGTTTGTGATAGGGCAAAAATCCTGGGGCATATCAAATTATGACACTGGTGCGTCGCCATAAAAAAAAAATGAACAGAATTTGTTGTCATAAATTCAATTTCACACTTAGAAAGTACAGTAGCCATTGATTTTAAAAATTATTTTCCTGTTACTTAAGAAATGACAGATCAAATAATCGGGCAAATTAAGTACACCTGCTAGATTAATAAGTATAGACTGTGGAACAGTGGGTTCAGATACATAAAACTTGTAATAATGAGCCCTACCGTCCAATCATTTTATAGCCATAATTTGCCCAGGGAAAAAAATGACAAAGGCTGCTCCTGTTGTGAAGGATAATGGGGCACTGCATAGCCACCACACCACCACCCCCAGCCGCTAATTGATGAGCATCCAGCTACTCAAATTGTGGCTGATAGGGATGCCTTGGCACCTTGCTAGCTAAACCTTTCTTGCGTGTGAGGCCTTTCTTCCGGAATTAATCCAGTCTCCACTCCCTTCAGCTTTCCAGCAATATATTCTCTACCTTCTTTGCTGGTAAAACAAAGTGGCGTTTCCATATATATATATATATACAGCATGTTGAATCATGGAATCCTTACATGATAACAAGGACGACCAAGAAATGTATGAATTCAATTGCTCTAATTTTTTCATTTGACAGATACTATAGTAAGATTTCATGCATTAATGATTGAATTATATAACTGAGATAATTAACTCTGAACTTGTAATAAGTGCAACCTCGATGTAACCTTTTATAAGAATTAGATTCCATCCAAATACATACCACTCAAAACGATATAATCTTTAATTGATAGTGTAACAACTAATTTTCGAGACATTCAATGTATATTATCTTGGGTTGATGTAATGCCGTAATAACACATCAAGGCAGATCCCCACCCTTTCTAGTAGTGATGTGACGGTAATTAAATTTACAATATTATATAAATTGGAAAGAGAGAGGGCGGAATAATAATAAATATATTGAATCTTGTAATGCTAAACAATATGTCTGTCTTGTGGTTGGGTCACTCTACCACTTGGATTCTTATCGTATACTAGTGGTACTGCTGCATAGAGGAGCTACGCTAATCCATAAATTATGAAAGACCCAGTTCCCCAAATTTAGTATTCATTACACATTACACTATTCTTAATTCTTATAGTAGTAATTAATATAAATATTTAATGGAGTACAAATTAATCTGAGGTTTTCATTGGTTTCAAGGAGCTGCTTCCGTCATGTCACCTGATTAGAGTGACGTTGGAGTTTATTGAAATTGAGCAAATCAACGCTGGAATCAGTTGTGATGATTGACTAATTATTCTATTTAGAACTTGTATTGACTTTTACAACACCCCACCACACCCCCCACCCCCTAAAAATATCAAAATGGGGCCAAATTGCCTCTCCCTAATTTTTGCCCCCAACTTGCAAGTTCCTCTCTCGCGCATCCCAAAAAAAAAAAAAACTCAATAACGCCCCCACTTGGTTTTGAGCCATCCAGCCATGCTCCTTCGTCCTATTATTTATATCTATTATTACCAGTATTATTGTTATATGTATTAGCCTTGTTGAATTTATAATTACGACACAATTAATTTTGCCTCGTGGGGTTGGAGTACTCTTGGTACCTACTAGCTAGGCAGCAACTTCCTGGAAGAATGACCCTCTTGCGTGCCTCTCTAATTAAGCATCCTCCTCTTCCATCCTTTTACGATACAATAACCCGAACATGTTTTTGGCAACTTGCTATATGTTTAACCCACTAAGCCCCTACTTAATTTAAGCTCAAGTTTAATTAGCTCTACTCCTTGTTTTATCCTATTCGTCCATTCATATTGACCAAATTTTGTTCTTATCTCATCTTAGAACTAGGAATGGAAGATATATGTATATATAATAGAAAAGAAAAGAAAAAAAAAATCGACAAGTAATCCAAAATTTTGGTTCTAACTTACGTCAAATCTGAAAATTAGCTAGCATGTGCCTAATTAATGTTGAATCCCTTTGCCTCTGAGCATGAACATATTGAATTAAATTGGAAAAAAAAGGAATATTTTATCAGCTGTATAGGTGTTAACGTAGCATGTGATGATGTACATCAAAATGGGAATTCTTGTAAGTTAACTGATTTTTGTGTTTTACCTAGTGTCTTTATTTATGCTTGCGGCCATGTGGATTATGTAGAGAATTGCATATATATCCAGCTGAGCCGCAACGCGATCTAATGGTGTATCTCCCACACCCTCACTGTCTTTCTGTCTTTAATGCACAAATATACAAACGATTTGTGGGGGTGGGGAATGGATGGGGGGACAATTCGTGAATTCCGTTAGCAGCCTCTGTCATGAAGAATCAAAGATGATGATGATGATGAGTCGCAGAGATTATTAAGCCAACTAGGCAACTACTACCTGCCAGACCAAGTACGTAATAGCCACTAATCAAGCTTCTAATCTCCTAATCATCACCCATCTAATTGGACCATAATTTTAGCTAATTTTCAGATCATCAATGGCCCCAACTGACTGATCTGGTTCAAAATAAACATTACTTTTCCTACCAGTGTTCTTCTTTAGCAAGTTAACCAAATATTCCAACATTTATCTTATTTATAATATAAAAGTAAGTTTTAGGATACATATCCCAAATTGCACACCTTAAGTATGCAAATAGCATGAATAAAGACACAGAATTATGAGAATAGTTTCATTGTTTGAGTGGAAACAAGAATAGTCACCATTTCTATCTCAAAAAATGATCAAAAATTAGAATCGCACATATTGTTTCACATTAAAAACTGCTTGTTGGGTTCTTGTATCAGAAATAAGATTAAACATTTCAATTGCTCGCTTAAGTGTTCTTTAATACGTTGTAATAAATGTCTATTTTTTAGTCCATTGGCTCAATTTTGAATTTTTTGATATCTTCAATATTTTTATAAAAAATTACTGATGCGTAATACTCATGATCTAATATAAGCTTTTAGGTTTAGGTCAAATCAATCATTATTAAATGTTTGGAGGATCTTGTTCATGGAACTTAGCTGTGGGCTGTGGCACACAAGTTCTTGGGTGATTGATGTGGTGAGAATGGGATCAGACAATTAAGCTAAAAGAATAATAATATATTCACAAAATTAACATAGTTTTGCTATTTCTATTGTGCTCAAATTCTATATATTATGGCGTTGTACTTAGTTAAATTATATAATTAGTTTTTATATTTTGGTAAAGTGAAGAATTTAATTTTTATACAATAATTTATAAAAATTAAGTTCTTATATTTTTTTAAAATTAATAATGTCAGTCTAATTGTTAACAAGTATTAAAATTTTTTCTGTTATTTAAGCTGATAAAGCAAATTTTTATAGATGTGAAATTGAATATGATAATTTGTTTATTTTACTACATTCTTTTCACTACTTTAAATTATGGAGCACAAAAATTCAATTCTTTTTTATCTCACGGCACTCTTTTCCTAAATCCTAAAAATCTATACATAATTTTGATTTGTTTCTTTTCTAATCCTATTTAAAGCCATTAACTCACATTAGATAATTCCATGTCCACATTTATAAAATTCATAATAGTACTTAATCATGTTATACCGTCGACATTACAATTATATCATTTCTAAAATGTCAACTCATCACTATCATATTATCAAATGTAATGAAACATCAATAGAAATATATCACATCAATATAACCAAACACTATATTAATATAAATAATAAAAAAAATTTTAACACATTAAGATAATATTATCAATTTTATAAAATATAAAAATTCAATTTTTAAAAATTATTATACCAAAATTAAATTTATCATTTTGATAAAGTACATGATTAATTACATAATTTGACAGTTATACTTTTCCCATATAAAGATATAGAAATTAACTTTAATGCTTACATCAAGGTCCGCCTTTTGTACAACTTAGGTATTATAGGACCTGGAAGAAAGCAGGGCAACTTCTACTTAATTCCCATCTAACAGGATAGCGGCTCTTTCCAAGAAAAGGTGAGACCAACCTCCCATAGTCCCATGAATGTTCTTGAAAGACTTGGCTAAAATTGAAAAACCATATATGTATACCCAACAATATATACAACGTCGTCTAGACTTATTCAAAGTTGAACTACTGAACTGTATATCGATCGGAGAGGAGAGATTATTCGCAAATACTAATGCGTGTGACGGTAGCTGGCTATCTAGCTAGCTAGCTAGCACACATCCATGAATCAAAGAGATGTGCAGAAGGATTTGGGGAGCAGACTATGATGTCTAACCGATTGGAATTATTATTGGACCCCCTTTCTTAGCACTTTGTTAACATCGAGATGTTTAGCTTTGATAAAGGTTCATGCCTCTTCAAGCTTAGCACTACATTGTTTTGCATCCCTTTCGCTGTCTCCCCCACCCCCTATAGGCTATGTGAGTCTTTAGGTTGGGCTCATCGAAAAAATAGGGTCTCCCAGTCTCTCTTTGCCATTATTACAGGAAAACGATAGTGATAAACCAGAGGAATATATAAGGCAATGTTAGGACGGATCTTTTGACAAGCCCTTCCCTATTCAGCAGATATAATCATAAAAGAATCCTCGACACGCTAGCTCTAATACCTGATGCGTTTGGACCTTCCAGTTTGGTGTGTAAAGCAGGGCAATGTGAATTGCAAAGAAATTATCAAAAACGTGGAACAGCTCTGTAAAGTATTTATAATTGTTGTTTAGTGTAATCGACTGCTCAATTATATATTTATATGGTTCTGATAAAAGGGTTTAAAGCATTTGGTGGGGAGAAAAATAAACGGAAAGAGATAGTTGATTGGGTACATCATGGTCCATGTTGTCATAAAGCTGTAGGCATAGGACCACAACTTCCAAACTCAACAGGACCATAGAGCACTCCCTACCGTCCAGTTGGCAGCTGCTGTGTCTTGTTTCATGCTTCAATTGTCGGCTTCTTTATCTGTCAGTCTCTCTCTCTATCGGGATGGACTGTAAAGTGACCTGTAACAACACGTAGCGCAGGGTTCTCCTGATCTAAGGATGATTGGGTAACTGGGATTGTATTGGGGCCTAGATGATCATCTTGACATTGAAGGCTTTTTCTCAAATGTTAGAGACATGATAAGACCCCAGGAGATGCATTATTTTCTCAGAGCAATTCAATCTCTTGTTTTTTCCTTCCTCTATCTGTCACTTAACTAATGGCATAATTTATTTCGTCAGAACTTTTACTCTGCTGATAACTGGTTCCTGAATCATGATGCCATGCTTGTTTCTCCCTAAGGGACAGAGGGGTTAAAAGAATGCCCCATCAAAAATAATCTCCAACGAACTGCTCAAACCCTTCTCGAATGCATCCAGCAGCCTTTCATCGTTAGCCTAAGTTAGGTTGATTTCCTTCTTCGTTGATTCCCTTCAGCTAGGCCAGCTTCCCTCCCACAACCATACATTTAATTTAAAACGCTCCTTATGGACTCTGTCTACCGAATTTGGATTGCAATTTGCAAGACGTGCCAGTTGACCCCGTTTGATTCGGTTCTAGACTTGACTAATACTTGACCCCAGCCAAAACATAGTTATGCACTTCGAAACTACCAATTCCTAGACAAAATTTGGTATAAAGAGACCATGATTTCTTTAGAAATTCATTTGTAAGTGAAGATTGAATGAAACATTATTTTGGGTTGTCAAGTTTAAATTATATATCTCAAATTTACAAGATATTGATAACGTTAATGATTATTGGTAAACGATACCATAATTATAATTGTTATACTTTTCATTTTTTATTAAAGCAAAATGTATGTTGGGTCATGAAGTTTCCTAGACTTAGTTTTTATTCTTCAATCAAATAAAGAAAATTACAAAATTGGGTATCCAAATATATTTTCTAATTAGTAAGTACAGTTGAAATGTAAATTCAATCACAATAAGCAGACACTAATGCTACTGAATTTCAATATTTTAGTTAAACATTTAATTTTAAGTTTAAAAACTAACTAGTTTTACACTATTGAATGGAATAAATATTAAACAAACATTTCAACATTATGCAATTGTATATGAGATCAATCTTTTTTTTTTAATATTTTCAATTACAATAAAATAATTTTCATGTATATCACATATTACATTCATGAAAAGAAATTAATAAGAAAAACCTATATAAAATTGTACTGAATCTATATATGGTAGGATTTAAAATTTAATTTTTTTTTTTTAAAAAAAACTTAATTTACACAACCCGATTGAAGTTGAGCCTAAATCTTATAGCCCATCTACTGTCCATTGTGATGATTGAGCCATTGTGAAAGCCAACTGAAGAGTAAACTGTCCTAAGCGGTGAGAGACCCAAAGTAAATGGGTCTTCATATGGGCCGAATCCATGGTGACGGACCCGTGTCCAAAATTGCAAGAGTCAATGGGTTTTAGTGTCTTCCCTTCTTTTCGCCCTTTTATAGGATTAGGGTTTAGGGCGCTTTTGTGTTTCCAAGTTTTGGTTTTGAGGCAGAGAGAGATAAAGAGTTTAACAGGCAAAAAGGAAATTAAAAAAAAAAAAAAGGAAAAAAGGAGAGCAAAAATGGATTCTTTCTCAACAGGTTCAAGTGGAACAGGATCTCCCCAAATTTCAACAGAAGAATTCATGGACCAGATGAAGCTTCAACTTGCCCAGGCTTATGCCCAGGAGTTCCTCGAGGTTAACCTCTCTTCCCATTTCTCAATTCTGGTTCTGGGTTTTTGGTATCTATATGTAATCTTGATGTAATAGTTCTCTTTTTTTTTCTTCCTTTTTATCGTGAAATTTATTTTGTCTGAAATATATCACCACTATCAGTACGTGGGTTATCAGCTGGTCATCGAACTGTGTCTTTTTCAATGCATTGCTTAGAAAATGCTCTTGGTGTGATGCCCAATCTTCTGTTCCCTGGCTAGATAACTTCTATGAAGTTGGAAGAGTTTAAAGGTAGTCTTTTTAATGGATTAAAATGGACCACCATCGGATTTGATTCAAGGATTTCCTTGTCTAGATTGTTGTCGAATGAATTTAGTTTTACCCTGAAAAGCAGCCACATTCCTTAGATTGTTTTAAGTGGCTTCAAACCATTTTGATTTGTCAAAGGTTCAGGAGGGTTTTGTAAAAGTTAATGCTAGAAAATATTTGTGTAGCAGTTTCAATTTGGAATGCTAATATACTATGATACTCCATGTCTAGGATATTTTTCTTCAATTTTCTGTTTGTTCTAGAAAAGCTTACTCGATACAAGTTTGTTGACTTAAGTTGTCACTGTTTATCATGGTTTGGAGAAGATTTGTCAAATAGTTCATATCTTATTTGCACGTTTACTTATATGAGTAGATATTTTTGCCCAATTCATGTTATTCAGTTTCTTCATATTAACAAAAGGCAACCAGTTATTTGATATCTCTCCTGTAGGCTTGGCTGTTGCTTGCTAAATGTCCTCTTTGCGAGTGTGAGTGGGGTGGCTATTATTTTATTATAGCATCAAAAAATTTTCATCATGCTTTCTATAGCATTATTGGGGCCTAATATGCATACAATCTCTACTTGAGCTATTTCTCAATTGCTTTTCATTTGTAATACAGACTGTGAGGGAGAAGTGCTTTGACAAGTGTATCACAAAACCTGGGTCAAGTCTAAGTGGAAGCGAGAGTAGTTGCATTTCTAGATGTGTGGATCGTTACATTGAGGCCACTGGTATTATTAGCAAAGCTCTTTTCAATGCCCCACGCTGAATTTGGAACCGGAGCATTATTGTTGAAGATAATGTAAGCTGCCAAAGTTTGTACAAATCTTAAATTCGAGGATGAGTGAAATTTGTGATTGGTTTTGCTCGTCTTATTTCTGAAATTTGTCCTGGGGAGATCATACTCTGCATATTGTTTTTGAATTTGTACTCGTTACCAGACATCCGAATATCAAAACTCTGGGAATTTACCTGCGAACTGCTCTTGCTTTTATTATGTGTTACTTAATCTTTGACTGTAATGATGCTTTGTTCCCTGTCTTACTATTCAATAATATTAAGCCTTGACGTGGTGGTAGAATGCTATATGGGTAAAATATAGTACCCAAATGTTATGAAGATTGCAACTTCAAAGGATAGACAAAGCCAATCAGCTATGGTTTCTTTGAGCTTCTTTTTCCGTATCATCTCTTGCTTTAGCTCCTCAAATTGTTGATAGCCCTCTTCAACCATGAGGCGACTATTACTTCGCAAGCAATACAGAGCCTGATTCAGAATGGTCAAACTTTTGCCTCCACACACATGTACTCCCCCAGTGTCCTCGAAATGCATGCTTATTTCCTTCCATCCCAGATACCCGTTTTCCGCCAGGTTGCATCTAGCCAATATAAGGCACTTGGCTAACTTGTGAGGCAGCACGCTCTCCTCTACAGGTACAATGCACCCAAAGTGAATCTCATAATCACCATCGGTAGCCCAGATCTTTTTCACTAACAATGGCTTCCAGCTTGAGAGATTGACTGCCCTGCCTCTCTTCTTGTCCAACAGCACCCAACTTAACCTAAGGCGCTTTAGTAGCTCATTGCAGTGATCTGTATGCACAAAGGACATAAAATGGGGAGCTAATATTTGATGATGATCATATTGGTTGTTGGCAGGGTGGAGTTCATTCCCATCTCCAGTGCCTTCATCATGACCGACATCCAAGAGAACCAATGTGAATGGACAGCTCAATAACCATCTCATAAGGTCACTTGTCTCATCATCTTCACAAAAATCCCCCGAACTTGGTATGCCATCTAAAACTCTGGACAGAATGCATTGATCACTGTAGTAAACATCTATAAATGAAGCAAAATTAGACGGAGAGATGTGGGTTAGCGCAGGAATGTTCTTGGCAACTTTGTCATGCAAAATAAGAGGATAGGAATCAGCATAGAGTCTGTCAAAACCATCCATTGCCGAAGACGAAATAAGGTGCTGAGCTTCTTTGAGTGCAGTGGAAGGCCACGTCGAATGACACAACTGTTTCCATAAGCTTTGCTCACGAGCTATACCTAGGAGGTCAGAACAGGTGCAGGCAGCTGAGGCCAGGGTTGAACCATCTAGACGAGCCATGATGTCTGTTAGGAGGTCCCTGCTTAAGCACTTCAAATGACATTGCAAAAGCTCCATTCTCGCTCGCTCCTTCCGATTGCCTGGAAACTGAAATCGAAGTTTCAAGTGTGGATACGCTCAAGAACCTACTTCTTTATATAAAGATCATTGACCCATCTCGCAGATTCATATAGATTTATGTTCAATTATATAATACGACCGATCAATGTGATTAAAGTCACTAGCCGCTGTTCAGAAGGATCAATCCCTTCTGGATAATTAGGCCACAGATAACAGATTGTCAACTAAGTACATGGTCTGCTTGCCATCTTTTCGACTTTGCTAACTGCCGGTTGCCTAATTTTTAATGGGTACGGCATTAGGTTTGTCCTGGCAATAAAGCTCTAACCTCTAAAAATAGACTGTCTGACTCCTTAATTTGTGAGGTTGAAAACTCATCATCAAATTAAATGAAGCTATTGAGAAGGTTTACGTTGACAACGCTGCTACTCATCTCCGTTATGACGCGTATTGTTCCCTCGTGAGTACCGGTAAATTTAAATGCTCTTTTTTTTCTTTTTAATAATCGGGTTCGGTTTGAATAAGAATGCTGCCCGCAGGCACAAACTGATGTAATCTAGGAAGGGGACATCCTACTGGGTGTGCCCACAGCTAATCTGGGTAGCCAATTTAGGAGGCTATTCCATGGTTATTTCTCAACGCACACCTGGTAGTTTCATAAGCCATGCCATTGCTTTGGTAAAAGGCAAAAGAACAGTTTGCTCTTCCCTCTCTACACGGTTCCATTAATTAATGTCATTGCTTGAGAGAATGGGAACATCTTGCTTGCTTAGAACTTCAACATTCCACAATCGTCCTTGCCAATTATTTGATGACCAGGCTAATTCACGTAGAAGGTACGAGAAAGGAAAGCTTCCAAACGTTTTGCATTAATCGGACAAAAGCGGAAGCAATCTAGTTGCAGGCCGCATTAATAATTAGTACGCATACACCAACTTCATATGCACAAGCGGGGGCAGGGAAGGCTTCCTCGACCCTCAACTCACCTTTACTTTTGTGGGCAAAACGCATTCCCATTCTCCCTTTCATAAACGTTAGCGGCCCACTCGAAGGAACGAAGACGTCAAAGCTACGGCAAAAGTTGGTCTCAAGGTACTGCGCTAATTTCCCATAGGATGAACATGGACCCTATGTCATATGACGAACCTTTGAAATATTCCCCCACTTTAAATCATGGTAGAGGAAAAGAACTTGGAACTCCCTAGTCCAATACTTCTGGTTCTATTCTTTGTCATAACATGAGGGGTCAAGAATCTGTTCGTTAGATGTAAAAAATAAAAAAGTTGTTATCACTCTTTTTATTTAAGTACGATTGATCATTTATTAAATTTGTTCTATTCGATAAAGTTTTAAATTGATTTTGATTTATTTAAAGAACAATAAACTGATTTGTAAATTTTTAAAATTAGGTTAAAGAGTGCGGTTATACACGAGGAATGATTAACACTCTTGTGATGTCCGTTTTGCTAACCGTACTACTTAATTATATGTTATCCTAAACTGTTGATTTTATTTTTTTGGTTCTTTAATTATTGTTTACTTATTTTATTTTTATTTTGTTAGCAAATTAAAACATTTTATTCGATTTCATGGTGATGTGTACATGATGCAATTATAAAATGAATGGAATAAAGTCCAAATAATGCAAAACGAAAACCTTTTATTGAAGATATTTTTCAAAATTTTCTATTATACTGGTGAGATCCGGAGATTCTCTCACTTAGAGAATTACCCAAGAAACTCACTTTCGTAAATTTAACAAATAAATCCCATCATTGAAATAATCATTTTCATTTGACAATAATATTTTTCATGAACGCAAACCTATTACAAGCATAAGTTATTTATTAAAGATATTTTCTAAACCCATTCATCTTAATAGTAAGACTTTGAAATATCATTTCATTTGAAAATTTTTTTAAAAGAATTCAACTTTGTAAACTCCTTCGATAGTCCCATCATTGGGGTTTTGACTTGTACACACGTCTACATGCCATGACTTTTAACAATGCAATAATGATGTGCAATGTGCTATAAACCTCCATATCCACTATGAATTATTCTCTATATTCATTATTATTATAATCTTGTCATCTTTAAAAAAAATTTATTATCATTATTTATTTATTTATTATCTTGAAAATCCTAATTTTATATAATCTTATATTTTAAAACTACTTATTTTATCTATTCCCTCTTGTATTTATTATTATAATTATAATAATAATTATTATTGTTATTTGTTTCCTTTGTTTTTATGTTTTGTTTGGTTAATAACAAGGTTAATTAATACAATTTTCATTATTTAGGATTAGAAACATCAACACTTAAAATTAAAACCTCCCATCATACTGGTAGAGTTTTAATCAAAATTCCTAATTTAAGAAAGCCATTAGAAATTGCTACTTCTCACGTTCCAAATGGATATTTCATCATCGGTATAATTTATATAATTTTTACAATTATTAATATTGCAACATTTTTTAAACCAAACCTAGATACTTTCCTAACTATATACCATCATCATCATCATCATCATCATCATCATTATTATTTCTCTACCCTTTCATTTTTTGAATTCAAGTGTTTTATCTATTTTTCTAGAAAATGTTCACTTTTTACCTATATCCATTTTTTAACCAAATATTCAATTTTATTGTTGCCATCATTATTTATTTATATATTTTTTGCCTAATCTATTTTTTGTAAATGAATAATTTTTTATTTTGAAATATTCCTTATCCTATTTTTACTAATTTACATAACCTATTTTCTAGACTAAATATATTTTTTTTTGTTTTTACTTTTACTTATATTTTCTCTCATCTTTCTAAATCTATTTCTCCATAACTAAGTATTTTCCCATTTTTTTATATTTAAAGCTGTTTTTATTTGTAACTGAATATTTATTTTCTATATTTTACCTATCTAAATCTTTTATCATTTATTTTCTATCTATATATTTTTCTTATCTAAACCTATTCTTTTTTTAACTAACTACTTATTTATTTTTTATTTATGGTTTTCTGCTTTTCTTCTCTCAATATTCATACCACGAAAAGATGAACATTTTTTGTAATATTTTTTACCTAATCCTAGTCTCGTAAAAATACTCACTTTTATTTGTCTATTTTCTCTTTTAACTATATTGGACTCAGCTTCAGACAGTATTCATTAAAATTCACAATGGACCACATCCACAAAACAAACCGAAAACAAAAAAAAACAAACAAAAAACACCATACCCTGTCTGGGATGATTTAAGTTAGATGGACTACAAAGATTTGCAAGCCCATTTCAACCATCCCCACACAGATCCGCACCAGAACACAGTCACTTTGGTTATCTTGTTTTGTTTTTTTTTTTTTTCAACTCCCTTACCTCTCAAAACCACACCGTTTAGTCTAAAACTCACCCTTCTCTCACTCCCCAAAATGACACCGTTTTATATAATAAACCTAGAGATAAAATGCCCTTTTTTTTACTATTAGAAAACGTTACAAAAACCCAAAATCCCTAACCCTTTTTTTTACTATTTCTCATGATTTTTTATTTTTCCTTTTTGGTTCTTTTTCTTTGATTACGATTGTGGCGTTTTGGCTGCTAGAACTAGGATCTTTTGTGGTTCGAGGGTTTTCAGAAAATAAGAAAAGTTTCTAAAGTTTCTTTTTGGGTTCTTGGCTACTAGGGATTTTTAGGTTGGCTGCTAAGTGCTTTTTTGGTTTGAATCGCTCCTTGGGATTTTGGAAAATATCCGCCCTTGAGTATTTTTCATTCCGGCATTCTGTTTCTAACCAAAAATTTTCGGGTTCTTCTCCGAGGTGACTTAAATCCGGCTGCACAAGGAGTATTGAATGCTTTTGTTTCCTGAAAGTTGACTATAGAGGCCATGCTTCTCAGTTTTTTTTTTTTTTTATATTGTGATTTATTTGGGAGAAAAAAAATAGGTGTCTACATTCCTCTGGTTAACACCATCTCTCCAAATCGTATTAACTACTTCAGACCCGTGGAAATAATAATCATTTTGGACTAAAATATACTCACCTTCAAAAATTACAAACTGAGACTTATAAAATTAATATTTTTAAATTAAAAACTATTAATGTTTTAATATTTAGGGTTTAGGATTTTGTTGAAATTATAAATAAAAAATTAATATATAAAAAATATTAATGTTTAAATTGTTAAGTGAAAATATAAATTAAAAAATGAAAAATTCAAATGGAGAGAAATAAATTATTATACTAATAGTTTAATAATAAATTATTAAATTGTTAATAATTTTAAGTTTTAATGAAAATAAAAAATGATTAAAAATGAAAAAAATTATTTAATTTTATCTTTTTGATATAAATTTTACAAAATTATATAAAGAGTATTTTTGTTTTTGATGAAAATAAATCTTATTATAATAAAAAATTTAAGTTTTTAATTATATATTATAAAAGATAATATTTTAAATTAAAAAATTAATTAAAATTGTTAATATTTAAATTATAAATAAAATATTAATAGTTTAAATTTTCAATGATTAAATTATAAATAAATGATAAAATACTCATATACTCTTAACATTAAATCATAATTACACATAAATTTATTAATTTTTAAAATAAATAATCAACTTAAATGTGTAAATAACGTTAATAGTTAAATATAAAATATCTACAATATTTGTTTTCTTTTTTCATTCTTTCCCTTTCTTTCAAGTTTGTCGACAGCACTCCGTTATACTGATCAACTACTCTGCAACAATATCTGACTGTGAAATGTCAGTTTCAGTTGGATCTTCTCAAGGGAACACTAGACTGTGCTCCCTACTCCCTTGGCATGGGGAGCACCAAATCGTGCTTCCTTGGCCTAGGTAGCACTCGACTCCCCAAAGGAGTACTATTGAGTGCTCCCCAAGCTAAGGGACCACTCAGCTCCCTAAAAGAGCACTGTCGAGTGCTTCCCTAGTGCTCCTTTGGCCTAGGGAGCACTCAGCTCTTCAAGGGAGTATCGTTGAGTGATCCCCAAGTTAGGGGAGCACTCAACATGGGAGCATCGCTCGGGAGCCAAGTGCTCCTTTAGCTAAAAGAGCATGACCAAAGATTTGATTGGATATGGTCATGCATGATCAAATTTGGTTAAGAGGTGATCCATCGACAAATAAGAATGTCGCCAACTAACCATTTGAGAAGAGAGAAAGGATTTTTTTTAATAAGAAAAAATTTAAAAATTATAATTATAATTTATATATAGTGTAATTTTTAAAATTAATAAAAAGTAGAATTATCTAAAAATCATTACCACGTTAACAAATTGACAGAAACATCCACGGAATTTTAATAATTAGACTTATGTATCCAACGAAAGATAATTTTTAAAACAAACTGTCCATTATGAAATTTTGATTAATACTTAAAAAGAGTCTGAATATTTTATTTTATATTATAATAAAGGTTATTATTACCTTTTTATCACCTATATTTTTTTTATTTTAAAATTATTTTTACTAGTCAAATATTTCAATAAGTTATAATAATATTTCGTATCTTATTTTTTTTCATCAACCAAACTACATAATAACATTTTCATTTTATTCCCATCATATTCAATTTTCACAAAATACTTATTCTATTTTATTCCGTGAAGTATTTATACTCTAAATATAACAACCAGATATCACCAATAGTCTCTTTCATTTGACTTTAAAAATATTTCGAGTGCTTTCTCCTTTTAAACAATAATCTTAAACAACATCTGATTAACATCACCAAATGAAATATAAATTTTCTTTATCTAAGTTCTGCTTAATTACAACTGTATATATGTGTTTGTATGGATTTATTTATTTAAATACATTTGTAATTACCATTCATGATATCTATATTTCGTGGGTGAATATCACATATAGTTGACCTTCTAATAATTCTATCATGCAGGAGATAGATTCTAAGTAAAACCCATATTCAAAATGATCTAGGTTTGGCAAGAATTACTATCTGGCTTGATCGTTAAAATTACATAAAGGTGTTACAAATGAAGATGCCTAGAAGAAAAAGAGAAACTGAAATTTGGATCACTAAACCCAAAAGATTCAGAACCCCAATAAATGGTCCAAAACCAAAATCAAACTTGAATGTAAGTCGAATAAAATTGATTAAAGTTGCGTTTAATACTTTACAATGCAATGTGATAATATGATTGTAAGTAATATGATTGTAAGAAAGATAATATTATAATATTTGATATATAAACAAAATAATTATTAAAATATAAAAAAGATAACATTGTAACATTTGATTTATAAATATTTTACTGAAAATATAATATTATTTTTTAAAATTATCATTATTTATTAAAATGCAAGTTTAATACACTTGTATTTTTTTATTGTTAGTTTTTATATAATATCATCTCTTAAATATATTTTTAATGTCATATATTTTATTTTTATTTCTTATTATAATCTTATATATTTTATTTTCAATTCTTAATATAATTTCTTATATTATATATTATATTGTAATTTTTTTTAAAAAAATAATATAAATTTTATTGATAGTTACCATGATTACTGAGAATAATAAAAAGATATTCTCGAAATCTATATAAAAAAATAAATTATAATATTGTAAAACATTTTTAACAAAGAAAAAAAACTAAAGGATAAAAATATTTTTAAAAATATTATAGAGTACAATATAATCTAATTGTATTGATTTTGGACTGCAATTACATTATAATATAATTTAATTAGACATACTACAAGGTAGGTATTCTCACTTCTTTCATATCAAACACTACTTAAGAGTCTATGACTTTATTTGGAGATCTAAAACGAACCAATAGAAACCACGTTGTCTATCTAACAGGCCTTGAAATTTATATCATCTACTCTACATAAATCACCTTGGTCATGACTCATCAGCGTTTGATCCTTGAGGACACTGGAACATGCAAGCATCTACAGTTCACTCTAATGAACGAAACTAAAGCCAGTGCAAGACAATGATTGAAAATAAATTCCTGTATAGCAAAAAATATTAGTGTTCATATAATATCCAAGCTTTCCTCTGCCCATGGCCCCATGTTGAAACAATGATCAACAGTCAAACCATAACAAGGTCAATGTAAAACATTGCTTTGTATATTGGCAAAGCCTTTTTATGTGATGGCCAACACTACCAACCCCAAGGCAAAGCACCAAAATGGTGATAAAGAGGGGAGGGGGAAATAGAGTTGGACCTAGATATCCTTGTCATGCAATTGTAATACTGCTCGTAGAAGGTATATTTTACCCACCCAAAATTTGAGACATAATAATTATTGAAATGTAAAATTGCACACAAAGGTGCGAGGACATCGAAAACAAATGGTTCTAATCTTAGGAAATGTCAACAACAATAAGTCGGAAACCTAAGCTCCAGCAGAGTTGATTCAAAAACTCTTCAAAAGAGCAATATCACAGGACTATAGCTCGTAGAAATTACCTAGGTAGTAAGTTCCATGATGGCACTGACAATATCCCCATTATGGATCTTGAGAGCCTTTACAGCCTTCGCTTTTGACACCCCAGCCTGTGTCATCACCAACTCGATGTCCCGTGGCTCTACTCCAGTCTCATCAACATCCTCTTCTTCCTCATCAATTTGAGCACCTGCGGAAATCTCTAACTGGGGCATTAAAGTTGCCATGTCAGGGAGCTTAAACTGTTGAGCAGCTTGTTTCTGCAGCTGAGAGTTTAAATCCTCAATCTTCGCCTCCCCAAAGATGACATAAGTTTCAGAGTTGGGACTCCTGAACACATCTGGTTTTGAGATGACAAACATAATCTGGTGGACGCAGATAAAATGCGGTGAATCAATGCATCGATCAGAACAAAATGTTTAACTATAGTGACATTACATTGAAATAAGCTTTACATTACATTTTTAGTCCTCTTAATAGTGACCCGGCTGACCCCTAACACAGACTTCAGCCCAAGCCTTAAAATTGCCTTACGGCTTTTCTTCTCACTTCTGCTCTGCTTAGAGCTCCCATTCCCACCAGCACCTTGTTCATCAGCTACCAATAGATTTCAACAACAGGATATATTATTAAATCGGACATACAAAAAAAAGCAGAAACATTAACATCACAGAATTGCACAAGGAACAACAAAATGCAAGCATGAACAAACGAAATCTGCCATTCTCGTATAAAGATAAACAAAATTGGAATCATGCAATCAAGTTCCTAAAATTGCGTTTGAAATATATAATTTCCTGAATCCAACAAATTACTGGTTTCAAAATACAGAAACGTTCGATCCAAGGAGATACCATCAAGGGCGGCGTCGTCGTCCTCGTCGTCGTCGTCATCGTCGTCATCGTCGTCATCGTCATCGTCATGGCCATCATCTTGTCCGTCCTTAACATCCTCGACAATGGCCTCATCTTTCTGTTTAATCAATCAAAGACAAAGATTGTAACAATAAAAAAAGATGGCAAATGTTAATGAAATCCGACGTCACCACAAACCCAGTAAATGTTAATCCGTAATCGCAAGATTAATAACGGGAAAACCTCGAGTTTTTGTTGCTCCTTGATGGCATTGAGTTGTTCTTGTTGCTGCTCGTCTTCTTGGACAACTGGGCCTGGCATTTTCTCTGTATTCCTTTGCCGCTACTTCAACAAACGCAAAAACCCTTCAATGTTCCTGCCTCTCTCTCCTTTTTTTCCTTCTTGCTGTGATCTTTGATCTCGTGCCACGTGGACATCGTCATACTCCTTACTTGGGCCGGACATCGGCGCTGTCCAACTAAGGCCCAAAATGATAACCCGAATAGCAAGCTTTGAGGCAGACAAAATTAGCACCAATTTTCATTTTCTAATTATTGCATTAAATATTTTGCCGAAAAAGATCTTGCACGAGTAGAGAATAAATTCTAGAACCCAGACCCAGAGGTTCTTTAATTTGTCTTTATTTTTATCTACTCTTTTTGAGATTTTTTTGTTAAAGCGTTAAGTCGGTTTTGGGAAAACTGATGCTGTGCTGGAATGATACCTCAAATCATGTCACTATGATTTAACAGCAAAAGCAATGATAAGCTATCGTGCAAGGTTGGGGTATAAATTCTAAAGCAATTCCTTCCGGAAAGATTCTCCTTTCGGAAGGTGTTGAATTTTCTATTAAAAATAATTTTAAATTGAATAATATTATAATAATAGTAATAATAATAAATTAAAAATAATTATTTTAAAAAATTAATATTTTAAAATATTTTCTCATGTCTTACTAAGCAAAATTTTTTGTTTAAATAATTTTTTTAAAACATTTGATTTTTATATCTTAATATATGCTAATGTTGACATAATTATATTTTGTTAATTACATGATTCTAATAGCGAAATCAAATTCGTTTTGAGAAAATGTAATATATTAAAAGTAATTATTGATAAGTTACATAATTTATATAATAAAATTATTAAAATAAAATAAATATTTTTTGAAAGTCAAAATAAAACTAATATTAATTACACTTATTAAAAAGAATTTTGTTTTAATGATGAAATTTTCTAAATTATCTTTAATTTCAATTGCTACTTTTTTATCTTATGCTTTTATAATTATTCATAATTAATCCTCTTTGTGAAAATAATTTTAAGATCTTTCAATAATTTTGGTAAGTAATTATTAACTTTATTCAATTAATTGTTATTTTTATTATTTATCAAAAGACTTTTATATCCTGTAATTTTTTTTAAGTATTAATAGACAATGTGTTAAATCTATCAATTCTAAACTCTATCATTTTCAAAAAAATCTTTTTCTTTATATTTGTTAGGATAAAATACCTTATATTCTTAAATTTTAATCATAATTTTTTATGAAGTCATTAATATTAAAAATAAAAAAATCGTCTCCAAAAAATAATTTTCATTAAACACATAAATTTTTATGTTAATCTATCGTTAATAATTTTATTTATTTGATGACAAGACATCAATTTTTGAACAATTTTACCCTTTGTGCAATTGAGTCACTAACGCACTACCATGTAACAAAAAAATACGAAAACCCAGAGGAGTTTCTAGACGATTTTTTTTGTTCAAGAGACAAGCAAAGCATTTTTTTTTTATAGAAAATTTAGCTTTCATTGAAAACGGAAAGAAAATCCCTGAATTTATATCTCATTAGACATGGCATAAAGGTTTCAAAACTTCAAATAAACTCTATCTCTTATCTCTATTTACAATTGTATAATCTCTTAAGAACTGAAATACTCAACAAAGATGCAACCAGAAATCAGATTCCTCCCAAGTTTCAACAATTTCCTCTGCTGCGCTAAGATCTTGGATTGGAGTCGGTGCCCATTCTTTCCTTTTTAACAAATGCAAATAAGAAAAAAAAATGCCCACCGTGGAGAAGGAAGGTAGGAAAAAGAAAAAAAAAACTTAAAAGCCAAAGAAATTGAAAAAAGAGAAGGAAGACAGGAAAGGGAAAAAATAAAATAAAAAGTTAAAAAAGTTAGAAAAAGAAGAAAGATAAGGAAAAGGAAAAATGTCGATGGATGCTTGTTATTTGTTTGAACGGTATTTTAATTTTTTGTAAATTTTGTTAAAGTCCGTCGAGATTTTGAGACAAATTGTCTATATTTAATGTTAATAAATTCATATAAAAATTATGAACAAAATTGAAATATATAAGAGTATTTTACCTACATTTTAATATTAATTAATTAATATAAATCATCATGTTACTTTGTGACCTTTTAGAAAGTTAAGCTTCAGTTTGTTCTGGTGTTTTGTGTCACCATCGAATAAAGTTGAGTAATTTGTCCAAATTGCATTCACACCTGTCTTTCTACATTCCTTATATTTTCTATTTTTCCTTTTAAGAGAAAAAAAATTGAAACTGCAATTATCTTAATCCTGTACATGACTAATTTCGCCCATGTAATGCATAGACTGAGGAATAGTATACCTGGAAGCATTTTGGGTATGAAGTCGTGTTCACTTCCATTAGAAAAAAAAAAAAAGACAAAAAAGAATTCATGTTCAATTAGCTCAAGTAATCTGTTTAAGCATATCAATAAAAAATCGTGGCAGGTAAAGACTAGATTGAGGTTCGGAAAGTTTCAAAGGGGAGGAGACGAACCGGAACTGCTACAATCCTCAATGGTAGATTCTGAAAACATCTCGCGTGTCAACTAAAACCAAGGGGACCTAAGACTTGACAGTATTTATAGTTGTATGTCGGCATATATCCTAACCCATGTTTATAAATTCAAATGAATCATGATATTCAATGTCGACATACAAATTAACACCCATTTCATTTAGTCGTGGAGGGAATGAGGGGTTAGTAGGGATTTCGTGTTTCAAAAATTTAAAATTTTATAATATATTTTTTAAAAAATTTATAATTTTGTTGTTATAATTATTTTTTTCTTTAGTGACATGTTTTACAGTAATTAGTTAATAATTAATTTTAATTCACTTAAAAATTAAAGTAAAATTTATTATAATAAAATTATTTCATAAGTCACACCATCTTAAAATCTCGTGATTGAAAAGATTTATTTAAAAATAAAAAGAAATTTAGATGAAAAATCAGCAACATCTTAAAATGAAAAAAAAAACCATCATTTAAAATTAAGTCTTTCATTTTTCTATGTAAATCATCTTTAATCACTAAACATCCAAAGAGGATCCTATAAAATGAAAAATGCTTGATAAAGATTCAAATATCATCCGTGGCAACTTAACTTGGTACGGACAGATTCACGTTCTTAAAATAACCACCGTCACGTGGGGGCACACAAACCATTTGCTGCAGTGAGCTCTGTTCCCCTTTGACAGCAATATTTGATCAAACTTGGCCTTCTTCCGTGCAAACCCTTTTTCGATTCAAACACAATACATAAACTTGGTTTTCAGTTTGCACCGATTCATTTCAGCGCTGATGCTGGCCTTGGAAAATAGAAACAAAAACAAAACTTCCCCGTGTTCGCAATTGCAATTTGCAAGCAAGGTGACGAGGATACAAAGCAACTTTTTGGTGCGGTGATTCGTCACGCACTAATAGTGACATTGGACAAGATCAGCACAGAGGTGTAAGCTTGAGTGGCGTCTTCGGTTTCCCCAAGAAGGCTTTGATGAGACGGATGATAATGTCTGCCACCTAAAGCCAAAGGGCCCTACGCTTCCCGAGGCTTTGGTGAAAATAAACAAACATGAAACAAGAAATACAATCCAAGATTCCATCAATTATATAATACTAGTGGCATGTAGTTGGCATTTGACAGCTCAAGATGGTTGGCATTCAGTGCAGGCATCGAAATCAAATCTTTCTTCTTCGGTCGGCCTCGGTTAGAGTCTTCCAAGTTCCAATTACTTTAGCCTTTCGACTCGTTAGATAAAGCTAAGTACGATCCAGGTTTTTTTTTTTTTTTTGTGGACTGTATTTTTTAATTGTTAAAGCTTTTAAATGTGAAACGAGCATCGTCCACAAGGTACATTCCAGAATGAGCTCAAAGGCTAAACTTGATCGAGCGAAAGTTCCATTAATCCACTTGTTTTAAATATGAAAGAAAAATCATTGTCACTGTTTTGTAAATGACCAGTAAATAGCGGTGGATAATAAATATGCTGATTCTATATATCTCTTCGAAAGTACAACATAAAAATAATTCTTTCTAATACCGACATGACCGAGCAACAAATAAAATCAAAGCCAAATCGATTGATATATTTTCTCCCTTTAAATATATTATCGAATATTGCTGTCTGATTTGCGATAATCTTTTTTTTATTAAAGAATATTGAGGCATGCAGATTGCGTGAGAGTTCTCATAAGCGCAGTTCATTTGGAAAATATTATCGCCAGGCAGGCATTAGATGACATCTTTTAAACAGATTTGCGCACCAACCGGTTTTGTTTATTGACTACCATTTTTTCTACCTTCATGTGCTAATTAATTAAGCTAGACTTTGGGCCCCCGAAGTATTGTTCCCGCCGTAATAATTGATTTAGCCATCAGAAATCACTAATTCTTAATGGTTTAAGAGTTCTTCTTCTTCTGAGAAGTATGCAAATGAAATATCTATCAAATTATGGTATTCACGGGATATATGACTAGAAATCAAGCACGATTTATAAAGGGCATGTTAGTTATTCACATGGGAACTAACATTCTTGATTAAAAATTCCAGCTCCATTCTTATTTTTTCACATGACATAACTAAGGCGAATGGAGTGACCGCTACAATAGAAATAAAATCCTGATGCTGTAAAAGCTGTTACATCATTTGCCAGATTCTGTAAAAACAACACTAATGGAACCCCGAATCCCAAGGTGGTAGTAATCATAACTTTCTCTAGTTTATTAATGTATATATTTTTATTATTCCCGAAACTGAAAAGATGACGTAAATCTTATGATGTCAACGGGGCAACGTCATCCTTATCACTGCAAATGGGTGCATAAATAGGTGCAAGAACTCCTAAAGTTTCCGCAAAGTAAGAAAATCAGGATCCTTGCATATTCCATTTTCCCATGGCCGCTACCAAGCTGTTACTGACAGACCTCGCATCTTCAGTTAAGCAGGTACCTTTCAATTACATCAGACCAATCTCCGACCGTCCAAATCTCTCTGATGTTCGGGTATCCGATGTTTCCCTTCCTCTGATTGACCTCCAGGACCTCTATGGTCCCAACCGCTCTGATATTCTTAAGCAGATTGCCCTAGCATGCGAACATGACGGTTTTTTTCAGGTACCAAGAAATTTCAGTATTTGTAATGCACTGTGTAATTATTGCTTGCTACGAGTCTTGGTCTTATAGGTTTAGTAATTCATTGTTATCAGGTGAAGAACCATGGGATTTCAGAGGCATTGATCAATAACATGCTGCGTTTAGCTGGAGAGTTCTTTCGATTACCGGAGAGTGAGAGGTTGAAAAATTACTCTAACGACCCTTCCAAGGCCAACCGTTTGTCAACTAGTTTCAATGTTAACACTGAGAAGGTTGCCAACTGGAGGGATTTTTTGAGACTCCATTGCTACCCTCTCAAAGATCACGTACACGAATGGCCTTCAAATCCCCCATCCTTCAGGTTAATAATCAAGACAGATTTTACAAAAAAAGAATCATGACAAACCATGCTAATTTTACAGTGTACAAGCCAAAATTTTCTTTGTTTTAACCAGGGGCGGAGCGTCGTTTTATATTGCACTCCAAAATTTTTAAAATTGTTTATATATTATATATTTTTAATAATTTTT